GAAGAGGTCCATTGAGCAATGGAAGAATATTGCCTGATCTGATAAATCACGTTTTCTTTAAAATCAGGTGGATAGCCGCATACCTGGGGAAGAGATGGCAGCAGCATGCACTATGGGAAGAAGGCAGGCCAGTGGAGGCAGTCATGTGCTCTGGGCAATGTTCTGCTGGGAAACCTTGGCATTCATTTGGATGTTACTTTGACACGTACCACCTACCTAGAGATTGTTGCAGACCATGTTCACCCCATCATGGCATTTGTGTTCCCTGATGGCAGTGGCCTCTTTCAACAGAACAATGCACCCTGCCACACTGTAAAAATTGTTGAGGAAGAGTTTAAGGTGTTGTCTTGGTTTCCAAATTCCCCAGATCTCAATCCAATTGAGCATCTGATCAAATACAATCCACGGAGGCCCCACCATGTAACTTTTAGGACTTACAGGAACTGCTGCTAATGTCTTGGTGCCAGATACTGCAGGATGCATTGAGAGGTCTTGTGAAGTCCATGCCTCAATGCATCATAGCTGTAGTGAGGGGGACCTACATAATATTAGACAGGTGGTTGTAATGCTGCACACATAATATAATATTGTGTGCATATGTTACAATATACTGTTAGGAAATTTTTTCCACCATTTGATTCACAAATCAAGTGAGAAACAGTAACTAATAGACTGAAAAACAGGAAATAAAATCTATATTTCTTTATTGCATATTTATTAAGTATATAATATGTAATTATATATGGATATTTTTCTACTCTTACCTGTTTCCTGTTATTTTGAACTTCTCACGTGATCTGTGATAAAAATCAATATTTAGCAGCCCCTAGCCATCAATCTTCTTTTTTTTCTGATCAGTCATATATTTTGGTGCCATGGGATTAATTCAGAATACCCCCTGTCCCCCCCCCAAAAAAATGTCATTTGTCAATGTGCAATTTGCAGTAACATTTTGGCTCGGAATTCAGACAAACACCAGATCAGCCTAAATTCGGCCAAATTACAGTTCAGTCCAAAACAAATCTCTGCAAATGTAGAAGTCACCCCATAAGAAACAATTGTTACTCCTATAATCACAGCTGGATCCCTAACGACATTATGCCAGTGTGGAATTCCCTGCTCATTTAAGTTTGGCAGCTCCATACAGTTACTAAATTAGTAGGGCATTTCATTTTGGAATTACAAGTACAAATAAATTTTAAGAAATAAAAAAAAAACACCTCAAATCCTAGTTCATCAAAAATGTTGCATGCCAATACAATCCCCGTTTAGTAGTTCTGTCCGAACCCAGTGCACCATTCAAGTACTCACTGTTCAAAAAGCGAGATAAGTCAAAGGTCATAATACCCAGTAAACCAGAACAGGAACAGCTGGAAATATAAAATCCACATACTTTATTCACCCATTAGGGCTTTTAAAACCACGTAACAAAATAGTGCAACCGTATTAGAAATGAAGTGTCTCCAAAGGTTCAAACATCCAACTTGACAGCCACCATCTACACGTTTTGTTTTACAATTGTGTCATTTTGATAAAGTTGTAAAATGAAACGCGTAGGTAGTGTGTTGAGCTTTTAATAGCCCTAAGAGGGTGAATAAAATATGTGGATTTTATATTGCTGGCTGTTCCTGTCCCTCTTTACTTTGTAGTACCTTTCCAAAAAACATGTTATGATGCCATAGTTCATCATTGGTCCTTGATGGGTTAAAACTCACAATCTTTTAACTTGGCATAAACTAAGCATTTTTATATTAATATGTTGAAGTGTGACAATGTGTTCATTAGCATTAAACATTGGGCACTGACACCAGCAAAGCACTTTACGATACTACATTCTAAGTACTTTACAAGTTCCATTCGAGCTGCATCTGTTTTCTGTCTGGGCTACAATGACTTTCAAAATACAGTTAAGTAGAACCAAATGCCGGTTATTAGCTGTCATAGTGACATAAACAGCAGGCTGGAGAGAACCTTATGTAGGTACAAAGCACTCAGCTGTATATAAAATTCACTCGCTGCACATTCCTCCAAGATGTCTTTCTTGGGTCGAAATGGCAATTGCTAGTCAGGCTGATATATTTCATAGCACAATATACTCACTCGTCTCTCTATTATTGGCATAGATTCCAACAGATAATCCAGCAATTAATGTGTTTTGTGAAGGTTATAATAGGTAGGTGAAAGTATGATGGGGGAGGGGCGATGGGAACATTTTTAACTGCTCGAACTATAATCTACCTTTTGATTTTTTTATATATTAACTTTTTTTATTTTTACTTTGTTCATACATGTATATATATATTTTTTGCTCTGTTCTACTATACCTCGTAATTGTCATGGTACCCAAACTGGTCCTTTATTACAATAGTTTATCTGATTGAATCTGATCCAATTCACTGAGGAAGAGGCCTTAAGTTACCTTCCCTAGAATAAGTGAACAAGGGCAAATCTGGTGATTTTGTGAGGGGTAGATGGGTTAATATACCAATGGACGTATGTTAACTAACACATCGCTCTTCACTTGATTGCTCTGCAAATTTACTGTACACCCTGCAAAATCAAATTTCTAAAAAATTTATATTGAAAAGCTGTTGAAATGAAAAACTAAAAAACATCATCAAAATCTTGGTTTGTAAAAGTTGGGAATCTACCACTTGGCCAACCAGTTATAGTTTAACCGATGACAACTTTTCCCATTATGTACGTTGAAGCTGTCCACTAATGATCAAGTTCACTTACTGGTGACAGGAGATTAGTAGTTGCAGTGGCATGATAGGAGATAAGAGTACTGGCAACTCTTTTACATTCATTGTGAAGCTGCATTCTTAGTGAGCTGTCGAGGAGGTGGGAGGGTCTGGGAGGGAGTGTCTGCTGCTGATTGGCTGGAATGTGTTTGCTGACTGTGAGGTACAGGGTCAAAGTTTACTCAATGATGAGTCCATGGCGAACCGTTCACGGCGAACCGTTCGCGAACCGTTCGGGACATCACTACTGGCAACCTCTGGAGAGACACGTCAGGAGACCTAAGATTGCTCCTTGCAATGTGTAAAGGAAAGGGTAACTTGAAAAAAGCTCACGTTGGATACATGGAAATCATTAGAGAGCTGTTTGTTGTTGTTTTTTTTTTACTAATGCATTTGATACTATTTCGAAGAAGTTCAGCAAACAATTAAGGAAAAATTAAGATGGAGATATTTTTCCATGTATGTGTGATTTTCTTAACGCAAGCTTCATAAAAATGTAGGTGCTTGAAAGAAACTAGTAAAAATACAGTGAATATAAATGCATTAAGCATTGTCCTTTGCAATAATCTGCTCACGTTTGGTACTTGTACTTAGCGAAACACTGCAAACACCATAACACAGTGCACTGTAGTGGTTATGGTGTCAGTAGTTTTGCGCAGCCTTGAGCTCTCTGACAGCCTTAATGGAGACACGAAAAGGGTGCCCACCTAACCCCAGGTATGAAGTCAATTTGCTCTACTTTAAAATGGTTTGACTACTTACAATGGTGGGGATTTCCATCAGGGTTTGAATTATTGAAGGATTTTATTCTCAGTTTTACTCTAATTCGTTGGTGCACAGTTTTCCAGTGATAACGTCTCCTAATTTGTACTTCTATCTTTTCTTCTTTCTTTTTTGCAGAACGAAACAAGAGTTTTGAAATGTCTTCCTTTGTGGAAACAAAAGGCCTTGAGCAGCTAACAAAGTCTCCTGTGGAATTCGTAGAGAATCCTTTTGAATGATTGTTGTGTAACTTCTAAGCTGAAAAAAATGATAATATGTTGTAAAATTAACCTTGCATTTAGATTAAGGAAACAATTTATGGTAAAATAGTACATTCACACAGCACACACCCTGTCAGATACTCACAACCTGTCACTTTCAACAACTCCCCCTGCCACATACCACCAGCCTTTTACATATTATCATTCCAACTTGTCACATCCTGCCCCAGTCACATGTCTTTACCCACCCAGTCCCATATAGCCAGCCACACAGCCAACAGCATTCACTTACCACTCCAGTCACCTACCCACCATCTAACAACACACCCTGCCACATATTAAGTCATGTTCCCCCCAGCCACAGGCACCCAACCTGTTTCATTTACCCATGCAGCCACCTACTCAGTCACATAATTCTACACACCGCGTTTTGTAGCAAATCAGCTAAACCTATCAAACAATCTACATTCACGTGCCAATCAGTCATGTTCACCTTCCAAGCCACACACCCACACATCATCTCACCCACCATTACATACACACATTATACACAACCTCACATACATACATTATACACAGAGCACAGAGAATTATATATAAATTACATTATATGACATCATATGCATACTTTTTAAGAAACTTGCACCTGTAGGTTGAATTACCATATTTGAAAATGTTGTACGCAAACATTTGAAGTGTTATGGGTACTCCTAATTTCTACATTTTTTTTTACTGAATTTCCCATGATGCTCAGCACGTCTTACTTTGGAGAGAAGTGGAGTTTATAATAGGAGAATATATAAAAAGGAATTAAACAGGGGGAGGGAAAATTCTGCTACAATCCCAATGAGTAGTGAAATAAACCCTGCATTAAGTTTTCACTGACATGTAGCTCACTTTTTGTACAGAAGGTCCTGGAGGCTTCATGTCGTAGCCTACACCAAGATGAGATAGAGCAAGGTCTGTTCTCATTTTCAGTAACAAACAAAGTATTTGACTCCATGTACTGGTATAAAATTGTTAATGATAAATGTTGCTTTTTCTGTTGAAGACCTGACTAAGAAGTACTGGGTTTCTGTAATCGAATTTTATATAAATGTATGGCAAAAATAATTAGTGTGATTTGAATTGTGACAGAAAATTACAAAATGCCTTTATTGAATTAATACATTATAATAATGAGATGTCATCATTTGATCTATACTTGCACCTATTTTCTGTGATTCATTTAGCAATGGAAAAAACTTAACTAACACCTTCCAGATATAACAAAATGCAGCTCAGTCGAATTTACCCTAAAGGAACGAGAGTAGATTCATCAAACTACATGCCTCAGGTCTTCTGGAATGCCGGTTGCCAATTGGTGGCTCTTAACTTCCAAACAATAGGTAAGTACCATTTCAATCACATTTTATTACTGTATTTGTTCTGGGGACAAATTGTACAGTAAAAAGATAAAAGCAGGTAAATGATTGGTAGGTTTCGTAGGAACAATGATACCCAGTAGTATTAAGTCTCTTCACAGGCAGAAGCACATATTTCAGCTGACTTTCTTTTTTGATGCTATTAAAATTTGGGTATTTGTTTGCTCTCCAGGAAATTGAGGTGAATTGATCAGATAATTAAATACCAAAGGTAGTGTTGCACTCAAAGAACCCAATAAAGTCCTTCAGAAGTATTCAAAGTCAAATTCCAAAGGCTTCACAGGGTAGTGCAACTAGCAAGGGCTTCTATTCAAGATCAGGAGAACAAAATGATATACAACGTTTCAAGGTCAAGTCTTTTACATGATTAAGACTTGACAATGAAATGTTGTATATAATTTTGTTCTCTAAACCTGAATTTAACCCAAAATAGCCAAGTTAGTGGTTTCCTTTCAATTCAGCTATTTTGAGTAAACATGTGCAAGTCTGAGCAAATTTCAAATCCGTGGTAACATTGTTTACAGATTATTTCTTTACTTACAGATTTCTCTATGCAACTGAATATGGGGATGTACGAATACAATGGCAAATGTGGCTACAGACTCAAGCCAGAGTTTATGAGGCGACCTGACAAGCACTTTGATCCATTCACTGAAACCACTGTAGATGGAATAGTTGCAAACACTCTTTCTGTAAAGGTATAAGTAGCCAGTCAGACAAAGCCTGTTTTTTTTTATAAATGGGAATAATGGAAATAATTATTTTTTGATCATAAAAATAATGTTAAGCTAGAAGTGCAGTTTATTGAGTAGATTGAGTTGAGTTTTGATATCGTGACACGGAAGGTCTGACAATTTATTGCCAACAATCACAAGCAAATGGTATGTTCTACAACCAAATCAACTCACTGTCCCACCTCATTCCAGCCCCTTTAATAATTTCTGAGTTCACCTGCACCAGTGCACCAGTCCAAGCACAAAAGGGCTGCACCCATACAATTCTTGCCCTGAATATTTATTCCCATCACTTCTCTGCTGAAGGACTGTGCCAACAGACAGATTTGTAATCAGAAGATTGGTGGCGTGAGGCTGCAGCCCTGAACCAGATCCCCTTCCTAATCCCCCTCCCCATTATGACTCGAGTAGACATCTACTGTAAGAAATTATGACCCTCTTACAAGGATATTCTTTTAGGGAATGTGTGACAAATAGGACACAAACACAACTGTATAATAAAATGTATTGCTAATATTGGTTTAGGATACTGTTACAGATTTAAAAACACATTATAACCAAAACAGTCCAAAACCAAAAGATACATAATAAAAGGGCAATACTTAAACATTTAGATGAAGATCTTCCCCTTGCGCCTTCATGTTAGTATCCTGTGCTTGCTGCACTGTCCTCTCCAAAAGAAACAAAGAAAGAAGTGAGGCTGTTGTTCTTTTAAAGATTGATTCTTGCTGTCATTAACTACAAGTCCCAGAATCCCTTTCCCTCCCAAAAAGTGGTTTATCCAGTCACATTTTTCCAGAGAGGTCTGTCTTTGCACAAGTCTTTCCCTTTGATCTCTTCCCTCAAGCTTTACTGTAACGTTCTGAAAGAAGTGACCAGTTAGGGTTGGTTTCTGGGTAGATTGGACAGGATGGCTTGGGAAAACACACACTTCAATGGTTACATCTAGATGTTCATTACTCTGATCTTCTGATAACATGCATGGAAAACTGGTTGGCAGGAGAACTACTGGAGGGATGGAAGCTTTTGTTTTAGCTGGGTGTTGTAAAATGCAACTGAAAACGTTGATCCTTATCACACTGTTATCAAGTAGATGACCCCTCCCCCCCCCCCACTTTGTGAAACCAGTCACATACACAGAAAGTTATATACAATATTGCAGTTTTGCATATCAATTTCTTACACTACAAGCCTTGCCACAGTGGTTTGTATACATATTGGGGGTGAGGCTGTAGGACAGCTATTCTCCAATATGTATACATGCTCCTGTGGTTTCTGGAGGCCTTCTGTGAAGGTGTCCTGGGGAAGCTGTTTTTCATGTAATCACCATCAAGCAACTAGCACATTTTTGAAGCTAAGTGTGTGGTTTCCCTATTACTAATGGTGGAGCTGTCTTCTGTATACAGTAGAATCAACAGGGGGAATAATACTTATGTGTATAATGAGCACAAAACCCTGCAAAAAAAAAAAGGTACAAAAATATACAAAAATTTGATATTGAGCATTAAGCAAATGCAAGCGTTAACACAGAAAGTTTCAGTCTTTGTCATTTATAGTGAAAATCACCCATTTAAAGCACTAGACTAGATACATATAGTGTGTATGTTGTCTGAAGGTGAAAGAGTTGTTACTGGATGGAAAATGTTACAACCAATGGAGAATAGTTTTATAATAGTGTATCAAGCTTGTTCTATTAGAGCAGTGGTTTTGAACCTCTATATGCGATCCTCTCTTATACGAAGAAAAATAATTTTCATCTGGCCCAAAACAAGTGCCAACATACGTTTTGTTGTTTGTTTGTTTTTACTGTAATAGCATTACTCATCGCCTTTTGGAGACCCATATGATACTGGGAAGATTTTAATTAAGGTGTTTTGTGAAATGGAGCTCAATTTTAATTATATTACACTTAATGGGTCACAGACTTGTTTATCCAATTGAAGAATGGGCTGCCAAGCTAGTGTCACGTAGAGAGCTTGGGTTCCTGATAAAAATGTAAAAAAAGATTTAAGGACCATTGTTTTAGCAGCTTCTGCATTTATTAATATATTTTTTTTGTTTTCCTTCCAGATCATTTCAGGACAATTCCTTTCAGATAAAAAAGTTGGCACTTACGTTGAAGTGGACATGTTTGGGTTACCTGTTGACACAAAGCGGAAAGCTTTCAAAACAAAAACTTCCCAAGGAAATGCTGTTAATCCCGTTTGGGAAGAAGAACCTATTGTTTTTAAAAAGGTTATAAGATTTTCATTTCGTACCAGCCTATCCTTAAATATACTTATCCCTATTTACTATGGCTTCTTTTTTTTCCTTAACCAGCTCTCACAGTTTTATGTCTGACTTTTATTATTATATAATTGTAGTTATTTTGATTGAGGTTGGTTAATTAGTAATATAGGTTTCTACCGCTGCTTATTAAGAATGCTGCCCCGGATTATCTAGATTAAAAGGGGTGCTGAGGTTTACCTGCATGTAATTCTGAAACCAACCACACTTTTATAGCATGTTAAGGCAGGAGATCATATTAACGCATTGATTACAGTGACAGGAATGCTGAACAGGTTTGTGTCTAGCAACACTTAACCATAACTGTGGTGGATATAATGTGACTTTGCACTCATTAATTTGTTAACAATATAAATAGACACATGTGAGTGTGCACAAAAACACGAAAATCAACTATTCGGTTATGCATTATTAAAATGGGTACTATTTATATTTATTAAAGGGTACTTTTTTTTTTTTGGTTAGATTTATGAAACGTTGCAAAGGGCCTTATAGCTTCTAAGTATAATACGCACAAGCCGCTTACATTATGGATCGTAAAGGTAGGCTGGCCGTGCATGTCCCAATGCTCTGGACGTTTAGAAGTGTCGGAGTGATATTACACAAAGCAGATCAAGTAGTTGAAGGGACGCCTCTATTTCTTATTTATTCCAGATTTTATTTAGATTTAGTGGAGCCCTGGATCCAAATAAACAAGAGAACACTATATAACACAAGTCTGTATTCCTAACGCTATAATGTTCATAGAAACATAGAAACATAGAAACATAGAGTGTGACGGCAGATAAGAACCATTCGGCCCATCTAGTCTGCCCAATTTTCTAAAAACTTTCATTAGTCCCTAGCCTTATCTTATAGTTAGGATAGCCTTATGCCTATCCCATGCATGCTTAAACTCCTTTACTGTGTTAACCTCTACCACTTCAGCTGGAAGGCTATTCCATGCATCCACTACCCTCTCAGTAAAGTAATACTTCCTGATATTATTTTTAAACCTTTGTCCCTCTAATTTAAGACTATGTCCTCTTGTTGTGGTAGTTTTTCTTCTTTTAAATATAGTCTCCTCCTTTACTGTGTTGATTCCCTTTATATATTTAAATGTTTCTATCATATCCCCCCTGTCTCGTCTTTCCTCCAAGCTAAAAAAAGTATATGCTAAACTCAATAATTCCATGCTAGAAACAAAGCAAGTATAATAAATCATATACAGTGACCCACATATTAAAATGAAACTGTACACATATTGTAATAGGACATAGCTTGCAAAAAGGTATAAATATTAACTAACCCAAGCTTGAATTTAAATATATACTTCAATCCTACGCTTAAAGGGACACTGTAAAAAGCATAACCTACACAGCTCAGTGTAGGACTTATGTTGCAAAGGAGTCTTTGACTGTGAGCCCTTATGTTATTGTCTAACACAGGGGTTCTCAACCCAGTCTTCAGGACCCCCTACCAGTCCAGGATTTGGGGATTACCTGGGTGTGTCTCAGGTGTTTTTTTCTTCTTTTTCTAAACACCTTAGACACACCCAGGTAATCCCTAAACCCTGGACTGGTAGGGGGTCCTGAGGACTAACGTTGAGAACCCCTGGTCTAACAGTTTGACAAAAAGGTCTCTTCTGGCTCCAGAAATCCTCCACTTTCACTGAAATAAGCAATTTCACTTCTCCGTAATCCACACAAATACAGTTTATCCAAGTTTTAATGGGAATAATAGTCTGCGAGCTGCAGACTAAGGCCACAATCATCCCTCATTGTCTATTAATACCATTCTAATTAAGACAGGATATCTCTGTTTTATGACAAGTTTCTCAAGAACAGTAAGACAGTCAAAAAATAATAAAAGACTCCTTGCACCAGAACAATTACCACTACACAGAGCAATGTGCTGCAGTGGTTATCCTGCTAAAAGGTCTGCATTCTGCTTTTAAGTATAATATGTCTCACTCTGTGCTGTGACTGCAGGTTGTGCTGCCCTCTCTGGCCTGTCTCAGAATAGCAGCATATGAAGAAGGAGGCAAATTCATTGGTCATCGGATATTACCTGTGGCAGCAATCCGGCCAGGTAGGACTGTGCAGATAGAGGGATTATATGCTTTCTACACATTATTCTTTTTCAAAATACATTGAATTTTTTTTGTTTCATGCTTGACATGCTTGAGTATTTTGAAAACAAACTTGCAAAAAACTATTTGTTTAACCGCATCCATTAGATTAATGGGCAGAGTGAAGCTTAAGATGAAACCTGCTAAAAATCAAAAAGTCAATTGTTGACTTTTTGTTAATTTTACCGAATTCACCCTTTTATAATAGACATTATTTTATCTAACATATTTAATACTTTAACCTGCAGAAATGAAATATAAATATGTAATAATGATGAATTAATGTAACAGTCTACATCTGTATTTGTCAGCATGGGGCCATATTATAAATGTATCAAATTGGGGTGTCTTTCTGAGCTGTACCCCTTAGTCGTAACAGGGGACATATTCCTCTTCAAGGAAAGACAACTGTGTTTTTCTCAGATTTCTTAGTTTAAATATCTGCATTTTCTGTCCTAGTTTGACCACTGCAGCCATGCAATTCTTTGTTTCCCTGATAAATGTTATTTAAGTAAAGCATTCTGTAGGACAGAGATACTTTTCTAAACTGCGTGTCCTTTAAGATGTCACAGTATGCAAATGCAGTGGACATGAGCCATCACAGCTCTAGAACGTTATATCCTTTTAAAGGACCACGATAGGCACCCAGACCACTTCAGCTTAATGAAGTGGTCTGGGTGACGGGTCCATCTAGGTTTAACCCTTTTTGCTGTAAACATAGCAGTTTCAGAGAAACTGCTATGTTTACCTATGGGTTAATCCAGCCTCTAGTGGCTGTCTCATTGACAGCCGCTAGAGGCGCTTATGCGCTTCTCACTGTGATCTTCACAGTGAGAAGACGCCAGCATCTGTAGGAAAGCATTGATAATGCTTTCCTATGGACTGGCTGAATGCGTGCCCGGCTCTTGCCGCGCATGTGCATTCAGCCGATGACGGCAAAAAGGAGGAGGAGAGTTCCCCGCAGCGAGGGAGCCAGACTGGGGAAAACAGGTAAGATTTAACCCTCCCACCCCCTAGAGCCTGGCGGGATGGGGGGCCCAGAGGTTGGGGGGGACCTAGAGACCCTATAGTGTCAGGAAAATTTGTATGTTTTCCTGACACTATAGTGGTCCTTTAAGCACCTTTCTATTAAATATGACTTTTTGGATTTCTCTCCTACACATTTTAACTTTTCATACTTTGCCTTATTTTCTCATATCAGTAACTACCCTACATAGATAAGTCTTCAGCAAAGCTTCCTCTACGGCAGATGTGTATCTATGGCTATCTAATGGACAACCAAGATTCCATCTATTGCATAGCATAATTTTGTGGTTTTTCATCCTGATTTATGAACGTTTAACCAACTTAACTTTGGAATACAGTTCTGCCCTCGCTATCTTTTATGTAATAAGAGACATGTTCCTTCTTATTGGATGTAGCTTCATACAGATCCAAGGTGGAACAAAGACACATTAGTGATATCAAAACCTTGTGTGAGATAACAGCTACAATACTAAGCAGGAAATGGTGCACAGAGTCTGTTCTGTAAGCCATACACTAGGGAGAATTGACAAAGACAATTGTAGACCAAAATAAAGCTGAACTAAAGATCTTTTGCCAGTTTTGCTATTCTAGCCAAAATTCTCCAATTTCTTGTAATTTCTCTGCAATTTCAAGTTTAGTCAACAAACCTCAACATTGGCCCTCTAAACACCATCTTATCTTTGATTTAATAATATGTTCTTGTCCCTGTGTTATAGGCTATCACTATATTTGTCTAAGAAATGAGAAGAACGTTCCTCTGACATTGCCGGCATTGTTTGTCTACATAGATGTGAAAGACTATGTCCCTGACACATTTGCAGGTACTTCGCAACAGCCATTTTTTGGGAGAGGGGGGGAATTGACGAGTAACTTCTTATTTAGCTAAACAATATTTTACTATATTACCAAAATATAACTAACCTTTTATAATATATGATTGTGAACATTAACATCTCATACATTTATGGATATTAGTATTTTTCATACCCAACAAATATCATCCTCACAGTTCTTACTGTAGACCTTTAGATAGAAAATAATGTCAGGAATGCATGACTGTTTTGTGATAGATACATTTAGCTATCACAGTCACACTCTATTTCAGGTACAAGGCATTTCAACACAGTCACTGGAAAAAAAAATTGTCTAAAATTTCTCATTTAAGCAGATCAATGAGTTGAACATTATGATTTTACTGTATAATGTTTTAGGAATCCCTTTTTGGCAACAGCTATCCATTTTAAACAATTTTCACATTGACATTGACTGTCACTTCTTTTTAAGAAGGGTTAACATTTTAAATCATTTCTATTTGCAATGATAAACATTAAAACAAGTGTATTAATGAAAGCAGTTTCAGATTTTTTTTTTTTTTTTATATATAAAAATCCTTACAGAGACCTATGTTGGTATGCAAGAGTATTACTTTAATACTTTCCTGATATCAAATTAATATTATTTTTATGGTTATTCCTCTATTTTTTTCTTCTTATATAGATGTGATTGAAGCTTTATCCAATCCAATCAGATATGTGAATTTGATGGAACAGAGATCGAGGCAGTTGGCTGCGCTAACCTTGGAAGATGAAGAAGAACTGAAAAGAGAGGTAGCCATTTTTAAATATTAACAAGAATAATGTTACACATATTATACACATGCATTCATGAATATGTTTATATATAAAGAAAGTGGATACATCATAGTTACTCATGTGAAAACAATGCCATCAAAGTGTTATGGAGAAATTCAAAGGCCACTTGACCAAAGGTGAATTCTCCAGAATCACAAATGTCTCAGGTAAGTATTTTTAAATATTAGATGATTTGTTATTTATGTTTTTAAAGTTTTGTTCCACAGCCAATAGAATGCCATAGATTGACTGTTCTCTGCGATGTCTGCTACTTTGGAATAAAACACATGCATAGATACACATACCTACACCTACACACACCTACACACACACACACACACCTACACACACACCTACACACATACACACACACACACACACACACACACACACCTACACACACAGCTATGCACTCTTGTAGAGAGCTACAAATATACATAGTCAGTCACAGTCATGCTCTTAAATAAATACATTTATCTCTCCTCTGTCTGTATTTTATCTTTTTGCCAGTGGTGCGGAAGGAGTTATAGCCATCCCCATGAGGGAGTTGAACAACACCTGCAAGTAATGACCCATACTTACATAAAGGCACCCACTGTCTGATCTGCTCTAATTAATATATCAAGTCCTATAATTAACCAACAGCTATCTGACATATTTTGGTACTCCACAGAACTAGGGGGAACTGAAGATACTGATAACCCATTCATAAGAAATTAGATAATGGGTTCGAGAAGCTGTCTTAATTATTCCTTTCTGTGCTACTTGACCAGTCTTATGTTTGTATTTTAGTTTGTCCTGGTGGTGGTTTTGTTACTTCTTTAACTTTGCATTTTATCTATGTGTCATTTGGACTCAACTTAAAACATAGCAGCCATAAGTGAGATTAATAATTAAGTGTTCTTGCATAGCAAGACCACTTAATGTTATCTCACATATATATTATTCTTATTCTTATTATAGCCAAATTTACCACCCTAACTCCTCCCACAGTTTTTACACTACATAGACAGTAATATAACGAAACGTGCGGATTGGATTGCTATTACTTTGTGGAATGTTTTGCCAAATGGTTCACGAAATATCGTCGTTTTTGTGGCAAAATTGATCCCATAGGAATGTATGGCAAAATGTTCAAAACTAGAGTGGGAGCTGACAAAAGCTGAAAAATCAGGACATGATTTCTAAACTGCCACCACTCCCTCATTTTCAAGCCCACCTACACAAATCTTATATCAAAACGTTCAGCTATCCCTGCTGCCACTAAAATGTCCACGGCAAAGCCACAGTCCTGATAGTTTTCACAATATGACCATTTGTTTGCAACTCCATTGACATTCATTGAAACTCCAATCTAGCCAGCTCAGACTTGAAGGGCAATTTCTAAACTGCGACTGTGCCTTCATTTTTAATACTTCAGAGACATACTATGCATCAAAATGTAGGTTTGGGTCTTGTGATTCTCACAATATAAAGCTCTCCACTGTAGGATGTATAGTTTTTAAAATACGACCGTTTGAAGATGGCAACCACCAAAATACTCTGACCTGTGCCAAGCTGGAGCATCAAGTGATGTCATAGACAGGGCCTTTTGTACACCTGCTAATGTTTTTATAAATGTATGTTTTAACCCCTTCAGGACGGGTGACGGACGAGGTCCGTCACAGAGGGGAGACCCTTAATGACGAGTGACGGACCTTGCCTGTCACGCGGTAAAATTAACCCCGGATCGCCGCTATCGCGGCGATCGCGGGGTTAATGGTGCTCCGGTCTGCCTCTCTATTAGAGGCAGATCGGGAGCACCCGGTCAGGCTGCCCAGCATATGTGCTCGCTCTCACCTTATGTCAGAGCGAGCACATGTGCTCTGTATACTTACCTTCCGCCTCCCTGCACTTCCTGGTTCTGTGTGAAGGGCAGGGAGCCGGAACAGTGCTGATCCTACCCCCTGCTGGAAAAAAATAGTTAGTTTAAAGTCCCAACCCCCCTTTACCCATTGTAATAAAAAAGTAACCCCTTCCCTGCCAATTGATCACTGACTACAGTGATCAATTGGCAGGGATTACATTTTACTATGATCTGATTTTTTTTTAACCCCTGAGGGTTAATTCTTTTTTTTTTTTTGTATCCCTCAGAGGTAAAATTTATTTAATTAATTAATTAAAATATTTTAAAATTATATATTTAGCTAGCTGGGGTGGGTGGAAGTTAGTGAGGAATCGGGGGATTTGGCGTTAGGCTAAATAGGGGTTAACGTTAAAAAAGTTTTAAAATAAAATTTAAAAAGTTAAAAATTAAGCTTAAAAAAAAGTTGTAATAACGTTAAAGTAAAAAATAAAAAAAACACCCCCCTTTACCCAGTCCAAATAAAAATTAACCCCTTCCCTGCCAGTCGATCACTGCCTACAGTGATCAAATACAGATCACAGTATTATACTGTGATCTAATTTTTTTTAACCCCTGAGGATTAACTTTTATTTATTTTTTAACCCTCAGGGGTTCAATTTATTTAATTAATTAATTTAAATATTTTATACCTATATATTTTGCTAGCTGGGGTGGGTGGGAGTTATGGGAAAATGGGGAATTTACTTTTAGTGCTGCTTACTGCTAGTTAGGGGTTAACGGTAAAAAAAAAAGCTTAGAAAAATGTTAAATCTGTAAAAAAAAGTTTTAGGAAAGTTTAAAAAAAATTAATACGCAAAACAAAAGTTTAAAAACTAGTTTTTTAAAAGTAAAAAAGTAATAAAAAAAAGTAAAAGAATACATTTTAAAAACGCTCATTACCACTACAAATGGAACAAACTAGAGAAAAAATTATCCCATGCCAAGGTTCAAAATATGCCTTTTGAATTACCCCAGGGTGTATTCTTTAATAAATAGTATGTGTTTGTGGGAAAGTTTCAATAACCAACCGTCTAAACTACTCCAAATTAGAACATGGACACAGCGTAAAACTTCAAAGTTAGAAAAAAACTGAATGGCTGCGTCTCAAATGCGCCCCTTCAACATCCACATATACCTGACAAAGGTACATACGGGGGTATTGCTGTACTCAGATGACATAGCTGAGCAACATATGAAGTATTATACAGTCATAGCACACATAAGGTTTGCAAAATATACTGCGCAAACTCACTTTGTATGTCAAAAAGGCAGAAAAAACGCTTATTACCACTACATCTGGTACAAGCTAGTGGAAAAATGATCTCACGCTAAGGTTCAAAATATACCTTTTGAAATACCCTGGGGTGTCTACTTTAAAAAATGGTAGGCCTTTGTGGGGTAGTTTGAATTTAAAACCTGCGAAGATGCTTGGAAATTGCACATAGGCCCAGTGTCAAAATTCAAAGTTCGGTAAAACGGATATGACTTGGTCTCCTATATTGCACTGTAGCTTCACGAAATAGTGCCAAAGACATACAATGGGGGTGTCCTTTTACTCAGAAGACTTAGCTGAGCATAATTTGGGGGGTCAGCAGATGTAACTGAACACAAAATAAAACTTTGTACAGGAATAGCACACACCAACTTTACAAAATATACACGAGAATTACTTTGTTATAAGTTTGTGTGCCAAAAACCAAAAAAAACACAATTTTACTCCAATATTTAGCAGAGGTTGGCGGTGAAATGGCTACGTAGAAAGTGTCAAAACAACCCTAGTTAAATAGTCTGTGATGTCTACGTTATATAAATAAATACTTTTGTGTGGCAATTTTGTTTTCGTTTATGGCTATTAAGCTTACAAGACAAACATACCAAATTCTAAAATCGCTCCACATTAAAGGTTTAGTTTACTCCTTGTGCTTTGTGACCTGTAACTACCAAAAAAAAACTTAAAATCTCAGACACATTATATATTCTGTAAATCAGAACAACTTAATGAATTTATTTTTAATTACTTTTCTTAACCTGCACTAATTGTGCACACATTATTATTGCAATTTTCATTTTTTTTTACATTTTTCTGTATTTTTTTATAATAAATAAGCATTTATATATATGTGTGTTACATCAAATTAAAGCCCTTTCTGTCCTTTAAAAAAACGATGTATAATATGTGTTGGTGCAACAAATTAGTAAAATGTAAATTGCAGTTGAACGCAAACAGCAAAAAATGAAAAAAATGCTGTTGTCATTAAGTGAAAGACAAGCTTTTGAAGCTCTGTCCTTAAGGGGTTAATGTAACTGTCAAGCACTTTGGGCAACAACGTTGCAATTAAATGTGCTATATAAATAAATAAAAGTTGAAATGCATTTCTCACTCTATCGAGCTTGCCATGTGCACTTTTTAAATTTGATCAATCAATTGGTTAGTGTAATGTTTACTATCTTTACTCACTCCAAACACTCCACACAGTTACTCTGCCCACTCCATAAAGTTACTCTGCCCAGTCCAACCTTTCCATGGTTACTCCAGCAACTCCAACCACACAACAGTTACTCCAGCCACTCCACCCAGTTACTCCGCCCACTCCAGTTGTAGACTACTGGTGGAGGCAAGAAGATTTTACACAATTTCCCCAGAAATTGTAGCTTTTCAAGTTTATTTCTGAAACTGGACATTTGCTAAGGTGAAGACCAGTGTAAGCACATTCCATGGGTGACCTGACCCCTTTTACATCATTGCACTACTTTTCAAAACAGTCACCCCCTGCTCTGCAGTTTCTCCCCCCTCAATAATACTGGTGGCTGAAGATGCTGCTGAAAAGATGAACAACTAATCATATCTACATTTTGAAGCATTATTTAAAAAACAAACAAAAAACACGTATTCAATGGATATAAAACCTTTAGACATGCTCAGTCTGCTCTAACAAGGTTTCAGATATCATGTATAGACTTTGCCTTAGGCCATCAAATACTGGACATCCTAAAAGATAGACCCACATATAGCATTGTCTTCTAGAGTTATTGTTATTTCTTACCAGCATCAGAGAGTAGAGTCTGACCTATTTAAAGTTATGTTATTTACTAAATATATGTAAACATAGTTTATGGTTTTTAACAGGTCAAGACCTCTAATGGGTGTGGGGTTATGTGCATGGAGAAAGCGGGTAGAGCCTGAGCCTGAGATTAAAGTCAAATTTCAAGGGTAAAGCTCCCACTGGTGAATACCTCACTACTACATCCACTAATCTCAAACTTTTCATTTATTTTGCTTATGCTTTGTTCATATAATTCTCAAATTACACAATAGACACTTCACTTTTAGGGAGTAAATTACACACACTCTATGTCGAAGAAGAGTGTAGAGGCTTTGGGACACACATCGTTGTACCCAACACCAATAAAAATAATTATTTGTTGTCTCAGTTACTATGAATAAACTGAGAAAGTGCCAAACAATAAAGTAGGTAACATAGCTGTCTAGGTTGAAAAAAAGACTAAAGGCCATCAAGTTTAACCCGAGGCCCATTCATTTATGCTTTTGATCCAAAAGAAGGCAAAAAAAAAACAACAATTGTAGCCTTTTCTAATTATTCCACAAATAGAGGGAAAATAATCTTTCTTGACTTCTTAATGGCAATCAGATTTCTCCTTGGATCAACAACCTGTTAACATACATATCTATTATATCCTTGAATATTATGTTTATGCAAAAAAGAACCCAACCTTTTTTAAATTATGTATTAAATCTGATAACACAACCTATTTAGGCAGAGAATTCCACATATTTATTGTTCTTACTTTGAAGTACCCTTTCCTCTGCTGTAAGTGAAAACACCTTTCTTCCAGTCTCAATGGGTGACCTCTGTTGTAAAGTTCTGCTAATGAACAGGTTAGAATATAGTGGTTTATCCTGACCTTGTATATATTTGTATAATGATATCATATCCTCTCTGATGTGCCATTTTTTCTAAAGAAAACAAATCCAGTTATTCTAGTCTTTCCTTATAACTAATATTTTCCATCCCTCTTACTAGTTTTGTAGCTCATCTCTGCACTTTTTGTAGTCCTGCCATATCCTTTTTTTTTAAATTGGTGCCCATAATTACACCACATAGTCAAGGTGGTGTCTTCCTATAAATTTGTAAGGAGTCAAAATTATATTTGGATCATGTGAATCAAAACCTCTTTTTATACACAAAAACCGCTTACTAGCTTTTGCAATGGCAGACCAGCTTTGCATATTGTTGTCTACTTTGTGATTTATATTATTGTTCCCAAGTCCTTTTCATTTAATGCTATCCCTAACTCAACCCCATTTAAGTTCCTTATGCAAAAATCATGATTGTGCATTTATCTGTATTGAATCTCATCTGCCAATTGCCTGCCCAGCCCCCTAATTTATATAAATCGTTCTATAGAGAAGTTATATCATGTTCAGACTTTCAGACTGTACTTTCTCACCTAGTTTTGGATCAGCTGCAAACACAGGCAAATTACTTTCAAAGCACCCTTCAAGATCATTTCTAAACAGAAGTTAAATATATACATATATATACGAAGTTAAAGAAAGAATGGGTGAATCGGTGAAGAAGCATTAATTGTTTTACCATTTATGTTTTTATACAATATTCTCTATGAGTGTGATAAATATTTTATCAACATATCTACACATTTTTTTACACATGTTTTGTGTACAACTCTAAAATATCCAATATTCTTGTATCTTAATGGTTACTGCATGCATTTAACTTGCCAAACTAAATCTAAAATACATTTTGTCTAAATTATAAATCACATATTGCAGTCTGACCTACATTTCTTAAATTGCTAATCTGTATGGCCCAAGTGAAGTTATCCCAGGGAATAAATATGGTACTGCATGAAAGAACTACTCTGATCGCATACTGTGAATGAGGTCATTAAGATGGATCGCACATACCCTTCTGTCTCCAAAGAGCAAACTATCTAGGACATCATCTGATACTATTTCAGTAGAAAAAAGCATTATTCATCTTTGACCTTTCTGCGTTAAGAAAAATAAATACTTGTTGAAGATGACGAGAGACAGCTTTGTATATATTGTTTTCAAAAAAAAATTCTTGTGCGTGAAACAAAAAATAATTTTGCTTTTAAAATATATACGCATACTCGGTAACCTAAATAAGAAAAATACTGCCAAATGATCTAAGCTACAATATATATAATATAGAGACTCTTAAAATCAGAATGCATGCACCACATTAGTGTTGGACTGTTGTAGTTATGTTACCTAGAGTTGCTTTGCTTAGTCTTCTTATTTTATATGAATCAATTTAGAAGTGGTTTGACAATAAAACAGGGCTTTGCACGGAACCTTTAGATTCTCTCCTCCACAGCCTTTTTGATAATGTTGAATTACCACTTACATACATCATTTTCGTCCACTTTGCACAGCTGAGATTGTCTGAGAGTGCTGATGATAGATTTTGAACCATTCAGAATAAACAGTTCATTAGAGAAGAACAATAGAGTTGTCTTAGTAATGATAGCCTGCAACATCCACATCTACTTGTGATATCCACTATTATTTAGGTGAATGTTGAAAATAATTAATTCTACATCTTTAAAACATAAACAAAAACGCGCTCTGTATACAACAAAACTTAACTGTGTTGACAGAATCTATACATTTAGAAAATACTTAATTCAAAAAAATATTGTATGTTAAAGGGTACATGTCATGCTCTCTATAGCTTATACTTTCTTTAAAGAAAATAAAATTCCATCTATACATTGTGCTAGCAGATTTGCTAGCAAATGTATAGATTGGGAGAAAACCCCATTCAAAAATATGTATTTCTCTAACCTGTCAGTCAATTCTTCAACATAGACTCTAAGTAAAAGAGTTGACTGAAGAGAGAGAGCAGAAAAGACCACAGGCAGTCCTTCTGCTCTACATGTATAGCAAATGCTGCGCATGCACTGTGATTGTGATGGTAACTCTGTAGGTGATGCTGCTAGCACTGACTAGGGATGATAGGAATGGAGTGACTATCTATCTATCTATCTGTCTGTCTAAATTATTATTTTCTGAAGTTAACTCTGGGTGAAATTCAGTCGACCAAATCCCAAATTAATAATGACTAAATGGAATGATATTTTACCATTCAAATTCGGTTCACATTTGGTAAACATTTGCTCATTTGAGCATTCAGCTACTTTTGAGTATTGTAAATTTTAAGCGTTTGGTCCGACTAAACCCTCCTATTTTATATTATTTGTTTATTTAAGTTTTTTTTTTAAAATATAGATTTTTTTTTCATTTAGTGGTTGTCCCAAACCATCAGTCATCTCTCCCACTCAAGAATAAGCCAAACCAGCACATCCATTGTCGGTTATTTCGTAATTCGGTTATATGATCTTTCAGAGTTTGGATAACCCGCTGTTCATGCAAAGTTTGGACAAATTGCAATTCGTGACAAACCAAATGCAGAAGTCTAGAAATTATCACTCTTTTTTACAGTAATATAAACTGTTATCACATAATCACTAGGTTATGATCGGGAAATAAGACATGACATGTAGAATTTGAAGTTGATGGTCAGATAAATGAAATCTGTAGATATTGTTTAGAAACATAGAAGCATAGAATGTGACGGCAGATAAGAATTAGTCTCTGGCCTTGTCTTATAGCTAGGATACCTTATGCCTATCCCACGCATGCTTAAACTCCTTTACTGTGTTAACCTCTACCACTTCAGCTGGAAGGCTATTCCATGCATCCACTACCCTCTCAGTAAAGTAATACTTCCTGATATTATTTTTAAACCTTTGTCCCTCTAATTTAAGACCATGTCCTCTTGTAGTGGTAGTTTTTCTTCTTTTAAATATAGCCTCCTCCTTTACTGTGTTGAATGCCCATTATGTATTTAAATGTTTCTATTATATCCCCCTGGTCTCGTCTTTCCTCCACGCTATACATGTTAAGATCCTTTAACCTTTCCTAGTAAATTTTATCCTGCAATCCATGAACCAGTTTAGTAGACCTTCCCTGAACTCTCTCTAAAGTATCAATATCCTTCTGTTAGGTCTCACCAGTGTTCTGTACAATGGCATGAGCACTTCCCTCTTTCTACTGCTAATACCTCTCCCTATACAACCAAGCTAGCATTTGCTGCTCTATTACATTGTCTGCCTACCTTTAAGTCATCAGAAATAATAACCCCTAAATCCTTTTCCTCAGATGTTGAGGTTAGGACTCTATCAAATATTCTGTACTCTACCCATCCAACATGCATTATTTTGCGCATATCCACATTAAATGTCAGCTGCCACAACTCTGACCAATTTTCTAGTTTACCTAAATCATTTGCCATTTGGCTTATCCCTTCTGGAACATCAACCGTGTTACACATCTTAGTATCATCAGCAAAAAGACATACCTTACCATCAAGACCTTTTGCAATATCACTAATAAAAATATTAAAGAGAATGGGTCCAAGTACAGTTCCCTGAGGTACCCCACGCGTGACAAGTCCAAGCTTAGAATATATTCCATTAACTACAACCCTCTGTTGCCTGTCACTGAGCCACTGCCTTACCCATTCAACAATATTGGAATCCAAACTTAAAGATTGCAGTTTATTGATAAGCCTTCTATGTGCAACAGTGTCAAAATCCTTACTGAAATCTAGGTAAGCAATGTCTACTGCACCACCCTGATCTATAATTTTAGTTACCCAATCAAAAAAATCAATAAGATTAGTTTGGCATGATCTCCCTGAAGTAAACCCATGTTGTCTCTGATCTTGAAATCAATGTGATTTTAGATGTTCAACAATCCTATCCTTTAACATGGTTTCCAATACTTTCACCACTTACAGGCCTATAGTTGCCCGACTCCTCCCTACTACCTTAGGTTACGAAGTTGTTAAAGAGACTCTAAGAAGGGAGCCAGGGGATTATACTACAAAGGAGACTGAAGATTTGGTGGGAGGAAGGTTAGTCCTTGCTGAGCTTGAGCATTTGACTCAGGATGGACCAGGTTTGGGGCAGATGCAAATTACTTCTTAGGTTTCTTCTTGAGATTGGGTGCCAGTTGCAAGAAAGAAGAGGATTGATGAGCTTGTGTAAATATATTTTGGGGGTGCTCAAGTTAAAGGTATACTATCGTCACCAAAACAACTTTAGCTTAATGAGCAGTTACAAGAGAGACATGGTTTAGGCTACAGTTTCAAATGTGCTTTTGGAGCGCTACAATGCTTTTTGAACTTGGTGATCAGTTACAGTAAAGACAAGGTTTGGTTGTTAATGTGAATGTTTTTTATGGGTGCCAAAATACTTGCTGAGCCTGGAAATCAGTTGCATAAGAGTTGTGGTTTGGGAACTGGACGTGAAAGCCTTTTTGAAGTGCCTAACATTTTTTACTGCACTTAGTGATCCAGGTGAAGGTGGGAAAGGGCTCAATTTTCTTGTAAAAATCAACCTAATGCAGATCTGCAGACCAGGTCGATTTTTTAAAATTTCTTTTAACCATTAAACCTTTTAGCAATATATACAATAAAAGACCAGTTACAGATTAATTCTAAGATAAGTATGTTTTCAAGTTATATACAATTTGTGCACTAGATGGCGCTAGAGTTTGTTAAAGGAGCTCTGTCAGTGTTTGGACTACACTATGTATCTCTTCTATGTTTTGATATTTTAATGAAACGAATAGATTACATTACATGCACATATTTTAAAGGATTACATGATGAATGGAACTATGGGATGAGTGAAAAAAGTGTAGGATTCTACGGGATTGCATTTAAGGAATAAAAAAATAAACCGGAGGGACGTACGTGTGTCCATTTTGTATTTTTTTAGGTAATCTCCTTGTTTCTGTTTGGTGATCAGTAGAAATTAGAAAAAACATATGTATGTATTGTTCACAAAGTCAAGTATTGCTTTCAGGTATAATTGGTTTTCCATTAGATGTCAACAAAATTTATTTAATTATGTACACATACATATTTTGTATTGTTTTGAATTTTAATTTAGGCAATAAATTAAATGAGAAATAGACATAAACAATTATATATACACAATTATATCAAGTGCATGTTTCCACATCCTGCAGTTTTTTTAAAATCAAAATTCATGTCTCAATGAGCCAGGAGATGGGTGGGTGGATTTGTCCAAAGAATTCAGTCTCAGAGCAAACTGCAAGAATTTTTCAGACTGTAACAAATTGCACTTTACACACGTTTGATGTGACAGCACTTACTGTAAGTGGGCATTATGTCCACAAATATGCATTACTTTTACATTCGAGCTGGAGATTTCTTTCCATCCGAACTGAATTTCAGCCAAATTTGGGTTAGTCTGGTGATCGGTTTGGTTGAATTCTCGAACTATGTGTCCAAAAGTACCTGGATAATAAACCAACAGAAATGAGCAATGTTGGACATGTTCGGTTCGTGATTCTGAGCCAAAAACATACATATATATATATATATATATATATATATATATATTTACTGGGAATATTGTACTGATGACTAGACTTGGAGATCCATTTCAGGCCGAACTGCAATTTGTCCAAATATGGGCCGATTGGGTGTTCAGTGGATTTCGCAACCTCAATGCTGAAAATGTTTGGTTCGACTTGTGATCCTGGATTTCTGTGATTTCCGTGGCACAAAAAAAGAGATGACTGATGGGAAAAAAGATAAGTAATGGTTAGGGGACAGTCACTAAATGAAGATTTTATTCACAGACCAAGTAAGACGTGAGCAATAGAGGGAACAATAAGCAGCAGTGGAAAAGTCTTTGTCTATATATTATGTATTTATGAAGATATAATATATAACAAAAAATCTATATCTATATATCATATTTTTAACAAATAAATAATGTAATAAATATATAAATATCGATTTTCACTACTCCTCCTGTTTAGTTTTTTTACTTGATTTGTGAACCAAATGACAGGAAAATACTCCTATCAGTTTGCTGCAAAATACATACATAGTATTATATTGGGTGTATATTTTGCAGCACACTGATTTTCTCCCCCCTTTTTGGTTCTTCTGATATGGTCTCCAAATCGTGATTTCGGTTACGAAATTCTTCCGAGTTAAACATAACTAAATTGTCCTGAAAAATGTTCTATTTGCGGAAAACATAGCGTAGCTGAGACACGTTTTCTCGTTGTGCAGAAGTCTAATGGAGATCATTTTAGGTATTATTTCTCTGCTTTATATTGATGTGTGATGGACACAAAGTGTATGCAATTATTATGTTATTCATCACTATCCAGTACTCATTTCATTCATGGCTATGGTGCAGTATTAATTGCCTTTCATTATTAGCGCTTTAATGTAAAACCTGATACCACACAACCCTTGGGGTTAAGTGATTCCCACGATTTTTCTAATTTCTCTACAAACAAAGCTTATCCTTTGCTTATAGAACGGGTGCTAACAGAAGTGTAATGTACATTTAAAATCTTTCATCCTTTCTTTCTGTGTGTTGCTTGGGATCTCAGGTATGTGGTCACTTGACCTAAATCAAGTAATGCAAAGTATGTATCTGCTCTATGTTCACCTTCCTTGGTCACTTTACCATATTGTCTTCTGTCCACACCATCCCACCTCTTACGTGCAGGACTTCTTTAGGGTGACGCCACTATTTACAAAATGCCTTATCAGATCACAAACCCCAGTCCACTGAGGAATTCCTAAAACCACATTTCCTAAAAAAATAAACAAAATAAATATTTAGAAAAAAACCTACATAATGTTCTTGTAGTCTGCTTCAATTTACCATATTTTATTTTTCTACTTTCCATTGATTTAGATATGCATATTGTATGCCTGGCAAACTTTCCTATTCACTGCTTTTAACCTACCTTGTAATTATATCCCTCTTTATATCCCTCTTCTTTAAGTTTTTTTTAAACAGGGCTCTTTTCACATTTTGTGTCTACACCTCTTAGCATTATTAATGTTAAAAGTCCAGAAATCTATGGCAGAAGATATCAGGGAACGGTACAGAAACTGCCTTAATTATTACATGCACACAGGTGTTCAGGGGTACGAACCTCCTGAGTAAATAAAGGAAGGGGTTAATGATCCTACCTTATTGCTTGATTTCCTATCGCTTTATTTCTCTGTAAATCAATAAGCATAATCTAATCTGTCTTGGGTATTCTGTTGTCCACTTTCAGATCATGCCCCTGCAGTCTAACTGCTCAATTCTCTGCTCATTTAGGAATGAAATCACGTTGTTTATACAGCCCTTGTCACACCTCCCTGCATGTGACTTGCACAGCCTTCCTAAACACTTCCGAGAGATTTTATGTTTAAACCTCCTTTATTACACAGTCTGTTTAATGTAGAATTTCTTATCCCCTGCTCTGTTAATAATAGCTTAAGTCGCTACATGAGACTTTGTGTTAGAGTAAAGTTGAATTTACAGAGCAGGAGAAAAATAACTTCATGCACGCTGTGTGATTTAACTTCTAAATGGCAGTGAATTGAGCAGTGAGATTGCATGGGGCATAATCTATACAGTAAAACTGTTTCATTAAGTTAAAGGGTTTTTTTTTTTTGCATATTACGAGTTTATAACAATTAATGCAAATGTATTTAACAAAATATGAAAGTAACAAAAGGGAAGGAAACAAGAAAAAAAATAAAGAATTACGAATTTTTTTTGTGAACATTAAACAACACTTATGAAATTGTGCTATTTTTTGTCTTAAGAATTAATTACAGTTGAATCTCTGCAGTGATAACACAATAATATGGTTGTTTAATAATGTTAAATTTAAACGCTGACTTTCTGATACAAAACATGTAATAATATGTTGTCTATCGTAGATCGAAGCTGGTGAGGCACCATCAGAAGCTAACAGTGAACCCAGGCCGTTGCCAGCAGAAAATGGCTTGAACCACGCTACAACTCTGACCCCTAAGACTTCATCTCAAACTGCTCCCACTCAACCTGTTCCAGGTAAAAAAATATTCATCATAATTTTGCTGTTTAGTTCTCCGAAATAAGTCTTTCCAAACAATTTCTGGGTATTTGTGCATTCTACATGTGAGCTCTTGTAGAACAAATGTTGTGATAAAGAATATAGTTCAACAATCCATAGTGGGATTCATTCACTAAACTTGGACTTGGGGGAGAACTGACAGGGACATTGAGAATAATGTAATTGTAGCTGGAATAAAAAGATTTGTGAACACATCTATTCAGCCCACGTTTTTCAGTCCCCTTGTCAATTCTCTGCGATTCCAGATTTGGTAAGTAAACACTAATTTGTTTTTTGGAAAAATGAAAATCTAATGGTTTTGAATTTTGATTCAGAATAGCCATATATTATATTATTATTATATATTAATATATATACACATTCATAACAACATATCTCATGTTTTTTTGTTCATGGAATTAAAGGTATACTTTAAGGACCAAACAACTTTCGCTTACAGGGACACTGTAGACACCCAGACCACTTTAGCTAATTGAAATAGTCTGGGTGCTGTGACCCTTTTGCACTTAGTGTTGCAATGTAAAACATTGCAGCTCTAAGTCTGCCCACAGTGGCTATCTACCAGACAGCCACTAGAAGGCTACCGGAATCCAAACAGGCTTTTGGTCCGTTATCTGATTCTGGACGTCCTCACGGACTTCCAGTGTCAGATTTTCCCCATAGCGGAGGTCCCCTATGAGGAGGTCTAATGTGCGGCCATTGCCGTTCATGCGCATTAGGACTCCCTAGCCGACTGCCGTCGGCGGGGGAGGAGCATGGGCAGAGCCTGACCCAGCACTGAGGGACATCGGTGCTGTATTCAGGTAAGTGGCTCAAGGGGTTTAACCAGAAGGCATGTCAGATTTTGAAGATTTCATTGAACACAAACGTATTTTTCGCAACTAAAACTGTATAATGAATTTATAATTTATTATAGACTCATAGCACAGTTTACGAACTTACTGCATCTTCTTAACTTTACTTTTTACACAAGAAACCTTCTCTTTTCCTAAGACAATATGTATTTTTAATTTTAGGTTCTGTCAAAGTTCCTGCCAAAACAGAAGACCTTATAATGAGTGTCTTAACAGGTAAATTCTTTTTGAAACTTTGTGAGCCTGATGCTGCCAATGCCAACATTCTGATGTATATATATAAGCCCTGTTCTTGTGCTCCCACCTCTAGTAAATATTTACATTTACTACCCAATCCCCAAAAATGTATTAATGAAAAAAGATGAACGTGGGCAGTGTGCTATGTATAAAAAGCCACCACACTGGTGTTAAGATAGTGAAAAGTTATTTGTTATATATTTATTTAGAAATGTTTTAATGTTTTTATTCATTTCATTAGATTAATATGATATCAGTTTTATGTCGGTTTTAAATCAGAATTGTTAAGCTTTTCACATTCTTTAGAGCATGTTTTTTATTAATGAAAGCACTTCAAGCACCATAACCACTACACCGTGCTGTAGTGGTTGTGATCTCAGGAGTTCCCTTTCACCCCACCCCACATTTTAAGTAGTCAAATATTTTATAAAGTTTGACCTCTTACCTGGACTATGCTAGGCTCTGCTTCCCTTCTCCACTACAGCCATATGAGCTAAGCTGGGCAGTGTAATTCGTTGATGTTCTCAGCCAATCAGCTAGCCCTGCACTACTGGGCATAGCTCAGTAGAGCCTGGATCTCCTTCTGGCTCTTCTGGTGGCTGGGAGGAGGTAGGAAACGGAATCAGATGGACCCCCATAAGAAGTCAAACTGCTTTTAAAATGGTTTATCTGGTTACAAAGGGTAAACGCCATGACGCACTGTAGTGGTTACTGTGCTTGGAATACTCATTTACTGCTTCACAAACATAATATGCTCAGAAATAGACAATGAGTACTATGGGACCGGTCAATGAACCAAAAGTGAATAACTATTCAATGACTATAAATATATTTAACTGCAAAATATTTTGTTTAAACATTCATTGCAGAAGTGGAAGCTCAGACCATTGATGAACTGAAACAACAAAAGTCTTTTGTTAAACTTCAAAAGAAGCACTACAAAGAAATGAAGGACCTCGTAAAGAGGCATCACAAGAAAACCACCGATCTCATAAAAGAGCACACAACGAAGTACAATGAGATTCAGAATGATTACTTGAGGAGGAGGGCAATACTGGAAAAGACTGCAAAACGAGACAGCAAGAAAAAGTAAGTATACATCGGTCTGTCTATCTGAATTATTTGCTCCAATAATGACAAAAAGGATTTTTAAAGGAACACTCCAGTGTCCAGTGTTAAAGGACCACTATAGTGCCAGGAAAACATACTCCTTTTCCTGGCACTATAGTGCCCTGAGGGTGCCCCCACCCTCAGGGACCCCCTCCCGCCCGGCTCTGGAAAGGGGAAAGGGGTTAAAACTTACCTTTTTCCAGCGCTGGGTGGGGAGCTCTCCTCCTCCTCTCCTCTCTCCTCCTGGGCTGAATGCGCACGCGCGGCAAGAGCTGCGCGCGCATTCAGCCCGTCGCTAGGAAAGCATTTACAATGCTCTATGGACTGGCGTGCTCTCACTGTGAAAATCACAGTGAGAAGCACGCAAGCGCCTCTAGTGGCTGTCAATGAGACAGCCACTAGAGGAATAGGGGGAAGGCTTAACCCATTCATAAACATAGCAGTTTCTCTGAAACTGCTATGTTTATTAAAAAAATGGGTTAACCCTAGAAGGACCTGGCACCCAGACCACTTCATTAAGCTGAAGTGGTCTGGGTGCCTAGAGTGGTCCTTTAATTCCCACTAGATCGTTGGTAAGAGGGTCTTCTCACCAGGAGCTCCGCTTCACCCCTGGGAGATCCTCACAAGTAAAGGTTTCCATGCCAGTCCAATGCTTCTCATAGTGCAGGTGTGGCAATCACATAGAGAAGCATTAAATCCAGGTAAACCAAATCAAATTCAAATCAATGAAGGTTCCTTAACAAAAAGCTGAGAATGACCACATCCATATGTTTATAGTAAGACAGACAGATTAGCCCTAAAGTACATTCAGTGTACTGGTTGTCCTCTAGCTATTCTCAGTCAACAATTGGAGAAGATTCTGAAGCACAGAGATTGAGATCTGAGAGCATCTTTATTTAGTATTTTGTAAACAGATTATTAAAGAATGTAAAAGTTAGAATAAAACATACCTGAATATAGTGAATATACCGTATCGTCAATTTGGATTGATGAGTATTTGTTTATTTACGTACACACAATACTTTGGAGCCTTGAAAAGACTCTGTGGCTGGTGGTACAGTCTTCCTCAGAGGCTCTTCCAGGTTTTCCAAAGTCAAACTCACTACTACTACTTAACCCTGTTATTTACTAAGGTGAGAAGTCGATGGTTATAATAGATGAAGTGAAAAAAAAAGTCATCTATTCTGTCAGATCTGATACTTTGGCCTAAAACATGAAATTCACTCTGAATTCACTTTGAAAACTCGATTTAGGGAATAATCCTGAAAGTAAAAGGAAAATGGATCATGGACAGAAAAAGAAAAATTAAAGAATTTTTAATTGATAAATAAAAATGGTTTTAGTAAAATTTTGATGAGAACCCTACTCAAATACCGTACTTTCAGTTGTTAACTTGTAGTTTATCATAAAATATGTGCTGTTTATTTTCTCTATATGTTTATTTTACTGGGTGATTATTATTATTGCATATCCCACAGTAATGTGTAATAGGTAAATTATAAATACTATTAAAGGAACACTATAGTGTTAGGACTATAAAAATTCACTTAAGTGTCCCCCTACATATCTAGGTGTCCACCCTCTTCCAGGGGTTTAAAATGTAAGTTTTTTATCTTTTGCTCTCCATAAAGCCGCTCCTTATCTTTGTCTGAGATCATCAATGTTGATGATCTCAGCCAATCCAAAGCTTCTCCATATAGAAACATTGGGAGGCTTGTTTACATTCACGGCAGAATGCCACGCTGTGCCAATCAAATGCATTCAATGAAAGTAATTAGAGCTATAACCATATATACTCAGTTATAGCTGTGGAAGCAACACTAATGCCTGTATTCCTGACTATCATTAGAAGCATGTTAACCCTGAAATGTAAGCACTGCACTTTTTGCAAAAGGGCTATGTTTTTTGCGGCAGGTTTGAAATACCAGGGGCATGGTACGCAGACCACTCCATGGGAAGGGTAACAAAAAGCAAGTCAGGGTATAAAGAACAAAGAATACAGATAGCTCCGCTCAAATAACTTCTCAATTAAAAAAAAAAAAGTAAAAAGTTCAATAACACAAGAATGGAGACAAATAAAATCAGCATAGCGATGCATTTAGCGATATACACTCCTTGTATGAATGCCTAACAAGTAGTAATGTGAAAAATTGAAAAGAGTTGAAACAGAACAAGGTAAAATGGAATGGACTGCAAAAGAGATTCAGAGATTCTTACAGGACTGGTGACAATAGGAAAAAATCTCATTGGGCACGAGATGGTATTTTCAGTTTTTTGGGAAGTTCTGAAGACGTATAATGGATTAAAGGACCACTATAGTGCCAGGAAAACAAACTTGTTTTCCTGGCACTTTAGTGTTAATAGCCCCCCCCCCACCACCCTCATGGCCCCCCTCCCGCCGGGCTCTAGGGGGAGGAAGGGGTTAAAAACTTACCTTTCTCCAGTGCCGGGGAATCTCCTCCCTCTTCCGACGAATGTGCATGCACGGCAAGAGCTGCGCGCGCATTCAATCAGTCCATAGGAAAGCATTTATCAATTAAATAATAATGAGACAGCCACTAGAGGCTGGATTAACCCTAATGTAAACATAGCAGTTTCTCTGAAACTGCTATGTTTACAGCTGCAGGGTTTACCACAGATGGACCTGGCACCCAGACCACTTTATTGAGCTGAAGTGGTCTGGGTGCCTATAGTGGTCCTTTAATAAAAATAAATTAGTAGAGAAATTAAAAACTATAGCACTTTACTCATTTCCCAATGCACTTTCACCATGTGTTAAATATATTGCCTTTTACATATGCATTCCATCTTGTTTTATTTTGCTCAGATATATTTTCTGCAGTTGAGTCTGTGAACATGTAACAAAACCTGAAATGGGAAGAAGCATGCACCAAACATTTCAGCTGAGATACAGTTCTTACATCATAGTTAAAGAATAATTCAAGGTCTGCTACAGCTTTTCTTTGGCAGCTGCATACAAATGACTAGCTTATCAACAAATATCACAAATGCTCCTTGTAGCAGAAAATAACATGAAGCACAATGTGGCAATCAGTGTTTTGCTAGAATTTACGGCAAGAGAATTACTGGAGGCTCTGTGTTGGTGATATTGTCGAATGTTTTGATACGGAGGGAAAACATATTCGCTGACTCTGAAAATGATAAAATTGGATATTTCATGTGAACTGTAATGGAAACATAACCATTTTCTCGCTACAGTTGTAGAATTTATTAGCAATAATAGACATATTAAAGTTTATTGCGAGGTGCGTGGGATTTGCTGAAACTGCAGCTTTTATTCCAGCAGTAAATAAAGCGCTTTAATGTGAGTAATTCAGCTCTTTTGGTAATTGATATATTCTACCAGCATTACAAATCATGGGAAAATGTTTTCAAAGACATTTTAATATTTCTTCCGTGCATATCATTTCCTTTTTTTTCTGCAACTAGTTTAGCAAGCCACCTATTCCCGTAGATCTGGGGTAGAACCTAAAGATTGTTTGTAAGAAGACAAGTGTATAATGCACACACTAAAAAGATGGAATACTTCCTGCAGGGTGATCCAGAAAGGGAGGGCCAGTCTCTCGAGACAACAAATGGAAGAAAACATAGGTATCCAGGCACACCTGAGGTTTCTTCTAAAAGGCAGTCTTTTATCGCGAACCAAAAAAGTGGAGACAAGGTTTTGGCTCCTCTCTGAACCTTTATCGAGACTTTATAAAGGCTCAGAGAGGTGCCAAAACATTGTCATCACATTTTTGTCCTAATAAAATACTGCCTTTTAGAACCTAAAGATTAGCCGGTTCAGTTCTTCGAATCAAGGATAGTGAAGGTTAGGTACAGTGAGGGAAAAAAGTATTTGCACCCCTGATAATTTTGAACGTTTGACAACCGACAAAGAAATGATCAGTCTATAATATAATGGTAGGTGTATTTTAACAGTAAGAGACAGAATAACAAAACAAACAAAAAAAATCCATAAAAAAGCTTGTCAAATAAGCTATAAACTGATTTGCATGTCAATGAGTGAAATAAGTATGTGATCCCGTATCATTCAGCAAGATTTCTGGCGCCCAGGTGTAAAACACAGGGCAGAAGCTGAGAGTGGGGGGAGTACAGGTCAGAAGCAGAGAGTGGGGGGTGGGACACAGGGCTGAAGCAGAGAGTGGGGACGGACGCGGCAGAAGCGAAAAGTAGAGAGGGTAGGACACAGGACTGAAGCAAAGTAGGGTGACCAGACACGGGGCAGAAGCAAAAGCGTGGGGAACGCAGGGCAGAAGAAGAGTGGTGGGAGTGGACACAGGAAAACCGCACAAAAATGCGTCGTGAACAGGGCAGAAGCAGAAGTGGGTGGGTGAGACGCTGAGGCAGAAGCAGAGAGTAGGTGGAGTGGGACACAGAGGGCAAGAAACATATAGTGAAGAGGTAGAGATACAGGGCAATAGTAGAGAGTGGGGAGGAGGACGGGCAAGAAGCTTGAAGTAGAGGGTGGGACACAGGGCAGAAGCAGATAGTGGTGGGGAGATACAGGGCAATAGTAGAGAGTGGGGGGTGGGACACAGGGCTGAAGCCGAGAGTGGGGGGACCGAACACAGAGCAGAAGCAAAGCGTGGGGGGTGGAACACAGGGCAGAAGAAGAGAGTGGGGGGAGTGGACACAGGGCAGAAGCAGAGAGTGAGGAGGTTGGGACACAAGGCAGAAGAAGCAGAGAGTGGGTGGGTGGTGGGACACAGGGCAGAAGCAGAGAGTGGAGTGGGTGGGACACAGGGCAAGAAGCAGATAGTGGTGAGGAGATACAGAACTGATAGTAGAAGTGGGGGTGCAGGACACAGGAGGCTGAAAAGCGAGTGGGGGACGGGAGCAGAAAGCGTGGGGTGGGGCTGGGGCAGAAAGAAGAAGAGTGGTGGGAGACACAGGGCAGAAGCAGAGAAGTGGGGATTTGGGACACAAGGCAGAAAAACAGAGAGTGGGGGTGGGACACAGGGCTGAAGAAGAGAGTGGGGGACTGGACACACAGAAGACAGAAGCAGAAAGCGTGGGGACGCGCTGGGGCAGAAGGAGAGTGGTGGGAGTGGACACAGGGCAGAAGCAGAGAGTGGGTGGGGGGGAAACACGGCAGAAGCAGAGAGTGGAGGGGGGATACAGGGCAGAAGCAGAGAGTAGGGTAGAGGATGCAGGGCAGAATAAGAGAGTGGGGAAGGGGACATAGGGCAGAAGCATAGAGTAGTTGAGGGGACTCAGGGCAGAAGCAGAGAGTGGTGGGGGGATACAGGGCAGAAGCAGAGAGTAGGGGATGGGACACAGGGCAGAAGAAGAGAATGGTGTGGCTCCCAAAAACGTTTTCCTAAACTTTCTCAGCTGCAGCCATTCAACCAGATCACAGAGATCTGTACATATATATCTAAATGTACAGACCCTCATAATAAGGAGAGGATCAATGGCAGCAAACAGTGTGTGATCTCCATGCCCAGGAAATCCTAAATGCAGAGTCTGAGAGAATTAGAGCTCAGCACAGGGACCCAGAGCACAGCCATCTGCCCACAGCCAATACACGTGAGAAGCACACACAGCTCCTGGATGGCACACAATCAGCCTGATCACTCCAGTCCACTGCTGGATCTTACCTTTAGCAGTCTCCTGGTGATGCTGGCTGAGGTTGATGGTAGTGAGTGTGAGCAGCAGCTCATTCCAGCCTCTGCTCTCCATGCTGCTGCCTCCTCCTCCTTCCTCCGGTGCGGTGCTCTCTTATGAAGCTGGGAGGAAGTAATCAGCTGTCACTTCCTCCCAGCATTCTCTAGAGGGACCCGGTCATGCTACTAAAGGGCTACAGCACCAGACCGGGACCCTTTTCGACCGGCCCCCTCTAAAGTGATGAAAGTAGTGGGCCCATTTGGAAGCTGCTTTGGGCCCCCAGGAGTAACCGGGCCTGGGCAGCAGCTCCGTTTGCCCCACTGTAAGGACGGCCCTGATACTGTCAAACATGGAGGTAGAAACATTATGCTTTGGGGGTGTTTTTCTGCTAAGGGGACAGGACAACTGCACCGCATCAAAGGAACGATGGACGGGGCCATGTACCGTCAAATCTTGGGTGAGAACCTCCTTCCCTCAGCCAGGGCATTGAAAATGGGACGTGGATGGGTATTCCAGTACGACAATGACCCAAAACACACAGCCAAGGCAACAAAGGAGTGGCTCAAGAAGACGCACATTAAGGTCCTGCAGTGGCCTAGCCAGGGAGCTAAAGGTTTTAGTTGCCAAATGTCGGCCTTGAAACCTTAAAGACTTGGAGAGGATCTGCAAAGAGGAGTGGGATAACTACAAGAAACGTATGACCTCTGTGATTGTAAACAAGGATTTTGCTACCAAGTACTAAGCCGAAAGGGTCAAATACTTATTTCACCTATTGACATTCAAATCAATTTATAACTTTTTGACATGCGTTTTTCTGGATTTTGTTTTTGTTATTCTGTCTCTCACTGTTAAAATATACCTACCATTAAAATTATAGACTGATCATTGCTTTGTCAGTGGGCAAACGTTTAAAATCAGCAGGGGATCAAATACTTTTTTCCCCTCACTGTACTCCTGATATCACAAACTAATTACCCTTAAAAAATATATTTATGACTTATCTATAGCTTACTCTTTAAAAATTGTGCCTAAATATCAACTGTCACATCTTGTATTGCATATTTAATTTCTATATACCTCAATACCGCTGTTGTGGCATACTGAGGCTGTTTGTTAATTTGTGCACAACAAAAATAAAGAATAAAAAAAAATATATATATAAAAAATAAAAAAGCAAATAAAAACAGTTCATTTTTGGAAGTCTTACATTGCCTCTCCAACTCCACGTACTTTGCATTATTGTGAGAGATGGGCAAAAATTTGCAGGGATTTCCTGGGTCTTCCATTAATCACGGACCCCTGGCACATATTCTCACTTCTTTCCATTCTTGTGTGGTAGGGCTTGGCATTTTATATATAAGTGTGGGGATGATGATCTTCATTTCATCTTGCTTCATGACAAGCATGTAGGTAACACTAGGCAAGTCTGTCATGATATGGCTATTCACGGGGACCTGCACTTTCTTCATGCCTTTTAAATGATGTACCATATCAAATTCACTGTGAGGTTTGGAATCTCTTTGAATGTGTTTTTGTGTCTCCCAAGTAGCTTTGAAGTTCTATGAGAATTGTGTAATTATTTATCATATGCTACTTTTCAGGCAAAACATTCTCAAGTGTCGTTCAGGCTTGATTGCGTAAGTTTCTGTTGATAACGAAGTCGCATGTTTCATAGGTAGTTTGGCTGGAATGGAACCTAACACCATGTGTATATTAATCTAAATGAGTGCATACAGTCCAAGCATGGTGCATCTTCACAAGTATATTTTGAGGTGTCAGGAGCAGTGCATTAATAAGGAGTGTACTTCAGCTTTGCCTGCTCTGTTCCCAGTTCTGTCCCCATAGAGCAACATTTAAGTAATCATGCTGATGTTACTGGGTGACCCACTATCTCAGTAGAAGAGCCACTGTACTGTCAAGATCTTTGAATGAGCAAACCATGGCTTCCCAACTTCCATGGTCTACAAGAAGGACTACACCAAACAGTTGTATAGCTAAATGAGCATCTATGAGGATTCCACTTTTTAGGTTTGCTCTGGTGTTGACTTGTTAAAAAATAAAAAATAAATTGCAGGTCTAATGCTTTTAAAATGTATAACAGAATACTGAATACTGAATCTTTAAATGTCTCACGTTTTTTACAGTTAAACATGCAAGTTTCCTATCTTGGTGACATAATGCATGACCTTCCTTTGTGTTTTTTTTTATTACACTAAAATAAGGTGAGGTACTCAGACTGCAATGTGTGTTTATGTGGGTTTAAATACAACTTGGTGATTTTTGTATGATGCTGTTAGGTTCACTATGCCAATTCATATCTATGTAGCTGCACAGTTAATACTTTCTTTTTGTCCACCTTTTTACGTAGATGTGAAGGAGGCAGTCCTGATCATAATTCTTCAACCGTTGAACAAGATTTAGCTGCGCTGGATGCAGAAATGGCTCAAAAATTAATCGAATTAAAGGAACAACAGCAGCAACAACTTCTTAATCTCCGCCAAGAACAGTATTATAGTGAAAAATATCAGAAAAGAGAACATATTAAACAGGTTAGTAAAATTTTCTTGTATAATGGAAATATAAATCTGTCATTTGCCATTTTAGTCCAATAGGAATCAGGGTGTAAATATAAATATTAGTGTGTTTTAATAAAAGGGTAACTGCGGCTCAAACAACACTCGTGAAGGTTACCTTACATCCCTCACCACAGGTACAATTTAATAATTAATATTACAAGTTAGAATGCTTATAAAATCTTGCCCGCTTGCAATATTTCTTACAGAGTAGCAACATATGTAAAAACACAACAAAAGAACAATACATAGTGCAGATGGCAGTAGTAAATATTCCACAGATAACAAACAAATAGATGCACTCACATGAGGTAGAGCCCAAAAATGATATGCTCACTTTATGTGCAGTTAAGCCTTTTACGGTAGCATGCCAGCATTGTTTAATCCTGGTGTTCCAATCTCCAAGAGAAAACAGGAACAAATTATAGTTCAGTATATGTGTTTATAAACCAGATAGCCAGAGAAAGATGTCATAGTGTCACCGTACTATTTAAACTTCTAAATTAAATTAAAGTAATGCTTTCCTGTTCTCACATTTAATGGGGAACCTGCAAGGGGAAAGGAGAGAAATCTTGTCTGGACGCATCCTGAGATTGCAAAGCGTATCTGTTAATTTCTCGTTATTCCTAACATGCCTGTTGTGGAAAGCAAGAAAGGCAATCTGTTCAATGTGTATGTGTTTAATGAATATAATACATTCCTTTATTTTATAGGAAAACCGATTAGAATTTTTTAATAAATTTTTTTCAAAAAGCAGGAAGAGTGCATATAGTGTAGTCTCATGAAAAAGACTGTGGGGATTATATTATTTATTTATTTTTAAATTAATTTAGTTGCAGTTAAGGCAGTCAAACAGGGATGCGGTCAAGCACGTTACGTGAGCCTGCCCAGAGGCTAAATAGGGCATTATAAAGCAAAGTCACACATCAGAAATTAGTAAGCATACAGGAACAGAACTGCTTCCGTGAATGGCATATCACTTAGGAGAACTTCTAATAACCATATGTTAATCAAATATCTTACATGTGTGGGGCAACAGATAGTTGCTACACTGGCAATAAGGGACTTTTTGTCAGTAGTTTCGACAAGACTGAAACCAAAGTATGCTGTGTTTTGATTGACTTGTTTATAATAGCGGTTTGAAGTAGAGCCATAATTGGAAGAGGTGGGAGTTATAATGCGGTTATTTTTATCTTCTTTTTATGCTCCCTTTACTTGTTAACTCTGATAGGAGTGGAGGTTGGAAGGTAAATGCTACAATAAAAACAAATACACTTTACACCCTGTACTTCAATTGGCTCTAGTTTCTAGTTTTATCATCAAGAGGTAAATGTTCCTGTTCCCTGTGGTGGTAACACATATTGGAGAAACTGTTCTCTTTTTCTGTATATCATCATAGTTCCTTTTTCTTTTTACCTTTTTACACTACTTTCTGGTACCAAAGCCTCGCTCAACCAAGATCATCCTACTAGGACAGGGCTGTCCAAAAGGTAGATCCCCTGATGTTGTAGAAATACAACTCCCATGGTGCTCTGCTTGCCTTCAGAATGCCCTATACAATGACAAAGCATCATGGAAGCTGTATTTCTAACATCTGGAGATCTACCTTTTGGGAACCCCTGCACTAGGATAATGTGTTCAAACCAACATCCTAATTTAAGGGCTAATTAAAAAATTTATATTTTTGTTTTTTGAAAACATTAACTGTATCAAATCTAATTTGATAAGTAAAAAAGAAAAAAGAAACCATATAAAAACTATGAAAGAACGAAATACAAAATAAAATAAAATGAACATAACATGGATAACTTCCTGCTTGATGTGTTTCTGCTCACAGATTCCTAAATGTAAAAAAAACACATCAAGTGTCTTTATATTTAGCCTTAACAGCATCTTCATTGTAAAGAGACAAACTATTCTTTTTTTTTTCACCTTAAAAAGTACCACACACATCAAGCAATTAATTTACTTATTTTAAAGTCAATTTACATTCCCGAATTGTTTAATTATCTACTGTGTTTCTGCAATGTACTTGGAGTAAGGAACAATTAAAATATCCCCTTGGGCTCCGTTTAAATTAATATTTATTCAGAATCTAAAACAACATTTTAGATAAATGTGCCAACTGTTCTTGTAACTGGTTTTGATTGATGAATTGTCCTATTCTTTTAAATAAGGAAAAACAATAGACAACCACAATTTAAGTCCATTAAGGCAATGCTCCAATTATTCAGTTGAGCTCAATTTTGGTTGCATAGCTGTTGTTTTGGCCTATCTAAACAGCACAACCTACAGGTTATATTTTTTACCAAGATAGTCAAGCACCACGATAGATCAGCTGCTATAAAACACAAATTATCGCAATGAGGATTACACTGTACGGGGAAAGGTTTGCAATACTTGACAGCATCAAACAAGTCACAGGAAGACTAATGCGTCACATAACACAATGCCATCCTCTACAATGAATACGTTCAGTAAATTTACATGGCTCTGGTATGAGCTATTTCAGGGCTATGATCTATAGCTTACATATATGGTATTTGGATTAATTGATGGATGGGTGAATGGATGGATGGATAGACACATTTCTATAGATTTACCTTGAAATGTGAAAGTACCTGCTGAGTTCATGTGACTGTACATGTTTTTACATTCTTTACGCTGAAACCTGAACCTTCTTACTAAGGTCATCTAAACCCAGCAGATCTCCATAGACATACTAAGGTGTACTGCTGACATTAATATAAAAATCTATTAAAGTAGCATTCAAATAGTATCCAGGAAATGTAAGTTTCCTTTAACATTAATAAATTCAGCAGATCCCTTTGAAAGACTTATTGTCCTAGCTCTCCTCGTCTTTTTTCTGTACACCACCCCCATGGCAAATCTCACATCTCTCATGGCTTCAGGGCTCATATCTTTGCACATGACATCCAGATTTTTTTCTTCACACCTGACCTCTCTTCTCAATTTACCTCGTGACTTTCTGACATTGTCTCGTGGATGTTCTCCCACTTTCTGCAAATTAACGCATCCAAAACAGAAGTACTATTCTTCTCTTCCCATATCTCTCACCCACATCTTTTATTCTCTTTGTTAACTTGGCCATTTCCCATTCACCCATAGATCATAAGCTGGGTGTCATCTTAGATACTTGTACTTCCATCTGTTACTTCCACCTCCAGAGAAATTGTCCTCTCCTCACAATCTTTCCTGTTAAAATACTTATCCATTCTCTCATCCTCACCAAGCTAGATTAATGCAACTCTTTCATGCTTGGTCCTCCTCAATACTCTAGTCCAAAAGACAGTTGCCCACGTCTTGATTCTGCTCATTGTCTTTAATGTTCTATGTAACCTTGCTGTTCTTGTATGTTCAATAATTTACTGCAATTGTTATTTAGTCTAACATGATTTATCCTCTAACTATTACCCCTGAGTATACTGCAACTCAATTACTATATCAAATATTTATTTTCACCCATTGTATAATTTGTTAATCTACGTAAAGCACCCTGAAACAGTGAAATACATAAAAAAAGACTCAAGCACTAAAAATAAACTCCACAGATTACTAAACATACCCATCAAAAATATCTGAATTATAGTCACTAAATTGTAGCAAATTAAAAACCAAATTGAAAACTTTTCAAAAATAGTTGACAGTTTAGGTATTATAACCTGTATTATACAGCTTGGTTTTCAAGTCACCACCATTCACTGTCTGGGGCAATGGTAAGCAACTTTTTGCACCCCAGATGTTTTGTACTACATTTCCCATAATGCTCTTGCATCCCTAATGCTGGCAAAGAATCCTGTCGTCCACAACATCTGGAGTGCCGAATGTTGCTTACCCCCGGTCTAGGGATTAACCTCTATCAGTGTAGTATGGTTAAAAAAAAAAATAAACAACAAAAATATATAATTTTGTTGATTTGATATGATGCAAATATAAAATAAAAAATCTTGAATACAATCTCATACATGAATTATTGTGCTCACATAAAACCCAGGGATTGTTGAACTTGCTAATATTGTGCCATTTTATTTACGTTGTACATCTTTTTATTGCAGCTAATTCAGAAACTGACTGATGTGGCCGAGGAATGTCAAAACAACCAGTTGAAAAAACTGAAAGAAACTTGTGATAAGTAAATAGCTTTTTTAAAATCTTATAAAGCACTACTCCTGTACACGGAACACACATTCACCTTCTTTATTTCCTTACATTTAGAGAGAAGAAAGAGCTGAAGAAGAAAATGGACAAGAAAAGGCAAGAAAAAGTTACGGAAACAAAATCAAAGGATAAAAATCAAATGGAAGAGTGAGTAGTTTTGTATCTAGGAAGATTTCATGCTAAACTATTTTAAAAGTGATGTAAAAAGTTCAGCGAGTATAGTGAACACCACTGGCAGCCAAAAACAAGAAGCATTAGGCCAAACTGACACCAAAACTCCAGAAAAATGGAATTAAGAGAGATAAAAAATTAATTTAGTGATGACCTTAGCTACAGCACCCTTTAACCCCATAAGGACCAAACTTTTGAAATAAAAGGGAATCATGACATGTCACACTAGTCATGTGTCCTTAAGGGGTTAAAGTTACACTCCAAATCCCTAAAGCACTTTAGCTTGCTGAACTGTTTTATGTGTGAAGAGTGTGTCCTCTTTTTTCTATTTTACGAAAAGTGTAGATTTCAATAGAAATTGGCACTTTTAGAAATTAACCCTGTTACAACCCCCGGGCTGCTGATCAGAAAACCAGTCATGTTACCTGGTTTGTTTATCTTAGTGGAGCTAAACTCAAGAGGCAGACAATTACCCAGAGAACCTGCATTTCAAAGACTTCTTATTGAGATGTATTGGGAAGTCTGTGATTGGACATCCACAGAAAGTCTGGGTGGAGTTAGATGGGCAGGGTTTGCAAAGGCTGCAGGCAATAGATCTGCAGCTTTTGCAAGCTGTTTTAAGATATATCTCAATGAATAAAGTGTAATTAAATGCATGTATGTTTTCATGGGAGTATATCTATTAAACAGTGATTTTTAGTTTAGTTTTGTATTTGGGCAGTGGTGTGTCCCTTTAAAGCCTATGAAAGCAGTGCCAAAAATATCTCTACCCAGTTCTAAATCAGTGGTTAAAAGGGCTATCTACATCATTTCTTAGACCTTTTTAGACCTTAAATGCTCACTGCGCATGATCAGTCACCCTACCATTGGTGACATGTTTTAGTTTACTCCAATTCAGGTAAGTAGTAAATATTTTAGAAATGTACTTACTGCATTTTACTGGAGCCTATTAGGGTAACAATTATGGAAATTGAATATCTGTTATAGTGCCAAAACAAGCCTTCTTCAAGCAGTAAGTGTGGCAGTTTATAAGAAAGTGAATTGGTGTAATACAAATCTGGGATATTACCATTAATTAGTGAGCTACATAAAGTACACAGCTAGTAATAAAACGATGTACAGCATAGAAATATAATCTCTGGTACTCCCAGTCCTTTGCTAACCCAATCAGTTTCCTCTGCAGAATACGTTTAAATGAAAGTCCACGAATAAAGATCTTTTTATTTTTTTCTTTCCTGTAAGAATTCCATTCAATACAGTGATTGCATACAGTTTCTTTGAATAAAGCAAATTCTGCAGCGGAAGCTGTCAAAATGTATCCTAAAGCAATATATACATTTTTAATATTGGATTGTTCCTCGCTTGGTATTAAAAAAATGGCAATCCAGGAACCGGCTATCCCATCTGGACTCCCATGATGCTTTGCATCTCATTGAATTGGACTTGGTGCTATACCCCTGTCATTTTAGCCCTGCAGCTGCAATGTCTACATTGCAGGGTTAAGCCTATCTCTAGTGGCTGCCTACCAGAGAGATGCTAGAGGCCCCTCCTGGCCTTTCACAGAGTTTGACTCCACGAAACGATGCTGGACGTTTTCACGCTTTGCATGAGGACATCGAGTGTCTTCTAAATTCCCACAGGAAAGCATGCGCATTAGGTTCACCCCATGTTTTGATGTCGTCATCGGGGAGAGGGGAGTACTGTACTATAGTATACCAAATCATATTCGTTACAAACTTTGCTCTAGATCAGTTTTGCCTTGTTTTGTAATGTTCATTCAACAAAAGGTAATGGTTGTATTTGTTTATCACAGGGAGAAGACAGAAATGATCCGATCATATATACAAGAAGTGGTTCAGTATATTAAGAGGGTATGTGTATATATGTGGTTACATTTTATGTATGTATGTAGTTACGTATTATGTGTTTTACAGTATTATAGACATGCATTTGGATTCATTTATAGTAAAGACATTTAATCAAAATAATTACTTACCCCAGTAGGAACACCAAAACTGGTGCACTCCCCATAAATTACTTTCTATATATCTTGGAGAAATAGGTATACATTTTACACCACTGTAAAGTGATAAGCAGGGTTGGTGCAAGGATTTCTACCTACAAAGGTGAAGATGCATTTTTCCACCCCCACCTCCCCTTACAAAAATGCATCTTCACCTGTGTTGTTGTAACCCCCTCTTTTTGAATTTCTCACCCCTTTTGTGCTTTAGTGTATTTTATTCCCCCTTTAGTGCCTTTGTGCCTTTGTATGTATCTTACTTCCCCCCAGCCCCTTTGTGTGTCTCTTACCTCCAGACCCTTTGTGTGTCTCTTACCTTCAGATCTTTTCTTTGTCTCTTTCTTACCCCAGCCCTTTTCTTTGTCTTCTTCTCCATCACAGTCCCTCTGTGTGGCTCTTTTTCCCCACAGTCTGTTTTGTGTTATCCTCCCCTCCAGATCCCTTTGTGTGTCTTTCCTCCCAAGCCACAGGCACACAGGCATCGTTTTTCAGGCACACAGTCAAAGTCATACAGGTACACTGTCATACAAACACAAAATTTATCATACAGAGACATACAGACACAGAGACATGCAGTTGGAGACATACAGACAAATAGGCAGACACATACAGACACACAGACATAAAGACAAAGTCACACAGAGACATACAGGCAGATACATAAACACATACAGACATACATGCATACAGAGACATGCAGGCATACAGACACATATATATACACAGAAATACATGCATACAGAGGCATCCTGTCATACAGAAACATACATACATACAGGCATACAGATACATACATACAGAGACATACAGGCATACAGAGACATACACACATGCATACAGAGACATACAGGCATACAGAGACATGCATGCATACAGAGGCATACCGTTATACAGACACATACATACAGGCAGGCATACAGAGACATACAGGCATACAGAAACATATATACAAAGACATACAGGCATACAGAGTGTCACGAACGTGGGCTATTGGCCCAGCCGAGACAGTGGGGAAAGTGTGGAAGTGAAAGAGTTAATGACACCAGACCCCTGGTTATCTGTTGCTAGTCCCAAAACCCATTAAATTAACCCCTGCAAAACCTTCTACACTTACACACTAGTACACACTTTACTGCCAAGACTTTATATCCGGGCGTCTTAAATTACCCCACACAAAGTCGAATAATAGTATCACAACCTTACTTTACTGATTAGACATATATAATTACCGGTAACCCTTTTGGTAAGGTGTTTCGCTGAGCTTTCCTCAGAAGAGTGAGCTCATAGAGAACAAAGACACAAGCTGATTAAGTAAACATTTAATCTGACAAAAAGGATTCACAGTGCTGGGTACAAAAATACAGAAATAAATGACATACAGAAACACAGATAACGAATTGCAAAATGGTCCATAAAATAGAAGAAAACAGAGAACCTTACATATATTTAGCACTTATATATAATTCTTGTGGGAGACTCCGATGTCAAAGTTATTGTAATACTTCCTATGGATTTGGAGTGGAACTCAACTGCAGAAATAATTAGGAGAAACCTTAAAGGATTATCAGAACAATTTTATTAGGATTTAAATAGAACAATTCTTCATTAAGGAATTTGACTTGTAGGTAGATTGCTGAGAACAGTTACTGTAACTTTATGGATTACAATATGATGATAGCTTGATAAGCAGAGTTCATGTAGCTTTAAGGAATGCAATATGAAGATAGCTTGATAAGCAGAGTTCCTGTAGCTTTAAGGAATGCAATATGAAGATAGCTTGATAAGCAGAGTTTGTGTAGCTTTAAGGAATGCTATATGAAGATAGCTTGATAAGCAGTGTTCCTTTAGCTTTAACCCCTTAAGGACACATGACATGTGTGACACGTCTTGATTCCCTTTTATTCCAGAAGTTTGGTCCTTAAGGGGTTAAGGAACACGAGCATGAAGTTAGTAACTTCTATTTATAAGGAAAGTTCATAGGATGAATCCAGGTAAATAAGTTCATGTATTAAATACAAGTTTAACTTCCAATCAATCTCATTAGGAAGGCACTTAGAGAAAACTGGAGTGCCAAACAGAATGGTAATCATCCAACAGTATAACTTGCGTTTAAGATGATGAGCTTTGAGAAGCAGAGTGAATCCTAAGGCAATCTGAGTTAATTGGAAGGAGAGTGGAGATCAGTGGTTACAACAGTCCAGGTTTGGTACACGTAGTCAGTAGAAGGTGAGAGCTTGATTGTAGCCAGTCTGATCTAGTAGGAAGCTTTCAAAATAATCAAGCACCTTGAATCAGGCGTGGTCCCTCTAAGTAGTGTGAAGAAGCCTGTGTCAGAGAAGGGGGCGTGTCATTGGTCTGTGAACCAGAAAGTGTCAGATATCTGAGAAGCCGATAGTTAAGTTCTGACAGTTATCCAAGTAGTTGTTAAAAAGAAAATCTCTCCGGATAGTCCAACATCCTCAATATAAGCCTTAAAACTAGTTGTTTTTCAGTGGGTAGACCCCTGGGTGGATCAGAGGGGTTTGGCCTGGCAGTTTATTGCCCACTCCATATTGTCTTAAATTATGTTGTCCTTTGAAGAACTCAAAGTCAGAGCATACGCATCTATACCTTTTACAATGTCCTATGTCCAGCTTTGGTGATGGTTATCTTAGTAGTTTTATGGTTAGGCCATGTGTACGATCAAAGCCTACAAAGGTTATCCAAACATGTACAAAAAAACAACTAATTACATATATCAAATGCCAACTCATGCTTTGGCATGATGGTAAACATGTAACGGTCAGGAATCCCAACAATAACAATTATCACCTGGACCTGCCTGATCATATTAAAAGGAGTGACTTAACTTTTGTGTACATGCGGTTTCAGCTGTAACAGTGTGCACAGATGTCTCCCCCCGATGTGTCCTGCGTCCTCTACCGCCACTGCATTACTGACGTCAGTTACTTTATTACCACCCTGCCCAAATGAACTCTGGGTCAACCATAACGATTCTAGCCCATTGTGTCTTTACGAAAGATAATGTGTGGAGCAATGCCAGAAGTGTTTCTGTTGTGGTGGGCTGTAAAAATCGTAGTTGTGTTCATAGTTGTAGTCATGACCCCAGCTGTCTAAGTTAATTTTGAACATCAACAACACAATTTTAAAATGATTTTGAAGATCCCAGAAAATATTTAATTGAAGTTTGCTCAACATGTCAGACTTTCATATAGGTCGTATTAATTTTAAATACAAATTGTTTTAATTGTTTCCTATGCAAACATCATGGAAGAAATTAAGAATGTCTATAGGACAAATCATACAATAAATCGTACTCAAAATAGTTTTCAAGAGAAAACAGGATTTATTGCAATTGAGATATAGGTATGAATTGTTGATGAACTCATAAGAGAATCACCAAAGTGTTTTATTTTAAAGAACAAAAACTATTGGTATATATACTCTATCAGATTTCTTCATGGGCGTAATGATGTTGCAATGATTTCAGAATTTTACATGGGACACTGTTTTTTGTGACACTGTTTGAGGACTGTGTAGGGTTTTGGCTATGCAGAGTGTATATTTAGGTAGATTGATGTTAGTATGTACACATCTTTTGAATATTACACGTCTTTAAGAAATTAGAACATTTTTATGTTATTTGCCCTATGGATATTCACCGATTTCCTGCCACAGTTCATCTCTCATTCCAAGATATTACCTGAGATATCACAAACTGAAACTTCCGAAAATGTTACCTGCCATCATGCTGTATATACCAAGATTCAACAGTGGAATGACAAACGTGGATAGAGTATTTCATGAATGAAGGCAGCACTACTAGTGGTCTTTTCTTGAAAACAATATTATTTTTAAAAAATAAGGCATGCATTTATGATACACTGTAACCCCATTGGATTAAAACATTAAACTGAATGTTTTGTTTGCTATGATTATTACTAGAGAATATCTATATATATGTTTCTCCAACAGTGGGTTGGGTCAGTTTAGGACAAGGCCCAAATCAATTGGTACTAAGCATTGCACCCTTTTTCATCCATGTATTCATAGTTTGAGAAAACACAATAGACAAATTGAGTGAAGTCATTCTTATACTTGTCTACTGCGAGAGATTTTGCTTCTGCCTAACCATTTTTCTCCAAAGACACTCATTTTATAAAAAATTTTAGCTTTTCCTAATTAAGTTTTTTAATTCGGCTTTAATTATTCAGGGCTACCAATTGAGTAGCATCATCTACACTGCTATTTTTGAAACAAAATGTATATGACACAATGAAGTTACATAGTTACATAGCTAAAAAGAAACCTGTGTCCATCAAGTTCAGCCTTCCTCACATTTGTTTTTTTGCTGTTGATCCAAAAGAAGGCAAAAAACCCAGTCTGAAGCGCTTCCAATTTTGCCACAAACTAGGAAAAATTCCTTCTTGACCCCAAAATGGCAGTCAGATGTCTCCTCGGATCAAGCAGCTATTACCCCACTAATTAGAAATTATATCCTTGTATGCTGTGTTTTTGCAAGTATTTATCCAATTGCAGTTTAAACATCTGTCTGGACTCTGATAAAACCACCTCTTCAGGCAGAGAATTCCACATCCTTATTGCTCTTACTGTAGAAAAAAAATGTTTCTTTGCCTTAGATGAAATCTCCTTTCTTCCAGTCTAAGTGTTTACTCTATTTGCAGCATTCCAGTAATAGAACTAGGATCTCTCCTTTAGTTTACAATCCCAAACCTTGACAAACATTTCACATGGAATTCAATGAAAAGCAGTGTAATAATGAATTGTATAAATCTCTCATGTCTTCTTTCTTTTGTATGAAAAACATCAGAAAGTATTTAACTTTTTAATGGCATGTATTTAGCAGCAAGTAATTTCCAGAAGATTTTTGTTGTTGATTTAATGTAGTCAAACCCAAACTCACTGATTGGATGGAGCTTCTTCCTCATAGACAAAAAGATTTAAACCGATAAATAACAGTTAACATAAAAAAGATGGAGCTGAATGGAAAGATTGCCTGGTTTACAATATGAGGGATAAACTCCAAGGAAAACCAAAAATAGTGAAAAAAAGTAACCAGGAATGTGTAAAGCATAACTTTATCAAAATAGTACACAGACAGTGAGCTAATCAAACAAGATTCTAGAAAACGTCCGTGGGGGAGGAGGGAGGGGAAGGGGGGGTTACAATATATACAAAATTTAACATAGAACAGGCAGGAAATATATAATCAACCATGACACGTGCATTCTGTTTTGAGGTATGTAGAGAGGGATCTCTTAAATGACTTTAGGCTTAGGGAAGATTTTAAATTGTGCGGGAGGTCGTTCCACAATTGCAGTGCTCTGTAGGAGAAGGAGGATCGGGCCGCTTTCTTTTTGTATTGAGGTAGACTAAGTAAAGTGTTTGTACTGGATCGGAGCTTATAGAAAGTGGGAACAGCTGGGGAAAGCATTTTGTTCAGGTAGGGTGGGAGTTTCCCAGAAAAGCTCTTAAAAACAAGGCTGGAAAGATGAATGGTGCGTCTGGATTCCAGCGACAGACAATTTAGTTCCTTTAGCATGTCACAATGATGGGTCCTGTAATTACATTGTAGCACAAATCGGCAGAACGAGTTATACAATGTATTGAGTTTATTAATGTGGGATTGCGATGCAGACGCATATACTACATCCCCATAATCAATGATTGGCATCAGCATTTATTGTACAATCTTTTCCTTTACTGTAGGGCTTAGGCAGGATTTGTTTCTGTACAGGGCACCTAATTTTGGATAAAGTTTAGATGCAAGCTTTTCTATGTGCAGGCCAAAAGCTAGATTGGGGTCTAACATCATACCCAAGTATTTGAAAGAGTGGACTGTGGTCAGTGTGCCATTTGAATTTGTTTTGATGGATAGGTGGGGATTGTGTAATTTGTGTAATTTAGGTACTGTTCCAAAGATCATTGTGACAGTTTTGTCAGTGTTCAGGAAGAGTTTGTTTTTTGCGATCCACTTTTCTACGTCTGTAAACTGGTCTTGGAGCAAAGCCTCAAGTTGCGGTAGATTGGATTTGCTCGCATAGATTACTGTCATCTGCGTACATGTGTACATTTGAGGATTGGCAGACATTAGGCAGATCATTTATAAATAATGTAAATAGTAGGGGGCCAAGAATGGAACCCTGTGGGGGTTTATCCTGGCCCATGATTGTTCACTTTTTTGTATTTGCACAATCGATTCTAGTCCGGTGTTTTATAATCCACCAAACAGCAAGATCAAAGTGCAAATATACGTACTGATTGTGAAGTCTCAAATTAATGATCATTTTAACTATTTTCACACCATCTGTAGGCAGTGTTAGTGTTTACCCATCGTTTAACACATTCTGTCATCACAGCTTTTGTCTGCTGAATACTTGCTTGGTGGGAATATTACAGTATACTGATTAAAATAAAAGGAGAATAAAACCCATTTCTAATGTATAAATAACACGCTGATCATTGAGACATAGAGAGGACAGGATATAACAAAGAGAGGGGTGACATCTTATGACATATATTTACCTATCTATTAGAGTAGAGGTTATTGAGTAATCTAGTCTAATGTCGCATTTTGTGTTTATATACCATTTAGAAAGATCTTCCACGTTATTCAGTGAATCAGTGTCTAAAAGCCAAACGCTACAAAAAAAAACACAACACAATCCTATGTGATTATAATGCAATCCACTAATGAAAGTGAAATAGAACAGGAGTTATGACATTGTGGTTTTTTTTAAAGACAAGCGAGGAATAACAGAGGTGGGAGTTTCTATACCATGGCTACATAGAATGTTCTAGAAACCTCTTCTTAAAATAAACGTTTAAAGGTGCATTTCTAAGTCAATCGGTCAGCACAAAAGTGTAAGTAAAATATCATATGCCACCATGTTGGACATTTACAGGACAGCTGAATTTTATTTTGATTTCATTTGATATGAAACTTAATAACAAGCATTTCTTTGTTGTATTTTTCAAGCTGGAAGATGCACAGAGTAAGAGGCAGGAAAAACTCGTAGAAAAACACAAAGAAATTCGCCAACAAATACTGGATGAAAAGCCCAAGGTAAAGCTTCCTGTTTCTATATTTAGATGGTGGATTAAATGGAATAGAACGCTTGCAGCAAAGAGAGGGAGAATCTAAGAATGTTGTGTTTCCAAGCCGTTAGAATTATTGAGTTCTCCTAATTCACATCATTGTACCAGCTATTTAAATATAACAGGTCCTGGAATGCATTTGTTTATTTGATTTTGTTTAAAATGTGATCTATAGGTATCACAATCTGCTATATCATTTTATTGTAGATTTAACACTATATCTGCCAATTAACCAAGGCCAAGTTCCCCTTTCTTTTTGAAAAGGTCAGGAACTTCTGTTGAAGTGCTTAGGAGATAGTACTGCTAGTGGGTGGGTTGGACCACATGTGGGAGTGGACAGAGTTAAATAATGTTCACCCATCACATGCAAAGAAGAGAGAATTAGCCTAGGGGCCAATTCTTATGAACTGTTTAACCCCAACGTTGCAAATATGGTTCCTGTCCACTCTGCAGTTCTCCCTCTAGTAAAAGTTTAATGCTCTCAGCCTAACACTATCTCCCCATTTTAAAAAGACTATGATCAAGGTGCATATTTTTGAGAATGTAGAGGTAGTGATAAGCTAAAAAAGTCCGCTGATTATCTCAGCCTATCAGCAGTGCCCAGTTTAAGGCTTCCTCATTGAAGTCTCAGGGGAGGGGCAGAATAGACGGTCACCATTTATGCAACTTTGGGGTTAAACTGTCTTTAAACAGTCTTTTTACCTTATGGTAAGATGGCACACAGAAACTCCTGGCACCATAACAACATCATTAAGTGATGTCAGTCAATGAGCTAAACCCTGCACCAGGCTAGCTCAGTGCAGGGAGCTTTCGTACTGCAATGCAAACCACAGTTAAGTTGTCAAACTGTGGTTATGGTGTTTGGAGTGTTCTTTTTAAAAAAAAACAAAATTGCCTTTTCTGTGCCTTCATTCCTGATATTGTAATCATGCTAAATAATTGTAGAAACTAAGAATGTGTATGTATTATATTTGTAACATGCAGTAATTAGTGCAACTTTGTATTGAGTGTGAGTACAAATATTCATTTTAACTGCTGAAGATGAAAAATAGATTTATTTATCAGCTATTGGGTTGTTAATTTTAGAAATCAAAATATATTTAAAATAATATAGATACATTTGTATTTAAATATATTTAAAAGAGTGCACATGCACTATAACCCCTACAGCTAGCTGCAGTGGGTATGGTGCCCGGGGTATCATGGCATCCTCTCAGTGCAAGAGATACATGCAGATTCTGTTCTGATGTCATATATCTATCCAAAGATGTTTCCCAGAGCATCATAGGTTTTAGAACAACTGTAGATTTGTGCCTGTTATCTATTCCAGGTTTATGGTTCTAGAACAGGTGGAGAGCTACATGAAATCTATTCCTGGTTTATAGTGTTCTGTCTATACAAACTACTGCTGTACAACAATTTAAATACGTAAGAGCAGACATTCCATCTCCAGCAGGGTGCGCTGTTTGCCAATATCTGTACAATGTTTTCCATTATAGTGTTTTTACTTGTCCAGTGATCAATGGCTGGTACATAGGGTGTAGAGGATGTTAATATTTTTATTATAATAAATTTATTTCAAAACAATGGTTATACTGAATAAAATGAGATATGTGAAAATTATGTTACGTTTTCTTTTCAATGCACTTAAAATATTTCAGCTTTTCTGTTTTTTTAGCACCTCTCCATGAGACATTAAAAATACATGTTCCTTGTTTTCTAATAATAACTCTGCCTAGTAATAACCATATACATTGTAAATAGATTGTGGTGCGTATCTATTTTAAATGACATATTTTAAATTCTCTGTTTGTGAATGCACGCTTTAGCCATTATTTTTTGTTTCACTGGTGTCTTAGGGAAATTGAGACATCAGAGGAAAAATCAGGATTGACATTTCCAAATAATGGACTGTTAGTAGGTATGAGGACTCCAAGACCTTCACCTATTGCCTGTATAACATACCTGGGCTATTCACAAAAGCAGATTATTTATGTAGAACCTCTAGCATATTCCAGAAGTTCTCAAATCATTCTGCAAGACACCAACGTTCCAGGATTTGGGCATTTCCCATATCTGATATTGCAAAAAACCTGGACCATTCTAGCCTCGAGGACTATGTTAGGAACCACTGCTTCATATTAACACTTGTTAATATTTGGTCCTAGGATCAGCTTATTCAGAAAGTCTATGGCATGTGTTTTTATATATAGGGAGTTGGAAGACTGGAGACTGGAGATTGTATGTGTAGCACCACATTCTGTAGAATCCAGGCCGAGTTATATTTCAGCACAGATTTACAGTCAGGTCATGTGACCATTTCGCTATAAATGTAGGTCATTCCTTTGTAAGAATTTTATTTTGCTGAAATCATATATTATATCTTGGTTTGTAGAAAACATGCCTAATAAATCCAATTTCCTGTGCTATTGTAGCGAAATCGCTGCTGCCTCACTCGTGCCAATCTAGACTCCCAGCTCTCCTATTAAATGCAAGGAAATGCCTGTCATGTAAATATATCTGCACACATTCAAAGCCGTGTTTATAAGCTCCCAGGATTAGCCAAAGCACGATAATTTCAGAGAGAACAATTACAGTTCCTTAATGGAATTAATTTTTATTTTTATTTTTAAGCAGCAGGTATAGTGATTTATCCCACAGTATAGAAGGATCGGTCCTGTCACAGCTGTGTCTTAACCCTTTCAATACACAAGCAATACAATTGTTGCCAATCTGAAACTGGCAGAACTATTTACTAAAGTTTAATTTTAAGGCCAGAGTAGAAAACTGAAATATAAACATAGCTGGCTTAGACAATGTTTACTTTTCAGTTATTTTGACATTGAATTTGGAATTCTCTTTGCATTCTCTCCTTAGTAAATAACCCTGTAAATATATGATTCACAAGTCAAGTAAACGTGATAGCACGCACACTAGAATTCCGTTTTATCGTCAATTATTCTGAAATGTATTTCCTTTTATAAAGGCGCTGCTTTTGTTTTACACATGGCACATACAATATTTATTAAGTAAATGCAATAAGTAAGCTTCTATATTCATGTATTTGTTCCCCAGAAGCATAGAGAAAGCATTCACAGTTTGTTTGTCGTTGTCAGTTGCTGGTGTTTGTGATATATAAACAGAATGCATAACATTTTAAATTAGACTTCCTGTCCGAACCCCAATATTGAACTTGGTGGACTTTAGACTTTTTTAAACCTAGACTACAATATAACTATGTAACTACCAATATTTCTTATCAGAATCAGATGTGGAGTTCACAAAGGTCGCAAGTGTCTAGAATAGAAGTGTCTTCTTTTTCTTAAAGAGAAATGTGTTTTTAGCACAAATACTGTATTTTACTAAATTTATCATTATCATGCTATAATTATCACATTTATTTCAGCCCTATCAGAGAAGTATGCAACATGTGCATTGCACACTGAGAGCTAGATTTACTAACTAGTGTTAAATTAATTGTCAGGTGGGAATCATAGATTTTAATGCTAACACGTATTACTTAAGTCTCAGCAATAAAATAAATCAGGGCTATTTGCTTAAGTGAAAATTGTCAGGTTTTCAAAGTGAATTTAAAATTTAAGGCCATGATAACTGAACTAGAAAAATTCTCCAAATGAACTACGCTTTCAGTTGTATGATTCACCTAAAGACTGCATTGGAATTATTAAAGCCCGAAAGTCACTGAAGGATATTCACAAAAGTGTGAATTCACATTGAATTCACAGTTAATTTGAAATTTAAGGCCATCAAAGCCAAACTGTAAGCTTAGCTGACTTAGAGAATTTTCCCACTTTGGCTATTTTTTCCCGCTATGTTTTTTTGTAATATATACACTAAGTATTGATGTTGTCGATTAATGATATCTGAAATGAAAATTTAGCCCTGGATAGTCAGAGATCACATCTTATGCTATTCATGATTAGTCAATTCTGCCTCCATTTACAGAAATGTTTCCTTCCATAAAGACAATCGCACCTTGCCTCCCTTTGACCATAGTAGCAATTTGGCTGTTCTGACATCATATATCTGTGATACAATGTCAAGAGTTAACTTTCCAAATCAGCACCTTAAAGAGAGATGAGCCCAAAGATGGTCAGGTCAGGGAGCCCCATTGGTTTGATTTATTTGTAAAGTAAGGCGATGTTCCTGTTTAAACACTTTTAAACTCAGATTCTGACATTTTCAAATGGTTGTTTAACTAAAATGCTGAGTTTACCAAATGGATTTCAACTGGCTTTAACAGCCTCCTAAAATCTTTCTCTACTTTTAGGGGTTAACCTGCACTAATTGGTTAATGGCATTACTGATACAGCCTCTCCCCGCCCCCTCTGACGTGTTGACATTTGATTGGCCGTGTTACATAATTAGAGGGGCAGAGTTACTACACTTAAAAACAGTCAGTAAACTCAATTCATTTCTACACTTGACAAAGGCGCAAATATAGCGCCGAAACGCGCGTCGAGGAGGACACCATTATAGGAGATTTTTATATTATTAGGGTTTCCTAGGGGCTCTGCCATTATGCACTTTGCCCGGAAAGTAAGTTTAGCTTCTTTATTTTAGAGCTGCCTTGAAGCAGCTAGAGAGATTTGGGGTGTGTTAGGATCTGTGTGGGACTGATTCTGATTTTTATATGATTGGGATTTACCTTTACCTTTACCTCTAAGTACTTGTATCACCCTGAGTATGAGGGTACGGTTTATGGATTAGGACCTTTAAAGAGGTATCTCAATATGGAGTTTTTGGGGTATGCTTAAACCCTGGTTTATGTGCCTTCAGACGCAGTATTCACCTAGGTTAGCTACCCTGACTAATCCCAGATACCTCTCATATATATATATATATATATATATATATATATATATTGATCAAGCCTTTTTGGATGACTTTTTTGTTTTGTTTTTTTTACTTTTTTCTTTTTAACTATAATCAGGGTTGTGGTTTGCAGTGGGGAAGGGGGTAGGTAATTATTGTTATGAACTCCTACCATCCTGTTTTCCCCTTTTAAATCCCATATTCAGCCTTTTGAAGTAGAGTTTGATCTAATTATTAAGGTGGGGGTGGCGAATTGACACTACATGCACCTACCCTCCTGTTCCTTATACTCAGACTCTACTAATATACCAGTTTACTTCCATTACCTTCCATTATCCCTATCATTGCATCTACCCATACCACTTATTCACTTTTTTAAATATATCTCTAATATTTCGAATATCTCTAATTTTCAATATATATCTAATTTTGAATCTAAATGCTAAGCTTTATTCTTCCAATTCCCATAGACTGCTGCTATTTAATTGGCTACATTTTAGCCTTCCACTTGGAATACATTTTATTACTAAACAGCTGTCTTTCTTGATACTATCTTTCTACTTGGATTGATCAAGAATTAGTATATTTTCTCACGCTTGCTGTGATAGATATATATAAGCCAGATAGGCAGACCCCCTAGGTTTCTCCTTTTTAATATTACACTTTCACAAGTCACTTTTGTGTTTTTCACTTTGTCTTGTTTTTTCACTATTATGTAGATATACACTTAAAATACTAAAAGTTTATATTTACATTTTTTGGTACTTGCCAATTATATTGGGTTATACATGTTATATGTGGGTAATTTAACCTTTTTTTGAGAATCCTTACCCATAGTTTTTTTGACTTGGGACCCCCTTTTTTAAAGAAAGATTTGTCATACTTTTTTTCCATTTTGTCTTTTCTTAGTTAAGCCCATATTACCCATTTAGTCCATTCTTGACTCTTGGGTCAAATTTTTCCTGCCCCTCTAGTCATGTAATATTTTGGTCTGTCCATTATCACCTTCACTATGGTCACTGCACTACTGAGTTCCCAAAAGGCTTTTCACTGTAGCGATAATCTTGTACATCCAGGTTCTATGTCATCCTGATTTTTAGCTTTACAGAAGCAGTCTGCACTGAAATATATTCTGAAAGCACCCGCAATTCATGAACCCATTTACCTGTCTGGAATAACTGTTTGTTTGAAGGAGAAACTAGATGAACGATATTAAATTTTTATATCATACGCCAGAGCAATATTGACACAAATATTCCTAAATATATTACTCTTCTCTGTGCATGATGCTGCTTTGCCAGTTACACATTGCCCTACGCATTTATTTTCCTTGATAAATAAATTCATTCAATACGTCTGTCATTTAATTGTTCAATTAGATCTGATTGTTTTCATTCTGACAAGACTGAGGACACCAACTAAAAGCTTTAATTTAATTTGTAAAAAGAGACAAATTTCTGTAATTACCATTTTATTTTGTTATACATTTTTATGATTCCATGAATTATGCTTCAATTAAATAGTCTAGTGATTTATTGATATGTTAACATTGTGCTTATATGCCAAGCGGACATCTCAAACCATTTCTCTTTTCATCCTAATGGAAATTGTGCATCAATTTTGTGTGACCATTATCTGGCAAAACATTAAAAAGAAAACAAACATTTAAATTGACTATATCTCTATGCACCCCGGGCTATAGGTGAAGAAAATCTTCCCTTTTTGGGTTTAATTTTTTTTTTACGTCAGATTTACTTAACCCCTTAAGGACACATGACATGTGTGACATGTCATGATTCCCTTTTATTCCAGAAGTTTGGTCCTTAAGGGGTTAAATGAGGGGTCCATCGCATAACACTATTTAATAAAAATATTGAACATTGCTTATAACTTATGTTATTTTTTTTTCATACGATTCTTCATTTTCTTTTAAATGTATATTTTCACCACGATTAATTAGAGCCTGACATTTTTTATTTTTTTTAGCAACAGGTAAAAGTTGCATAAAATGACAATTTCTAGTGTCTGCATCTAATCGGCTACACCAGGGTACAGAACTCATGAGCAATTTAGAAAACTTATATAGAAAAACATATAAAAAAAGCAGCGGGGCATGATATTGATTAGACAGACTGCGCAAGTGACGCACGGAAATTGGATACTTTTACACCACTTATCCTGTGCCTGCCCTAAGTGTAGCCCCGTACCTGTCACTAGTATTTAATGGCCAGCCACTATTTGCTGAAATACCTGTCATTACTTGTAGCAAGTAGTGGATACATTAGTGTTTGCCAATTTCACAAGGGAGTTACTACAAAGCCAGTAGCTAACATAACAACTCCCATGATTAGCGTTTGGTTCCAATCCTGTTGCTATTTTTACCGGCTGCTGCTAAGTATCCAATTTGATTTGCTGAAAATGTTTGAGCAATCTCACTCTTGGTAGTAAAAGTTGCCATTGGAACTGGTTTGGTGTACCTAATATTGTCACTATTTTTAAGGCTTTACACCAGGAAAATTATTATTACGCTGGAGCTGTACTACAAAAATTCGCTATTTTTTTAAAAGAAATCCAACTGTAAATATTTTTCTAGTTTATGCTGGTTTTTACATGCAATACATTAAGCCATAAAGCTTTAGAAAATGCCCTTATAATACCAGTTCAATCCTGACACAAACATGGCATACATTGCATTGGAGGAGGGGAGACAATTGTCCCATGTCTCTCCTCCTCTCTCCTTGCTTTCTCTATTCTGACTGTTTGGTGCAAAGTGCAGGACTTATAACAATGATTGACAGATAGCAGTGATGGAACTGCCCAGCTCCAGGATACGGGTAGATACATGCAGGGCCGGACTGGGAAGAAAATTCGGCCCGGGCATTTTTTAATTACAGCGGCCCACTAAAAAGGGGGCGGGGCCAGATAAGGTGTGTTTTGTCATCACCAATGACAAGCACGCCCCATCACAAAGTGAGCATGTTGGTTCAATGCTCTTCCAGGGTAGACCATGCGCAGAGCTCTGCTGAAGAGCTCTGGCATGAGAAAAATACCCTGTATTTGTTCTGCACAGCGCAAGCAAATTTAATAACATGCTTGCACTGTGTTTGCTTGAAATTTGTCTCTGGTGTCTTCATAGTTGGGATACCAGGAGACAAAAATGTGTGTGTGTGTGTGTGAGGGTGCTGTGAGTGTTAGGGGTGCATTTTGTGTGTGCTGTGAGGGTCAGACATGCAGTGTGTGTGTGAGGGTGCAGTGTATGTGCTGTGAGTGTTAGGGGTGCAGTGTGAGTGTGTGTGAGGGTGCTGTGAGTGTCAGGGGTGCAGTGTGTGTGTGAGGGTGCTGTGAGTGTCAGGGGTGCAGTGTGTGTGAGGGTGTGAGTGTCAGGGGTGCGTGTGCTGTGTGTGAGGGTGCTGTGGTGTCAGGGGCAGTGTGTGTGTGAGGGTGCTGTGAGTGTCAGGGGTGCAGTGTGTGTGAGTGATGGTGCTGTGAGTGTGCAGGGGTGCTGTGAGTGTCAGGGGTGCAGTGTGTGTGTGAGGGTGCTGTGAGTGTCAGGGGTGCAGTGTGTGTGTGTGTGAGGGTGCTGCGAGTGTCAGGGGTGCAGTGTGTGTGTGTGAGGGTGCTGTGAGTGTCAGGGGTGCAGTGTGTGTTAGGGGTGTCTGTGAGGCTGCTGTGCCCTGAGTGATTATATCCCCCCTCCCTGCTTACCTTATGCCTGGGAGGGGGGATCCTACTGCTGGGGCTGCCATCCATCCCTGGTGGTCCTAGTGGTGAGTGAACTCTAGCCTGTTAGGCTAGAGTTCACTCTCGCGAGACCCGGAGCGGTAAGTTAAAGCTCCGCCAGGTTCCTCTGCTGGCAGGCTGGCTCCCTCTCTCTCTCCCCCAGCGGCCACACTATCCTGCATGTGGGCTGGTGAGGGAGATCTCTGATCTCCCCACCGGCCCGCTGTAGACTACTGCAGGGCCGGCGTTCAGAGAGCGCCGGCCCTGCATAGACAGGCAGGGGAGATCCTGGGACCTCCCCTGCCAGCATCAGCCCATGGCCACCGCGGCCCACCGGGCATTTGCCCAGTGTGCCCGATGGGCAGTCCGGGCCTGGATACATGATTAAATTTCTGCAGTTAATTTTATTCTTAAAACTTCATCAACCCACATTTGTTAAATATAAGAGACAAGTAAACATAACATTAAAAATCCTTGGATTTGATAGTCCTCCTTTAATTTTTTTTTTACAAATAATTATGAGAAGAATTAAGTAAATTGTCCTTTATGACTAAGTAATGCTTTCTTTATGGCATTAAATAAGGTGAAGAAAAAGTTAATGTAATTTGACATCTAAGAAAATTTTAAAAATGTGTTTGAGAGCAGCCGTTTCCATATGTGCCATCAGGGCATCTCTTCTGTTGTCTTTGACCATTTTTGGTTTTTTTTATAGAGAGAAATGTAAATTTTGCTACATATCACTAATAAATGCCGGAAACAAGCTTCCAGATATATGTAACATATTTTGTAATATATAATATCTTTCTGTAATGAATAGGGTCTATGTAATAATTGGCCAAGTGAATAACAAGTGCCACCAGTATTTTCATTCAATCTTTGTACAACATTTATCTAACTGGTATTTAAAAAGTGGTAGATGGGATTAAGCTGAACATTCTGTTTCATGTGGAGTTTATTCACTAAACAAAGAATTATAGTGAATTAAAAGCTGTATTGCTAAACTTTTGCAAAATGTTTAATTACTCCACATGGCCTTCATTTGAGCCACAGTTCAGGGACAATTATATAGTTTATTAGTAGTTTCATCAGTCCATTTGTTTCAAAAGGTCTCCCATAACTCTTCCCATCTTTGGCCAAATCTCCATCTATCTTTCCCATGCCCTACCCCAAGGTGTTCTAGATAAATTTAGAGGTGTCCGAAAACTATCTCTAATCTTAAATTGCTGGAATGGATACTCGATCAAGGAATATAATTAAACAAATCACTTCATTTGAAAAAAATGGCCTAGCTGTAATGGTTATATGTCCATCTTCCAAAATGCATGCAAAATGTCTTATTGGCAATCGTTCCATAGCTTTACAGAAATACTCTGTGAGTAATACATGCCCTGTGTTCTCTAAATATAGCACTTAGATTTGTTTCAGCATAACGAAAAACATATTCTACATCATTTATTAAATATACTCTGACTTGCTGGTGTGATACTAAATTACCTGCTTAGATGTGCTGTTTACTCCATTCTATTCTTTCTAGCTACCTTGATATAGATATAATCTTCTATTTGTGGTATGGATAAATTCTGCTGTTTAAAGCTATCTTGATAAACATTATACACAATTTGTTGTTTGGAATTATCTTGATATAAATATAATCTGCTGTTTGGAATTATCTTGTTATGGATACATGTGGCTGTTTAGAGCTATCTTGATATACATTATAAACAATGTGTTTTTTGTAGTTATCTTGATAGAGATCTAATCTGCTATTCAGATATATATTGTTAAGGATACATTCGGCTGTTTACAGCTATCTTGATAAAGATATAATCTGCTATTTGGAGTTATCTTGTTATGGATACATTTGGCTGTTTAGAGCTATTTTAATATATAAATGCAATCTACTGTTTGGGGCTATGTTGGTGCAGATGACAGTAAAGGAATAATGTGGTTAAGGTGTTTTGCCTCTGATAGTGTGTTATCGCATTACTTAGCAGCGTACAGCTTTATACTATAGTCATAACTTTTTTCATTTGTAACCTATACAGACTAACGTTGTTGGCACATACACGCTGCTCCTTGCTGTATATATCTGACCCGTACTCTCCCCTTAGACACGGAGAAATCAGACATTATGAGCATGGAAGGAAATGTGATTATTTATTAAGTGTTGTAGTTTGGCAAAAAATAGACTCCCCTAGAGACCACCACTTCATAAGCCAGGTTTATAATAAGGATTTTGCATGTCTACATTTTCAATATCAATTCTGTTTCAAGGACCACTATACAGCCAGGAAAACATACTAATTATCCTGGCTCTATTGGGTCCTTGGGACCCCCTCACCCTAGGGGCCCCCCTCCTGCCGGGCTCTAGGGTGAGGAAGGGGTCAATCCCTTACCTTTTTTCCAGCGTCGGGCTCCCTCGGCGCTGGGGACTCTCCTCTTCCTTTCCCATCATCGGCTGAATGCGCATGCAGCCAGTCTCATAGGAAAGCATTCTTAATGCTTTCCTATGGACGCTGGCGTCTTCTCACTGTGAAAATCACAGTGAGAAGCGCCGAAGCGCCTCTAGCGGCTGTCAGTGAGACAGCCACTAGAGGCTAGATTAACCCATTTGTAAACAAAGCAGTTTCTTTGAAGTGGTCTGGGCGCATATAGTGGTCCATTGATCTGGATGGCAGTGAAACTGTCCCTAAATGGTTTGATATTAGACTGGAGGATGGTTCCAGCGAGCTAATTTCAGGAACTGCCAACAGCAATTCTTCCAAGCCCAGCCCAACAAAATGAAAAATTCAAAGACATCCCTGTAACCCTTTACCATTAAGAGGTGAGCAATAATCAAGTGATCTCCCTTTGTTGTAGTTTGCATTCTCTTTTTAAAGAATGCCTATGACAACTTATACCCTACCTCTCAAGTCTGTTACCCAGAAAGGTGGGATGTGGGTGGAAGGGGGGTAAAGGGGGCAGACCAGTCACCCAATTCTATTATATGCTCCGCCAAAGGGTGTCCACTGAAAATACTGGCCGGTCAGCTTTGCATTATTGCAAATCCTTTTTGTACATCAGGCAGCCTTTCCATCATTTAGGCCAGGCCACCGAGGGAGCACTGATTCAGTATAACTAGCAATGCTTACAATGATACATGCAGGAGACTAACATTTGAAACACTTATACCCAGAACCCCATTTAGTTCAGATAACATTTATGATTGTGTATCTGGCATGCAACACGACAACAGCTATTTTAAGCCTGAATTGTAGAACATTTAGTGTACATCAATACTACTATTCTAAGAAATTGCAGGTATTCTAAGAAACTGCAGAATTTTAAAGGGACTCTATAGTCACTTGAACAACTTTAGCTTAATGAAGCAGTTTTGGTGTATATTACATGCCCATGTAGCCTCACTGCTCAATCCTCTGCTATTTAGGAGCTAAATCCCTTTGTTTATGAACCCTAGTCACACCTCCCTGCATGTGACTTGCACAGCCTTCCATAAACACTTCCTGTAAAAAGAGCCCTATTTAGGCTTTCTTTATTGCAAGTTCTGTTTAATTAAGATTTTCTTATCCCCTGCTATGTTAATAGCTTGCTAGACCCTGCAAGAGCCTCCTGTATGTGATTAAAGTTCAATTTAGAGATTAAGATACAATTATTTAAGGTAAATTACATCTGTTTGAAAGTGAAACCATTTTTTTTCATGCAGCCTCTGTCACTCATAGCCAGGGGAGGTGTGGCTAGGGCTGCATAAACAGAAACAAAGTGAAAGTGAATTGAGCAGTGAAATTGCAGGGAATGATCTATACACTAAAACTTCTTTATTTAGCTAAACTAGTTTAGGTGACTATAGTGTTCTTTTAAATAAGATGACGGGCAAGGCAAACAAACCACTTCAATGAGATAGAATGGTCTGGATGCCTATAGTATCTTTAATTTCCCAAATTCTCATCTCTCATGGATATATTGACTATGTTACTATTATGCATCTCATTTAGAATGTGGAATTAAAGGACGGTCATAGAGGGTTATTCACTAAACTCCACATCTTAGAACATTAAATCTAAATTGCAAAATTAAAGCCAAAATAGCCAGGCTGTGATTACAGCCGAGTTGGAGAATATTTTCAGAACAGCAAGTGTGCCTACATTTTGCAACTGGGACCTAATCTGCTAAAATTCTGAGTTTAGCAAATAACCCTGACTTTTCACTCCACGATTTAGCTTTTATTGTATGCATGCTGCCTAGACTTCCTACTGAAAAAATGCCTCACTTTTTCCGTGCTATATGGGTCAGTACATTTTTAGTTATTGTTTGTTGTCAAAGTGACGTTTGCTGTGAGCTTACGCACGTAAAGTAAATTGCCACCATAGCATGTGGTTAAAATAAAATAAACAGAGGAAGTACAAAAGCATAAAAGTCTGTGTTGGATAAATCCAGACAACCTATGTATTGTTATTTTTTAAAAATAGTATATACCTGCTGCTCATTCCATCTTATCATTTTAATAACTAAGTAAAAACAAATATAAAATGATATATATATATATAGAAAGAGAGAGAGAGATAATTCTGTACTGTAGAGTGGGTGAAATCGTTTTTGTCATTGTTCCCCGTAATGTATGGTTGACCATTCTGTTTCCTACTTTCTTATTTATTTATTTATTTATGTTACAGAAAACTATCCAGAAGAAACATAGTAAATCATTTCTTGATTTTGGCAGGGCTAATTAGCTTTTTCTCTAACAACTAAGAAAACCAAGTATTCTAGAAGCATTCTAGAAATCCCTTTTGTTTCTACTTTGTGGGCAGATTTCATTAGGTTGTAGGTTGACTTGACTTATTGATTTTTTAAACTCATTTTCTGTTCTTGAAGTAAAAACTGCCTGCATGTGAATCCATCCCCCAGTCAAACAGCATAGTCGTAGACAGGACTGGTCTTAGACCTTCAGTTCACCTGCGTGTGTGTCTCTCCACCCGCACCACCCCCTATCCATTGTTATTGATTATCAGTATATAATGTAGATAGATGGAAAAGCCACTTTTGGCCTACCACATGCAGTCTCTAACACACATTTTTCAGATGGTTTGCATGTGACTCTTAGTGTCAAAAGTGTCTTGGTGTTTGCATTGTCCGCATGTTTGCAGATCTTGTGTGTATGCAATAGCATTATGTGTGCGTGTTGGTGTTTCTTTTTGTGTGCAATGTCTTCTTTATGTGTGCAATATTGATATTATTACTAGCATTTAAATATCGACAACCAAGCGCTTTACAATTATAGAAAGGGGACATTTGATAACAAGTAATTGGCATGATTGGTAGGGAACCTAAGACAGACAGGACACAACAGACAGAATTGCAATACCGGTCCTTAGAATGGCTGGGCTATGCAAAAGAATACTCAAGGCAAGCCAAGGTCAAAGGGAAATAGACCGACGGAATACAAAGAGAAAAACCGAGGTCAGGGAGAAGAGAAAACAGAGTAAACATAAGACAAGCCAAAGTTCGGTAACCAATTAATCAGAAAGTGTATTACGCGCTATTGGGTTAAACAAAGACCACAACAGGGCACTGAGGAAAGGGGGAGGTTAACTTATATACACACAGGGTGTGTCTGATTGGCTGACCTGATTGGGAGACGTTTCTTCCCTCCCTTGTGGTCTCTGAGGTCATCAATTCTGAAAGGTCCCAAATGGGATGCCTAAATTGATTGCAACTACCAAGGATTGGTAGTCAACTACCAGCCTTGTCTTTGGTGGGTTTTGGCAATCTGTAGGGGTACGCCATGCATTGCAGGTTCTGTGATAAAGTGAGGAGAACTAACATGCTCTGGTAAGTTATAAATCAAAAGTTCCAAAAAGGAATCCTTATATATCCACAGGATGTGGACAGGAAAAAGACTAATGTGCTAAATGGTTGGGGTGACCTTTGTACTTTGGAGATAATTCCTGTTGAATGGGTGTTTTGAGAGGAGCTACTTATTTGTAGTGCTGTCATGATATGGTTGGGGAATACATGTTCTGGAGGGTCTGTAACCATTTATCACTGTTGTTAATGTCAGACCTTTTTTTCTGTTTGTTTATTTGTTTGTTTTGTTTCTGTTGTATTGTGTATTTTTGAATGCATTGGGCTCTTCAACTAATTTTAGAAAAAAATATAATCTGGATGATTGCCCAGTATGTATCAACCATGGTGTGAAATTTATCCATAAATAATAAGATGATAGAATAGAGAGAAACAGACAGAAACAAATACATTTTCTTAGCAAAAAACAGCATCTTATTTTGCTCATTTTTACTTTTTTGCTATTGGTACCATTATACTTTTTTGTAATTTTATATATATTTTATATAGTATATATATTATATAAAAGGATAGATGGTAGAATGGACTCTTATGCTCATGAATAGATAGACAGACAGATCGACCTATCACTTATCCTATGAATGTATATGCTCATAATCAGAGAGACGCACAGACAAGTCGGAAGGCTCATAATGAAATTGACAGACAGACAGACAGGTGCTCATGAATAGATAGACAGATCCACATACTAAGGTAAATAGATGGACAGATGGATGAATGTGCAGGTGAATGGAAGGATGAATTAATTCAGACAGACTAAATGATAGGCAGACAGATAGCTATCTCTGTGTGCTCATACTATACAGTCACAGAGCCAACGCGTTTGTGTATACAGCACGCATGTGAATCCCTGATACAAACTCTGGGTGAGAGTGTAACTTAATCGACACATTACCTACTTATTTTACCTAAGGTGGACCTTGCTGTTCATGCATCTATGCATGAGTGGTTAATATGTCCACTTTAATTACCTCACAGACTTCAAAGCCTATACACTGATTTTGCCATAAAATCTACTTTAGCAAAACTTTCTTTCCAAATATAGCTGTCCCAATTCAAAATAGAATGTAGCGGCTATATTCTTTGTATGCTATCGGATCTATTATAAACCACCAAAGCAACATACTATACTGAAAATGTAATTAAAGGTAAATATATATTATTTATATTGGGCAAACAAGGGAGAACATTAACTTTAATGTATTCACATCTTAATGGGTTACACATAAATATTTCTGCACATAGAACGCTTCTTTTTATACATCAAAATCACTTGATTTATTACTTCCTTCGTTCCTTCGTTGGAGAGTTTTTACAACCATTTGAGGGTTTATGCAGGAAATGGTGATTAGTGGTGAACTAACCTGCAAAATTCAGTTTACATTAGCCAAGTGGGAACAAAACTATTCAGACTAGCTGAGCTGGAACATTTTTCCAACCTATTGTTTTTTGGTCCAAAACCTGTAAGTTGGCTCCCAGATTGAGCTTCCCCTGTGTAAGGATAATACCGAGCACATTGCATCTTAATTAAATAAACTGTTAAGGACTGGATATGTCAACTATCTATTGAGTTAAACAGCACATATATCAAGATCAGTTTTTATTAAACATGTAGTGGAAGAATTGTTAAAGGGACACCCCAGGCTAACGCCGAGGTTTAGTGCAATTAAGAGATAATATATTGAGCAAATACAAGTAAACAAGGAATACAATGCATCTGAAAAACATAAAAGGATAACCGAACTTCTAAATTTAAAGCTGTGCTGAGCTTGGGATAATTCATTTGGCTTATGAACAGGATTCCTTTTCTAAAATTGTCAAGTCTCTAGTTCAGCCCCTTCCAGATAAAATCTTAAGATCTCATGAGGGTTACTGAACATTGTTTTTCGTGATGGGGTTAAACTAAACTCTTTATTAATATACTGGTCATCTTACACAATATAGAATATTGAAAACCATATTTTTTCCCCAAGAATATACACTGTATGCTTTTGTTTTGCATGCCAGATGTTTGAGAAATGCAGGTCCTATATTGCTAAGTCAGCCTTGCATTTGGCTGAGGATAATGGGAAATGTAGATCAGCCATGTCCATTGTTTAATCACATTCTAATATTTTTCTGGAGCAAAACATATACAATATCTTCTTTTTTCTGCACAGCCCTGTAGGAAATTTTCTATTTCCATCTCACGTAGTCATATATTGTTTTTTTAAATTGCACTGTAGCACACTTGAGACATTTGCTTCTATGTTTTATTCCGTAGCTATTTTTAACATACCTGCAATTTCTTAGAATAGTAGTATTGATGTACACTAAATGTTCTACAATTCAGGCTTAAAATAGCTGTTGTCGTGTTGCATGCCAGATACACAATCATAAATGTTATATGGACTAAATGTGGTTCTGGGTATAAGTGTTTCGAATGTTAGTCTCCTGCATGTATCATTGCAAGCATTGCTAGTTATACTGAACCAGTGCTTCCTCGGGGGCCTGGCCTAAATGATGGAAAGGCTGCCTGATGTACAACAAGGATTTGCAATAATGCAAAGCTGACCAGCCAGTATTTTGAGTGGACACCCTTTGGTGGAGCTTATAATGGAATTGGGTCACTGGTCTGCCCCCTTTACCCCCCTTCCACCCACATTCCACCTTTCTGGGTAACAGAGTTGAGAGGTAGGGTATAGGTTGTCATAGGCATTCTTTAAAAAGAGAATGCAAACTACAACAAAGGGAGATCACTTGATTATTGCTCACCTCTTAATGGTAAAGGATTACAGGGTTGTCTTTGAATTTTTCATTTTGTTGGGCTGGGCTTGGAAGTATTGCTGTTGGCAGTTCCTGAAATTAGCTCGCTGGATCCATCCTCCAGTCTAATATCAAACCATTTAGGGACAGTGTAACATAAGCCAGATCTATACATGGTGCCTTAAGACTACCCCCATCTTGGGTCACGTTGATAATTTGGGATTAATACTTCAACATTATCAATGCCAGTCTTGTCCAACCTATTTAAGGTCAATCAGCCAAAGTAAAAACATAGCTAGAGATTTTCTCAGATAGAGAGACAGACAGACAGACAGATGGACAGACAGCCTAATAAAGCACCATGGGATTTGTATATTTGCAATAGCTACACATTGACCATTTGACCAGAACTGCTAATTAGTTCATGCAAACAAAATTACATCAAAAGCTAAGTCGGTTCTCTCACTTTTTCGAAAACAGCATAAAAATGTAACTTCTAGAAAAAAATGTAGATGAATAAAACAAATCCTACATGGTTGAAGCTTTGCCTCAATATCCCTACTCATTATGGCAAGTTTTGTCATATTATTATTATTATTGCAATGTTGTATTTAAATTTGTAAATTATTCCCATTTTGTTGTTTTGCTAAACATTAGAATCATTTTGCACTGCAGTATTTATAATCCGTTTTACTCGGCATTCAGTAGCAGTTCTTAAGTTAAGAGAAAAATGAAAGCACTTCGTGACCTATCTTTTAGGGCTTTTAACTTTTTTTTTTTTTTTAGGCATTTGACGATGGTAAAAACATATTTAAATTCGAAAATGTAATATTCATAGATGCTTTTTGCAACTAGGAAATTGTTGTTACACAGTACATTTACATTTGAAATATTTTTCTGCTTCTGCAATTTTCTTTTCTTCACTACCCTAAACATTCCTTAACCCCTATTGTTAAAAATAAGTACATTTAAATAGGCAGTAATACCAGTAATATCTGCTTATATTCAGCTGTATTCTATACAAACTTGAAAATATAAACTTTATTGTATCATAAGACCTAGTCCTAGACTATAATGCATCAATGTTCTAGAGAGAGATATGTCTTGGGACATATTCACTAAACAGTATTCCTGGGAGCTGCTGGTAGGTATATGGGTGTCCTTGCTCCCACTGGATGCTAGTAGGGTGCCCTGCGTGCTGGAGGGCTGCCCTGGGTGGTGTAGGTAGGTGTAGGTAGAGGTCTGCCCTGAGTGCTGCTGCTATAGGTAGAGGCTGCTAGGGATGGAGCAAGTTAGGTAACTCTTTGCAGGTCAGTAGAACACACTCATCCTGTAACAGCTGGGTGAGAGAAACTTCACAACTTACTTTTTAGCCACATCTTGACTCCATGATAGAGCTGGCTGGAGGGGTCACATGGCCCCGGTGAACAGATTTTGATGTTCAGGTACCGAAGATCGTTCGCATACGAGACATTTTTTACAAAAATTTTTAGTTCGAATACCGAATTGTTCATGTACACGAACGTTCGAGTTCCGAGGTTCCACTGTAGTTACTTGTGCACTATGCCAGATACCTATGTACATTTAAATAACTGGAGTTGGTTTTTTTGTTTGTTATTTTGTACATTTATTGAATTGTGTTTTTGTTTTTTCTCACAAATAAAAATAAATGAGGGGGGCTGGGGATACAGAAAGAAGACAGTAGGGGGTACAGGGGTAATTGTAGATTTATGCATCATAAAGTTAAAGACATTTGTGCTTTCTAGAAACAACATTCTGTCATACAGCCGGCATGAAGCATCCCTAGTTTACCATAACTGGATGTGGCATTGCTCATGAGATGATTTTGGCATCCTCAAAGACATCTGCCGACATGTGCAGATTACAGGTTTTCTATCTCAATTATCCTCACTCTAACATTTTCACGGCCTCCCATTAGGCCCATAAGTTGACTAGTTGCAACTCAGCTATCTCCAGCATGTAGTCCTGTGGACTTCCCCGATCTCCATGTGTCCCACAATTTCCAGGCACCAATGGCTGGTTTTGAAGGGGGAGAGTTATCGTGGAATAAGATTTCGTACATGTGTTGTTTATCCATCTCTATAAATAAAGTAGAGAACGAAGGGGCATTTTGTGACTTCCAAGCTTTGACTATCAAGCGTTGAGCTGTCAATGATATATGTAGTGTAAATTTTCGTACATAACTTGGTAGGTTCTTTGGGAGGTCTAATAAAAGAAATGTGAGGTTGGAGCAGGAGATGTATGTTTGTAATAACTGGAGGTTTTTATTATGACTCACGATATTACACCTGAATCTGAAAGCAGCAAGGTGAATTGTTAGTGTAGGCAGATGGGCTCACACTCAAGTGGCCACTGGAGTAATACTAAAAACCTCCAGTTATTTAAATGTGCAAAGGAATTTGGGATAGTGCGCAAGTAACTATTTTTTTTTGTTTTTTGTTAGGTTTTTATCAAACTGCTTCTTACAATTTACACGATTGCCACTTGACAAATACAAAATATTACGAATCTGTTAGACGTACAATGATATTTCTCCTCTTAGTATAATATATGTAAGTGCACGCAAACAAAGTTTAGTCCTTCGATAGCAATAATAATTAAAATGTATTATTATTTTTTTTTGTTCTACAAACAACTTTCAAAGGAAAAAAGTTGCTCAATATCACATTTTAATGCAGAAACGTGTTGATTTGATTCTTATCAGATAATGTTCTTCAGCCCTCAGGTAACGGCCCTTCTAAGAAAACACAATTACTAGACAGTATTGAGGCTAACATTTCACACTGCTCGTCATACTTGTAATTGACCTTGCTTACTTATAAATATAGAACATGACTGTGAAAGGAAAAAAAACATATATAAATATAAAATTCATAAAGAAAATCATTCATTTGTAACCCATTTACTGTTTAATTTTAGGATACTTGAGTTATTCACTATGGTGGGAATTGTAAAGAATTGTGTTTATTATCTAGGGTTAACCCTGCCTGCTGTAAACATAGTAGTTTCAGAGAAACTGCTATGTTTACATTAGGGTTAATCCAGACTCTAGTGGCTGTCTTATTGACAGCCGCTAGAGGCGCTTCTGCGCTTCTCACTGTGATTTTCACAGTGAGATGACGCTGCAGTCCATAGGAAAGCATTGAGAATGCTTTCCTATAGACTGAATGCGCGCGCTGCTGTTGCCGGGCATGCACATTCGGCGTAAGAGGGAGGAGAGTCCCCAGCGCCAAGGGAGCCTGGCGCTGGAGAAAGGTAAGCATTTACCCCTCCCCCCCCCGCCCGGAGCCTGGCAGGAGGGGGGCCATGAGGGTGGGGAGGTCTATTAACACTATAGTGCCAGGAAAACGAGTTTGTTTTCCTGGCACTATAGTGGTCCTTTAATGCGTGTCCACATTGCAATGTTAATTGATATTTTAATGTTAAGCCAAATGATAGACAATTTTAGAATCAACTGCTCTTCTTCCACAACACATGCTACACCAATTTGGATTGGCTCCCAGGTAATCATACTAGGTCTTAAATGGCTTAAAAATATTAATTTCGAGTGCTGGTATTCCTAAAATGCCTCTGTTCCCGTGCAGATGTTAGAATAAAAAGCACCGTCTTCCACAACACATGCTACACCAATTTGGATTGGCTCCGAGGTAATCATACTAGGTCTTCAATGGCTTAAAAATGTTAATTTCGAGTGCTGGTATTCCTAAAATGCCTCTGTTCCTGTGCAGATGTTAGAATAAAAAGCACCATGCTTTTAACTTGTTGCACATTCTCATAGTGTAAACGATTTAAGAAAAATCTCCTATGTTATTAATTAACATTATTAATCATGAGAAGCTCAAATTAGGTTTGTCGACTAAGTTACAAATGACTAAAAGACATTTTGGCAAAAGTGCAGAAATTCAGAATGGTTATTCCATGAATTGAAGCCAGTCAAAAATGTTCTGAATTGCCCTCAAATTTTAGTCAAATGACCTAAAACGTATCTAGAAAGAAGCTGAGTAGCTCAGAAATTGGTATTGATACTATCGATTATTTCTTAATTAGACCCCAATTAACCCCTTCACCACCAAGCACTATTTGATTCAAAAAATATTAGCATAACATTTGTTTTTTTTTAAGCGAAGGATACATACATTTCATAACACAGCAATGTTGTGTGTAGATTCCTTTCCAGGTGAACGTCAAACTAAAATTATGTAGAAATATACTATTTTTATTTAGTCACTTATTCATTAATCCTTTACAAAAATATTTGAGAAATAGAAAGATTTAGACAGTATACAGTGTCCTTTATCTTACCATGTTTCTCCCGGGGTCTGAAATCTTAATACATCACATACAGTAGATGTGACAATAATAGATGAATAAAAAATGGTCAGATAAATTAAAAAAATGTTCAAATACCATGTTTATAATAAGGACCCTGAAGATATTACTAGCAGTGCAGCTTAATTCAAAGAGCAACATAATAAAAAAATAATGTCTACATCTATGCATAATGCCCCTAAACAGTAAGTACAGTTTAATCATATATTTCTAAATTAGAGCTATTTAAAACTGCTATAACATTTTCTTAAATTCTTTATTTTTGTTGTACATTGATAAAACAATACAGCATTCTGCACTGTTGTGCGACACAAGACTTGATAAACCGATCATGAGAAAACAGAACAGTGAAAGTTAAACTGCACATTTTGTATATATATATATATATATATATCAATCAGGCTAGAAGTAAATCAGTGTATTATTAAGACATCACAAGGGTAGAATGTAAGGTAAAAACCCTGGGTGCCTTAACTGAGTTGTAGTCCGCAACATGAGTTTACTGTCATTACTCACTAACGTGATTTGTCAAGAATTTTTAATTTTTTGTTTAACCCTATGCATGGACTTAATAGCTGCAAGGCAGCATATTTTAACTTTGATTATTTATGTCTAACGTTTAAAATTCACTTTTAATTTCAACAGTTCACAATGTAGTTAATACTTTAGTAAGGAGCATGTGAGAGCCTCATTAACTGCTTTGCAACACACTTGTTTACCTATATTTTGTGATGGTGTATTCTTTGTCGGTCAGGATTTCTTTATATAGCATTTTATTTAAAGATAATTCCACAATATAATATACTCTTGCAATACAATGCATAGATATTTTTAGGATCGCAAAAAAAAAAGTTCATATGATAAATACATTTGTATTGTCTACCATCACATTTGACAAACTTTAAAGGGGCACTCCAAAGCCTCAATACAAAAATAACTAAATAAATAAAAAATCACTGTTAATTTATGCATTTTTTTTATTGAGGGTATGTCTAAATACAGCCTGCATAACCTGCAGATCTCTGGTCTGCAACCTTTGCAGGCCCTCCTCTTCTAAACCCGCCCAGACTTTCTGTGGCTGTCCAATCACAGACTTCCCAATGCAGGTTAATTGCTGCCTCTTCAATTTAGCACCCCTGAGCTAATCAAATCAGGAAGTAGCAGGACCTGTTTGAAAGCTGAGGGGAGTGGGGGAGGGCAGAAAACAAGATTAATTTATAAAAGTGCCAATTTCAATTGAAAGCTGCACTTTTTGTAGAATGAAAAAAAGAGAACTCACTCTTCACAACTAATGTTCTTCAACAATCTGTATCCTTTTAATGATTGAGGATTGAGTAGAAGTAGAAAATGTACAAAATATCATATAACATAGATCAAATCTGAATTTACCAAAGGTTGCATATTTTCACTTTGCACTGGACAACAGATTGTTGGGTTTTTAAGTAGGTCACATATCGTATGGGCTGAAAGTGCTTTGTACATTGCCATCTGGCCGTGTAAGTTAACATCCGATTAACTCGAATGGATGCTGGGAAGATGAGCATTATGGTGATGTGAATACATAGCGCAGAGATTGAGACATGTCTGCATGAATGGAGACATACGTATGTCTCTCTGGCATACAGTAACATTTACAACTCTCATGCAGATGGTCTATTTTGGTCTAAAAATCATTTAACATTCAGCCAATGTTGTACAAGAGAATGCAAAATAATTATTTCAGTTACTTGCATGTGTGATAGGCAGGATTATTCAATTAAACATCTTTTAACCTCTTAAGGACACATGACATATGTGACATGTCATGATTCCCTTAAATTCCAGAAGTTTGGTCCTTAAGGGGTTAAAGGCATAGACATTTCATAGTGACATTTTACTGTTTAGGAAGTAAATGTGCTTCATAATTTCTTTAACGTTTTTATACATTTGTATTTTTTTTTTTTTTTAAATACGTATAGGTTATTAGCAGTCATGAATCCACTGAGTCTAACAATAGATGCACGACTGCTAGTAACCTGTACTTTAACCAATATGCCCATCTTACCATCCCAAATAAATATAGAAGATATGAAAATATAGCAATTTAAAACCACTTCATCGTCACAAACTGTAAATAAACCGTTGTCCTGCAGACATGACCAACTCAAGATCTCCAAGAGATGAAGTCTTGTGGTACCTATGAGCTAATTCTAATACCATCGGTATGTTATAAAGGGGGATAAAAAAAAGAATGAGACTAGAGGGTAAGAAATTAGGCTAACCATTGTAGACCTTGTATAACTATATTGTAAGAAAATGAAATTGCCACCAGTTTCCTAATTTATCACACTGTATAAAAACGAGCATGACTCTTGATAAAACCTACCATTGGCTGTTGACATTTACTCCGATATAAAGATATTGGGAAAGAATGTAATGCCTACTATTATTAGAATTTATGTAGCGCCAACACATTCCACAGGGCTCTACCATTAAACAAAGGGGATATTTAGAGGTGAAGAAGGCCCTGTTTAAACAAGCTTACAGCCTATGAGGATTTGAGGTAGGTGGTTATATATTGTTAGGTGAGAAACTTGCTGGGGAAGTGATCTGACTGGGATTTGAACCTGAGTTTATTTTGGCCAGGCAGTGATGGAAACAACATTCTAAGCAGCCTATGTCTCAAATGTGAAATTGGTAGGACTGCCATTCGGAAACTGATTGTATTAACCCCTTAAGGACAGAACTTCTGGAATAAAAAGGAATCATGATGGAATATTTCCGTCATGTGTCCTTAAGGGGTTAAAGGGCAATGTACAGAAGATGTTAACTTGGTATACAGTGCAAAGTAACTGGATCTTTGGTCTGTACACCCTATTCACTCTATCTGGATGAGATTGGTTAATGCCAAAGGTTACCTTAACTCACAAGCTTTGCTGACAACCTTTAAACATGTCATTTCTCAGTCAGCCACAGAATAAGTCCAAGGCTTGCCCTAATATTATGCCATTCTACAGGACCTAGGACAGCTAATTATTATTATTAGATTCTCATTTATACACATGATGAGTCCCCATACTTACTGATAAAGAAATTCATGTGAGCTTTATTAAGCACCAGGTTAAAGTCAAGCATCTTCCGTGTTATCTCAATCACCGGATTTAAATATTATTGTACTTTTGTCATACATCAGGAGCAAACGTTACCTAATACGGTTTCACCTGCTTTAACAGAATATACAATGTAATAAACTGTAATTTTGTGCTACACCAGATACATATCTTCGAAACGTTTAAGGTTAATTTCTGTATGATTGTTTAAATGACCTATGCACTTTATACAATATTTGTATGATTTGTATAATGTATCTGATCTATTTTTCTTATTGTATTGCCATTTGATATGGTTTTATATGATCTGATCTGTGCCTTAGGGATTCAGTGTAATACCATATGTATGATGTGTGCCATATGTATTTTATCCTAAAGGACTGATAAAGATTTAGTCGTTAAATTCTGCACACCCGGCAAGAGGCTGGTGATATGCTTTAAGGGTTAAGAGCAGCCGTTAAACAGTAACGAGAGAGTTTGAAACCAGTCAGAAACTCGTCACTGATAGCTGTAAGCAGCTCCCATAGAGAATAATGGGGGCTGTTGGCCATTGCTTAGCGGCTGGCTTTAAGTCACGGCAGCTGATAATTTCCTGGTGGCTACTGGTGAGATTTTGCAATCGGCAAACAGCTGCTACTCACTAACAGAAGCGGCAGGCATTTCGGTGTGCTAGAACAAGTAGCGACAACATTGGAAACAAGCCCCTAGTCTATTCGCTAAACTGTGAGTGGGGAAAATCTGACAAAGAAATTGCACATTTTAATTAAATAAGCTAGAAATATCCAGAGATATCTACTAAAATGAAAATACAAAGTGAATTTCAAATTTAAGGCCATAGTGTCTGAACTGGGTATTTCTAATTCACTTAGAATTCTCACTTTAGATAGAGTTTGGAATAGCATACAATCTGGGTTATCTTGACTAAAAGTTGCATTTAACTCATAAAATCATTACAATAACCAGGTCTGGGTACGTATATCGAGTACATTTTTCTGGCACTCAAACAGTTAAAAGAGAAGAATACAGTATTTTTTTATTATTATCTGTTCTTCCTCAGCTAGAACATTTAATCCATTTGTAATTGGTATGATACGGAGCAGGAAAATCTATTTTGAAATGGCCGTATCACATGACTCCTTCTCTCATAGCTAGCCTTGTCTATTTTAGGTTTTAACCAAATAACACATCAATATAAATATGGTTAGAAAGGATTTTCTATCAGAGTCATGTTCCATTAATGTCTCCAAGTATTCCTATGTTATCAGCCTCTCCACAGCTCGACGATTATATTACATAGTTTTTTAACTGTGATATTTCAGAAATACTAGCTTGAGATTTCATCAAGATGCAACTAAAGACAGGAAGGATAAAATAATATGATTATATTTATTTGGTTCCAATTGACAATATGCTTAAATGATGTATACATCTCTATGGATAGTTCAGAACAAATGTAGGCTTACAATATCTTGTATATTTCTAGTTAAATGGACGATCCAGACCCCTAAAGCACTTTAGCTTGCTGAAAAGCTTTATGTGTGAAGAGTGTGCCCTCTTTTTTTATTTTACAAAAAGTGCAGATTTTAATAGAAATGGACCCTTTAATAACTTATACTGGTTACACCCCCTGGCTTTTCAAGCAGACAACTGGTCCTGTTACTTCCTGGTTTGGTTAGCTTAGTTGCACTGAACTCAAGAGACAGCAATTATCCTGAGCACCTGCCTTGCAAAGATTTCTCATTGAGCTGCATTAGGAAGTATGTGATTGGACAGCCACAGAAAGTCTGGGCGGAGTTAGAAGGGGAGGATTTGCAAAGGCTGCAGACAAGAGATCTGCAGTTTTTGCAAGCTGTTTTTAGATGTAACTACAATGAAATTTTTTTTTCATTTTGGGTATATCTACTAGAAAGTGATTTTAAGCACTTAAGCCATCCTGGTGCCATCACAAAGACTCACATCAATGTATTTAAAATGTTATGGCTTTCTTGAGACAGAGGGAACAAGGAAGGAGAACCGATAAGGGAATTTGAGCCAAAGCAGGAACAAATATAGCAAATTAGGAGTTTTTGTTCCTGATTTAGCTATTCTGGTGTAAAACCTGTCAGGCCTGCATCAAACTTCTAATTTAAAAAAAAATAATGTTCAAAATAAACAAACTGAAAAAGAAGAATATACCAACCACGTTTTTGTTTATTTTATTTTTTTATTTTTTTTAAAGTAAGAACAATAAACATGTGGAATTCTCTGTCTGAAGAAGTGGTTTTATCAGAGTCTATACAAATATTTAAACAGCAACTAGATGATAACTTGTAAAAATATAATATTCAGAGATATAATTGTTAATATTTGGGGTAATCCCTTCTTGATCCAAAGAGAGATCTGACTGACATTCTTGGGATTGAAAAGGATTTTTTCCCTAGTTTGTTGCAAAATCAGAAAGCGCTTTAAACTCTGTATTTGAACATGGACCATAAGTAAAACATAAAGGATAAGTTTGATGGAAGCCAGTCTCTTTTCAGCTGTGCAACTAGTTTCTATATAACTGCATGACTGATTAATTGTGACATTAACCAAAAATGTATAAATCAGATGTACTGGAAAAGTTCATAAATGCAATGGATAACTCACTGTAACAGTTGTTTTACCAAAAATACAACAAATACTCACATGATAAATGAATACCACAATACACTATAACTGCTATACAATGACATTGATGTCATTGATTCCATTGATATCAACACATGGAAAGTAATCCAGATATCACAATGTAATAGATGACCTAGAACATGCAACACATCACTCCAAAATTTCACTAGCGAAGCACCGGGACACAAACTTGAAATGTTTGTGATGTCAATAAAACACTACAAGAGTCCAGTGACAGACAAGTACTTGAAATACGGTAACAAAGTTCCAGGACTGTAATTATGAGAATACATTATCAACAGAATATCTAAGAGCCTAATGAAACACCTGGGTTTGCTACGGCCTTCTCCAGAACTGATTGAAGATTTGTTTCACCCATCCAATAAAACAGAAAAGATTTTCGAAAGAATTGATTTAACATATTAGTTGCGTTCAGGTCGTAATGACATATGAAAAAGGGGTGAGCTGTATTAAAATTAAAGAAAGCCCAAAGTTATATCCCATGGGCTGAATTCATGTATATATTGGGGTGGGCTTGAGATAGTTGAGAGCTTCCACCGAAACTCATATGCAATTGAAAATAATCACCTTTTTACCTGCTATGGCAATTCCTGGAATAAATGCTTGGCTTCCAGAGAAACATATGAATAATTTAAAATGCTGTACATAAAAATAATCTGTATCTCAGTGGACTTTCTATATGTGTGAATTAAATGTAGACGTGTGAAAATACATACTAAACACGCCACATCCTCAGTGTCTAAAAAAAGAAAACAATACAGAGTAAAACAAAACAATATAAAGTATGGAAATGTTGCAGGAATCAATAAAGGATACGTGATAGCAGACAAAAAATGATTTTATGTTGTGTATGTCTGTTGAATTGCAGATGTCTCTATATAATAGTGGCAAACTAAGTGATCTAATTAACATTACATTATGAGCAAGCCCATGCATCATTAGCAATGAGCTTATATGTTTTTTCCCTTTAAAGACATTACTGTGGGAGCAATTGTACTCACACTCATGGAGACAATGTGGAGCCCACGTGTGTCCTGTGAATACGGGTCTGTCTTTCTTGTTTGTTTGTCATTTGCCATTTGTAATTAGTGTTTGTGTAATAAGAAATCAGAGAAAGAGAGAAGAATGCAGGTGTTTGTTGCCCCATGCATAGCAAAATATTTAGATAATTCTAGTTTTCATTTAACTCGCAAATGGAAAAGGAGTCTCTGTTGCTAAAACTAAATTAATTTGGAAATTTAAATCCTCTACAAAACATTTTATATTGTAGACAAATATTTCTTGAAATCCTAGGTGGAGGACATTGACTGTGTTGAATTTTTTAATCTAACACATGACTTGTACAAAAACCTGTACCTGAAAATGGAATAGATTGGCCCCAAAAAGCCTCAAACATTCTGCACAATGTGTCTTCTTTAAGAACCAAAAAGTAAGTGAGTGAGTCACCAGAACCCTCTGTGGACCAATTGTAGAGTCTATGAACTTCAGTTGGAGGTCCCATATAAAAATGCTGGACATAAATGCTTGTCAGCGGTAATTAAAGTTACTATTTGCCCATACTTCGATGCCGTGGATATATAGAGCATATGGAGGTCCCCAAAGCCATCTTCATCTTCCCATTGGTAAAAAGTTATAATACGGCAGTGCAATATTGTTACACATTAAACTGCAAAATGTATGCTAAAATATCATGACTATAGTTCCCTGACTATGACTATTGACTATTCACTATAGTTCCCTGTCATGACTATTGTTCCCTGTATAGTGCAGTTTGGTTATAACTTTACTACAATACAGCATCTAGTCACTAGGAAGTCAACACACATCCTGGGGAAAAAATGAAAATAGTCCCTATTTAATTCAGTGTTTAATTATTACAATTGATTGTACAAACAGTGCTAGCACACTACTAGAGCAATATCCCAGGACACCAAATTTTATTTCTGAACATATATCACTGGGATTCGACTATCTCGAATTGCTCTAGATCATGGATGTCAAAGATGCGGCCCACAATGAATATCTCTGCAGTCCAGATATTAATTGCTAAGGGGACCTGGAGTTTAGTGGAGGGGGGCTGGGGTTTAGTAGAGGGAGGCTGGAGTTTAGTACAGGTGGGAGCTGGGGTTTAGTAGAGGGGGAACTTAGTAAGGGGGGTGGGGTTTAGTAGAGGTGGGGGATGGAGTTTAGTAGAAGGGTGGATAAGGTTTTGTAGAGGTGGGTGTTGGGGATTTTTTAGAGGAAGGGGCTGAGATTTTGAAGAGGTGGGGCTGGAGTTTAGTAAAAAAACATACATTTTATTGTTGTTCTTGTTCGTTTGCTTCTTTTATACTGTACCTTTCTGTGGAAATTGAAGTTGGGGTTTTTTTTGCGGCCCACATAAACGTAAGCCTTGTTTATTTGGCCCATGTTAGCCTTTGAGTTTGACATTCTTGCTCTAGATTAGTCTTTGTGCTATTTAAATCAGTTACTTTTTTTCCCCAGAAAATTTATATTTTGTTCAACAAATTTAAACATGATCATTAAATCTTACGTCCTCAGAAGGATGGTTCCCCATCACAGAAATGCCTCAATATACGGTGATAGGTCAGTTGCTGTTGATGAATCCAAGATATTCATCACTTTTATTCCTGTCATTCTGTTTAATACACATTTTATTTTTAACACACAAGTGGAACTGACAAGGAAAGTTAAGTGTAAGTTTATTCAGTAGCTACAATTTATCTGCCAAACCATTCCAAAGAGAATATTTAATAATGATCCTAATGAGCTACTTCATAAGTGAAACTTAGTTTGCCTAATTTACATTTCAAGGGCACTCAGTAGGATTTACGCACATTGAACTCCAGGATATTAAAATGCTGAATAATATTACCTGATTTTGTAGATGCCAAAATATTCTTACTAGACATCTTAGTGGTAAAGTAAGAACCTGTTAAAGAGACACTTTAGGCACCATAACCACTTCATCCTATTCCCAGGCACCCACTCACAGTTCCACGCTAGACTGTTTTCTGACAGCCCCCTCTGCTATTTGGGCTGATGATTCTGCATTAGATTGAGCAGCGATAGGTTCGCAGCTTATTACAAATGCTCATCTCTGGTTGTGAGTTGGTATGGCTAAAGTGGTGTGTTACTCTTCCTGCTGCCTTTGCCATACCTCCAGTTGGGGCTTTGCCACAGGTACCTGAGGACCCATATTCAATGTTAAAACATTCATAATTGATTAGTTGTGAACAGTGAGCTGGTGCCAGTGGACTCCAGGCATCATAGCCACTTTAATAATGTGAGATGGCTTTAGTGTTTCTAATGCCCGTTTATTACATTTTTTTATTTCCTAATACTGCACTATGCATGCGCAATCTTTAACTGAGCCATTTATGTAAACTAATTCAAAATGCCCAGAGAGGATTTGGAGGAATAAATTGCCTGAACATTAGGGTGTGCTTGGGCAAACCCCTTGCACACACTGAAAATTATGTAAAGTCCTATTTTATCACATTACACCGCAGTCTTCAACTCTCCATCTTCAAATCCCACTCTCTAGTTCAGAACTGCCTGTGGTGATTGCTGATGCCCAGCTTAAATGGCCAGTCTAATCAAAAACAGTCTTGTATTAAAAACTGTCACCAGCAAGCTACGTATTCCCAGTATTAACAAAAGCGAATGACACCTCCACCTCGAGGAGCGAAGTGCACTATCCCTACACATGTAGACTCCGAACACCATGACCCTTTGAGTAACCCTTTAACTTAACATGTATTTTCTTTGCTATATCTTCACCACTGTTCTCAATCAGGTACCATGTTATTTATTTTGTGCCCTTTCTCCGCGATTCTCTGTGTGTGGCTGTCTTGCAAACCAGCCAGAGTGTAGGATTGAGTTATCCGAGAAACATATCAATTAATAAAAAAAACTTTTTTTTTTTTTTTAATATACACCCATGCCATTTTAAATCTAACACTGTCTAAAATCAATAGGAGATATTTATCAAGGCAAACTGCTGAGAGACATTCTATTGGATTCTTGGTCACTACTCATTATTTAGCACAGTGCTCCATAGTCACTCGGGTTTTTGGCTTGATAAATCTCCCTTAGATTGTCCTATTTAGATCAGTTTTTATTTATTTAAAGGTTCACCATGCCAATTCTTTGCAGAATAGCACAGCTCAGCCTTTTCACAGCTCTGAACTCGCATCTCACATTATCCAGATAAAAGTCTCTGGAATAAATGAGGTCTTGATATCGGTTGTGTAGGTCGAAAGTTCAAGCAGATGAGAACGACACTTCTTGAACGCAGTATTTTCGTTAATGTTGTGCTCTCAACGTTGACAGTAAAGATCACCTTTCTATGGAAGATTAGATTCCAGTTATCTAGTTTATATGAGTTTCGTGTTTTCTCTAGAATTGAGAAATCCCCTACTTATTGAAATAATTCACTGACATTGTTCTGCCTCTTCTTTATATGATGAATGACTTTGAAAGTGATACTTACCGGGTAGAATGGTTTATGTTCTATAGCAGTCAAGAAAGCCCATTCAGGTTGAGTTTTCAGACCTATTTTATTTTTTTCAATAGCGTTTGGATTAAACAAAAGAAGTCTAACATTACACAGATAGAACTTCCTAATTTTTTAACTATATATATATATATATTAAAAGTTTTGGAGATAAATAGTATTGTTTTCTAGTCAATTGGCAAACCATTCGTCAAACTATACCAGAATTATTAATAAATTGTAGATAGGGTTAATTATATTTATTGCCTTGTTTTGTGCCTGTTTATGGCTTTACCCAGATATTTCTACATACTATCACATCAATATTGTTTTAACATCCTGATTGCATTCTTTGGAATTGCTTCAACCCCAAAAATGCTATTCGGGTAATTGTGAATGTCCGTAAGCAGAGTATTTCACATTTTATTTTATTTATTCTTAATAGTTACGATTATTTATACAACGCCAACATATTACAAAGCGCTGTACAATAGGTGAAGAAAGACAAACAGTTCATTCTAACTTGACACGTTTGACATATGTGAGCAGAAGGCGCAGAAAAAAACTTCACAATACAAAGAACTAAATTATGATTGGTAATGATGTTTTCTGCTTACACCCAGTTTTTCCGGCTACTTGGGAATAAATACCTCCTCACTATAATGTAAAGTAGAGATTGTTAACATTGCTGAGAGAAAATTGTAGGTTTCCAATATATCAATACATCGCCAGTGGACATTCCACAAAACATACTGTTTATATCTATATACATTTGCTGTAACACTATAGCTGTGTGAAACAATACTGCAGATTTACAGTTGCCTTTCTCATCTCTTGTACATTTTGTCCCAGCATGCAACTGATGATCTCTTCCTGATTGAGTTTCTAAGTATTTTTATACATGTTGCAGCTGTCAGAACAGGGGATGGATTAGCTATATGGCCTAGTTTTCACCAGCAGTAATAAAATGAGTTATTATAGAGTGGGAGGGGTAAGATCTCTGAGATATCGGGAATCTAGACTAATATAAATAAATGAAGACCCATGGGGCTGATGTACACATTTTATGACGAGTCATAAAAGGGCAAATGTTAATTAAAATGGTGTAAAATAGTATGCTTGACTCTATGGGGATTATTTACTTAAATGTGAATTTAAAGCTGTATTGCAGAATTTAAACTAAATTAGCTATATCTCAGCCATAATCCAAGTGTGGCTATTTTATTCTGGATTATATAAACCTGTTTTCAGTCCACATATTTCACTGTTTAGTGAATAAACCTGTGTATTGCTTTAAAGAATAGGTTTACTGTTATTTAGTTACTGTGTACTTTTATTTATTTTAAAAATTATTATTATTATTTTTGTATACATGAAATCCCGTGGACATAGTCCCATTAATGCATTACTTTGTCTTTATGCATATATATATATATATATATGTTTGCCAATATATCGTCCTGCAAAAGCTTGTTTATATGAGTGTGAAAAATACATTCGGTATTTGTGAATCTGTTGATTCGATAATAGCTCTCGACTCTAGCGACTCCACCCTCCCCATTATAATTTGTAAGCGGATGTTTCTCACTAAGGTGAGTCTTTTACTCAACGAAGGCCTCACACTTGCCATCGGTATTAATGCCATGTTAACTCTTGCCTCTATTTTGTTTGGTAACCAGAGTGCTGCATTATTTTAACGTCATACATTTTGCTGTGCGTTACTTCATATATTACCTATATAAATTTACATTTGGATTACTGTCACCAACAGTTCGACTCACTATTGAATGTCTTACTCCACATCAAAAATAAATAATTATTTAAAAAAAATGAATCAAGAATAAAAATCATATTCATATTTGAAGTTTCTGCGTTTGCAACAAACTACCATGTTTTTTTAGTTTCTGTGCTTCACTATCACCAAACCAGGATGTGACACAGCAAATCATGATGCTCAAATAATGCTCAAATAATGCTCAATTAATTCAATTAATGTTCTGAGTTCATTTTCTATAACATTTACAATGTTGCACTAATTGTATGCTCACTTTAGGTATTGAAAAGGTTCTCTTAATAACAAAAAAATATTATATTATATAACATCATATCATTTTCTCACAGAAATAAAACTATCTGAAAAATGAAAACTTAAAAACGTGTTTATATTTGCAAATGAAGTATAACTAATGAAAAAAACATCAGATATTGATACTCATATACACTTGAAATTTAGCAATTCTTAAGAAAATGGTTCTATCCCTAGCTATATGTAGTCATGTGTTTGTGTTGTATGAAAAATGTCACAATTATTAAATAATCTCACTTTCAATATGTATTAACCTCTCATTTTTCCCGGACTTTCTTTTTTTTGAATGCTGCAAGAAAATATCGTTTGCAGTGTGGCCATCATAATGACGGAATTCTTCATTGGTAAATATATATTTTAAATTTTATAGTAATTACATTCTAGTGTTTTATTTGTTTGTCTTCAAACTAATTAATGTTTGATTGCTTATGCTTTGCACATGTTTATTTCAATGTATGAATACTAGTGCGGTTAGCCAAGTTCCCTGTAAGTATTTATATGAATTAGGAACATAAGTTGAATGATCTTGCACTGAAACAGTTACATATGGACTCTATATATCCACATTACAATTAAATCAGGATATGTAAGACCATTGAGAACTTGAATAAACTCAGTAATGCCCCGTTTCCACTGAGCGGTTTGGTTCGGGTCGGTACGGTCTGGTACGCTATTTTGAGTGTTTCCATTATGAAAGTGGCCCATACAACCAAACCGCACCATTCCTGGGCCCCCTTCAGATGTAGGTCCACAGGAAATGGTACGGTACGTTTAGGGCGGAGCTACTTGTGTCACACTATGCAATCCATTGATTGACGGACAGGAACTTGACTTGCAGTGGAGACGCTTACCTGAATAGGCTGGACCATTCTAACCCTTCTGAACCACACCGACCTGAACCATCCCGCTCACTGGAAACGAGGCATAAGCTTACCCTCACTAGGGCCATTACAAAAAAAAGCTGTACCATTTGCATATCAGACTAATAAAATGACAAGCTGGAAAAAAATCTTGAAAGCTCTGCCTTTTTCAGCTTGGCAATCTTTGTCGAAAATGTTCAAATAGTTTTGTCAATTTTCCCTAATTTAGTGTACAGACTTATTGTAGCTGTCGGTGAACGCTTTTGCATTATCGTCTTTTACGATTTATTTGTTGTGATGATTTGCACAAAAGATTAAAACTGGGAAAATGAATAATTATAGATGTTCATTCCATTTAATACTCCTCTAAAATGTCTTTCTGTTGGACAATTTACTGTTTAATGATGTGTGCGATGATTTACACTTAACTTCTGTGCAAAATTGAGTTTTGTTGTAGCTGTTTAATCCCCGTTTTTTTTTTTTATATGTATTTTAATTTTTTATTTTGTAATAAAGCCACGGCAATGCTGTTTTTTTTTAAATCTAATAACTAGTAAAACCCAGAATATATTTTTATTTACATATTTCATAATGCAATTAAGGTTAATGGAAAAATGAGTGACTTCCTCCATAACCACAGACGAGAAGATTCTTAGTGATATTTACATAAGGATTGCTTGAAATGAACTTGTGCACATTGGCAGGAGATTGGCATATCGTTTCTATATTATTGGAATGTGTAAAGTGCATTGTTGTATTTTAGTACACATTGTAATAATTGTCTAATTGATCTCTAATTTAATATTCTGAAAATCTAATTTAACTATTAATTAATGTGTTGACGCTTGTGTAATAAAGTTTGAAGTTTATATAATAATCACAGCATTGACTTCATTTAGACAATGTCTGTGCATTAAAGCTATAGGCGGATTGGTTACTACTGTGACATTTCTAAAAATCTAACTGTTCTGAATGGAATGGATCATAGTATGTTGTAGCACCCCAGCTTCTTCAGTAATCCTGTTTACAATCCTTACAGAATGCAGTGATATTTTAGCCAGGACACCACAGGTCTGTGCTTGGGGATGCCTTGTAAATCCACAAAATGTGCCAAGCATTACAGTTATTCTATTAACATAACTAATGAAACTATAGGGGATCCAGATCTTAACTTACATTTACTCCAGACGATATTCTATCCCCATGGAAACCAGCGGAACCAAAGACCCATTCCATTGGTGACTCCTTCTCTAATACATTTTTAGAAGTTTTTAGAACAGAACAAATGGAAAACTCCCCTAAGTGATTGGCCCATTCTTACTACTTTGACCTTCTTCTGGAATAGAACTGTGATAACTATCCCCTATTGTGCTGAAAGGGACACTCAACTGCCCAAATACAAAATACATTTTAAAAATCACTGTTTAGTAGTTATTCCTCAAATGAAAATTTACATGTATTTAGTTTTACATTTTTTTAATTGGAGTTATATCTAAACAGCTTGCAAAAATTGCAGATCTCCGTTGCCTTAGAAAGCCCTCCCCTTCTAACCCTGCCCAGATGTGGCCCAATCACAGACTTCCCAATATAGCTCAATAATAAGTCTTTGTAAGGCAGGTGCTCTGGGCAGTTGCTGCCTCTTAAGTTCAGGGGGTGTAACCAGGTTGATTTATAAGTGCACATTTCTTTTGAAATCTGCACTTTTTGCATAATAAAAAAAATAGGACACACTCTTCACACATAAAGGTTTTCTGCAAGCTAAATTAATTTAGGGATCTGGAGTGCCCCTTTAATTCCAATACTGCTTTCAAAATACCCCAATACCGGTGAATATTACACTAATATTAACTGTGAGGTACTAGATGTCACATAATTAAGGCAATTGTTATCCAAAACATCTAAAAGCCCCAGGCTGTCACCTGTGTTCAAGAAAAACCAGAACGTCATCATGACACTGCTGGTGAGAGAGCTCAGTAGATATGACTCCAGCAGCAGTATTTCAAAGCCTCACACCCGATTCTGGCAGACCCAGTACAGCCATTCATCTTGTTGATGTCAACAGAATGAGTTGTAAAAAGTTGGGTAATAATAGCATCTAGAGCTCAGGACATGCATGGAAAATAGCAAAACTGTTTCCTTTCCTGGCGAAATACTTTGATATTGTAATTATAGTGTGAGAAGGCTTTTCCAGAGGGGCTATAATTATTTAACATGCATGCAATCAATTCAACAATGCTAAATGTGTTGTTTTCTGATTTCTGAGAAAATCACATTGAATAGAGAACATCAAGACCTTCTAGAGTCCAGTCTCATGGAGTTCTTCATGGGAAACGGGCAGCAGTTTGATGTGAAAACTTGTATCCCCTTAGGGAGATCATTTTGTGTTGTATGAATCCGCTCAGTGATATTTATTATTAGAGTGTATGTGGCCTGTACTGTGTCATGGGAAGATCTACTTATTCAGACAATCCTTAGAGGGCTAACATTTTAAATAAATATGTGTAATTTTGATTAAGTGTAACTAGTGTAAAATATAAACCAGAAATTATTACAAATTGGCCTAATGTGTACCTGTGAGTGTGTTTCTGTGTGTGTTAGTGTATTATAACAAAACATGGTGTTGTGAGTGGGGAGTTTGTCCTGAATTCTGCAATTTTTGTTGGAAAATCTAAGGTTTCTGCAGGTTCTGAAATTGTACATGCAAGCTCCCGTAATCAAGGCCGTCATTACTCTGGGCTCCTTATAAAACCATTTTTCAAGGCACCCTTGTCACACATGCTTACACAAAATACAAGGTCACAGGTACATTCCCAGAAAAATGCACACACAAATACATTCTTTCAAACACTAACACAGAAACACATTCACAGATACACATGCCCAGCTTTACATATGTATTCCCAAACCTAGTCACACATATACACACTCAAATACACACTGCCAGACAGAAAGATTCGCACACTGATACATACTGTCACAAACACTTAGATTCACACACAGATATATAATGGAAAGAAATACACAGATTCACACACTGATACATGCTGCCACAAACACACAGATTCACACACTGATATATACTGGCAGACATACACAGATTCACACACTGATACATGCTGCCACAAACACACAGATTCACACACTGATATATACTGCCACAAACACACACATTCACACACTGATATACACTGCCACAAACACACAGATTCACACACTGATATATACTGGCAGAAATACACAGATTCACACACTAAAATATGTTGCCAGAAATACACATATTCACACACTGATATGTACTGCCAGAAATACTCGGATTCACACACTGATATATACTGCCACAAACACACAGATTCACACACTGATATATACTGCCACAAACACACAGATTCACACACTGATATATACTGCCACAAATGCACAGATTCACACACTGATTTGTACTGCCACAAATACTCAGATTCACACACTGATATATTCTGTCACAAACACAAAGATTCACACACAGATATATTATTTCACAAACACAAAGATTCACACACTTACACACACACAGACATGCACACTGCCACACACACACACAAATACACAGACAGATATTTACTGATAAACATGCACACTGACAAACACATTATTTGTAATCTCTTCCTCCCAGCCGAAGCATTGGGGTGCAAGGGAGAAATACAGTTCTTTTTGTCATTGGCTTAGCCTGATGCAGGCTGCTCAACATAAACCCTTAAGCCTGACCAGCTTCTGAAATCCACTTAAACAACCCAACGTGGCCCTAGAGAGAGTTACAGCTAATTGACTTTATCTGTTTCTTTACGTAATCCTTTTTTTTTGTAAGCTTGTTGGAGCAGAGTCCTCCACACCCCACATTTCTCTTTTTTAATTAGTTTATCATACATTATCTCATTGATTTTTTTTCTATATCAACAAAACAACGCTGTAGGATATTTAGGGTTCTATATATAATAATATTACTGATTTATCTATGCTCTCATACCATTTCTGGTGGGTTTTTTGCAGTGGCTTATGGGTAAAATATGCATATTTTCACTATGTATTGAGAGCCATTAGAGTTGCATTGTTTCACACAATGTGCTATTTTTTACTGCAGCAGTTTCCCCACTCCACTGGCATTATGTCACACAGTAATTATTTAAACGGTAAGGTGAATATTTACACTGTGGGAGGCTATTTTTCTGTTCCAACTGGTTCTTCAAGTTAACAATGTATCTTCGAGTGTTCTTTCATACATCACTACACTACATATTTCTTAGCTTATATTTCTTGTAACATTACTGGAGGATTTTAACTCATTTACTGGTTAGCACGGCTTTCAAACCAGTATGTAACCTACCATAGCTGGTGTTATAACACAACACGCCTTTTCATTCCTTATAGAACATTTTCAAACCACATTAACAGAGTGACACTTCTTTCTCAGTTTATAAAAGTGTCCTTTTCATGAGAAATCTTTATTCTTGTCAAATGTCTGGGCTGTACCTTCAGCTCTGCCAATCACACTGCCTGCAGGGTGATCTTTGTCCAATTTCAGGACAAAGTGGATGTAAGGCTTCTCATAGGGAACATTTGGTTTCAAGGTTTCAAAGTTTCTCTATGAGAGGCAATGCAGGTGCAGTGCGCTGATTGCGGGACATGCGCCGTGCGTACCAATATTTCTGAGATGCACTGGGTTGTAGTAGATCATTTTTAGTGAGGATCTCTGACAGACAGAGCTGCGGTGACGGACCTGCTTGCTGCTGGATCAGAGTTAGGTTGATTTATTTTTTTTAGGGCGGCGGGGGGGGAGGACAAAAAAATAGCAAAAGAATAGTGAAGCAATGGAAGTCTTAGCTCAGGCAGGTCGAAGGCAGCAAACTCTGAAACCGAGGACCCCTCCAAGCCCCGACAAGAAGTAAACAAATCAAACTGCACAAAAAACAGGTTGTGCCATTATAAAAAAGACAAATATAACAAATTACTGGATAAAAATGGGAACAAAAAGTGTTTGCTTTTTTATCCCGTAATTAGTTTTATCAGTCTTTTTTTTATATTGGCACAATCTGTTCTCACCGTAGGTCTTAATTGTTGCCAAAAGTCTCTGATTGCCAAATACCAGCTCTTTGACAATACATTTAGAAGCACTTTTACAAATACCGGAACTTTCAGCAACACCCAGAGATTGCCCCCTCCTCTTCTAATGCGATATTCAAACTTCCACACTATCAATTCATTTAGCATGTTTGCAAGACAATAATACTGTGGGATGAGAGCTCTGTAAATGGAATAGCGCTCCCAGCCTATCTCTGCCTTTCAAGTTTGATACAACTGAGAAGGGGCTGTTCTTTAGATGTCAGAGAAGACTCACACCCAGTAATATTGACAAAGAACCAGGAGACGGAGCACAGAGACCCTTGGTAACATAAACACTTCACTGAGTTATGTCTTAGGTTGCCCATAGTGTCGCTTTAAGAGTCAAAATGTATACCAAAAATTCAAAACTCCACGTCTCATTTTTTCCAATTTCTGTTTGAAAAGCTTTAGCTTGTTTTGTTTAAACAAACATATTTATAACAGGTATGTTATTTTTATTTTGGCCTTTGAAAAACAAATATGAAACCTTTGTTATTTCACAGTAAACAGAAAGTGTAACACTGTCGTCGCCAAATAGTCAAGAGTATACATGTAGCAACGAAAGGTTTAACTTACATTATTTGATCGTGTGATCTTTCATTTGGGAGCGACAGGGTGTGCATGACTGCCTTCTATGCGACGTGTTTGCACTGCATGGGGAAACTATGCTAAAAGCATTTCACTTAAAACCACTGACTGACTGTGTACTTGGAAAAAGAAAGACTGTAAGAAAAAGGAACTAGATTATTAAAAAAAAATAATAGATTCTAAATTGTTCAGTTTATGATTTATATACTAGTAACTTGGACTAGATACTATGCAATGCATCCAGGATTCTTTAATGAGGAATGTACCTTCCTGTGTATTTTATAATATCATGCATCCTGATCCTCTATAACTGGGTTGGCCAAACTTCATGTCTGTAAGAGCCTCATGTTAAAATTTAGAAATATTCAATAGCCACAATTAAGTCTCATTCCCCCAGCCCCTCCAATCATGTGTTTCATTCCCTCCCCCCTTGTGTCTCATTCCCCCAGTCCTCCCATGTGTCTCATTCTCATTCCCCCAGCCCCTTATGTGTCATTCCCCCAGTCCCCTCATGTGTCTCATTCCCCCCAGCCCCCAATGTTTGTCATTCCCCCAGCCCCCGATGTGTCTCATTCCCCTAGCCCCTCCATTCATGTGTTTCACTCGATCTCCCCATATGTCTCATTCACCCAGTCCTTAATGTGTGTCATTCCCCCAGTTCCCCCATGTGCCTTATTCCTCCAGCCCCCCATGTGTCTCAATGCCCCAGACGCTCAATGTGTCTCATTCCCCAAGTCCCCTATGTGTCTCATTCCACCAGCACCACTATGTATCTTATTCTTCAAGTAATTTATGTTTCTCATTCCTCTCATTCCCCCAGCCTCCCCATGTGTCTCATTCCCCCATAGAACTATAGACTCCAAGTAAACTATTATTAGAGGACACTACAATACTATAGACTCCAAGTAAACTATTCAGTACTAGACACTATTGTACTTTAGACTCCAAGTAAACTATTCAGGACTGGACAATAAAGTACTATAGACTCCAAGTAAACTATTCAGTACTGGACACTATATTAGTATAGACTCCAAGTAAGCTATTCAGTACTAGACACTATAGTAGTATAGACTCCAAGTAAACTATTCAGTACACTATAGTAGTGTAGACTCCAAGTAGACTATTCAGTACTGGACACTATAGTAGTGTAGACTCCAAGTAGCCTATTCAGTACTAGACACTATAGTTACTACTTGTAAATGTTCTGTACTGATAAAACCAGTAGAATTTATAGCGAGTTATAAATGTAATATGTAATGCATATATATATCCAGGTCACATTAGTCTATAAATCTCTAAGGTAATGAGTGCCAACTGACCTCGCGTTTAATAGAATAATGTGACCTGAATAGATGTACGTGCTATATGTTTAATTTTATAGAACGTGCATTGGTTTTAACCATGAAGAACCATGTGTACATTAGTGTTTTATTAATTAATACAGATTAATACTGGCAGCCCCAACACACTGACCCTTCAAACCTCATTGGTTCTTCTACAAAAAGGAGAAACAGAGGTAACTGCAATCCATCAGTGTTAAAAACTAGGTGCTTAGCTAGGTGCTTAGCTGTGGTCATGTAACAGTGTTGTTCTTCCATGTTGGCAGTAAAATCATTTAAAATTAACAACCTAATGGTGTAAATTTATGAGAAAGTGCTAGTGATAGACACAAGTGAAGCCCCGTTTATTTGAATAATTAGTGTAAATCTTTATTAAACAAACATTAGTATAACAGGTAGCAAGGTCTTTTAGCATCCCTTGGAAGGGGGCATGGAAGGGCTGTGACAGGAGGCAGAGGGGGATGGAGGGGCTGTGACGGGGGTAGAGTGGCTGTGACAGGGGATAGGGGGTGGAATGGCTGTGGCAGGGGGTAGGGGGTGGAGTGACTGTGACAGTGGGTAGAAGGGGTTCATAAATACCTTCCCTGCTGGTCTGGTGGATTCCCTCGGTGGTCCGGTGGACGCCCTCCCTCCTCGGTGGTCCAGTTCTCCGTTCTGCAGTGTTGCCATGGTAACCCGCAGCAACACTCTGACAGGCTGGAGATAGCAAGACACCTCAATCTGCAGCTCACACCCGGCAGAGCTGCAGACCGGAGGCAGTGCTCAGCTCTCAGACCAGTTGTATTGAGTAAAACAAGTGAACTGTTTATTACAGGGAAAACATGTATTTCTACCCTGCACACAACAGAGGGTCTTTAGCCAATGCAATGCAAACCACTCCCTGGGGTCTTGGTGTCTAGGACATAATTAGGTTAGGACATTATAATTTAATTACCTGCGGGACACCAAGCCATTAATAGTGACAGCTATATGAAAAAGGCTCTATCTGGGATCCTCCACAGACCTTCGTGACATAAGCCAAAGAGCAACGAGTTGAAGAGGACCGTTAGGAAAATCATGGTGGTGGCCCTGAGGGAGGGTTCACGTAAGTATAACTCACCTTGCCTTGAGCCCAGTATCTATATGGAGGTATTTGCAAATAATGCAAAGCCCCCAGACTGTGACAAAGCTGCTTTAAGCTTGTGAAAATTCTGTGTTGAGGAAACATAGAGTGGAAGGAGAGAATCGAGTGAAACATGTATACAGACACCACTTTGTGTGAAAACTAAGTTTAGACAATAATCCCCTTAATATACACACAGTGGAATAGTGAAGCGCTAGGCAAAAGGCTTACCCATACAATATAGGGAGTTTCTCATATGTAACCGGAAACATAAAAGACAGAGAAATACGTGATTACACAATTGGTTTATATATTAAACGTTAGAGAGAATTACGCTCACAAATCAAGAGCCTTTTGGACGCTGTGGCTCTGAACATATGTGCTTGCTGTGCCTTTAAGGTAGCAACAGTAACCTTTAGTTTTCCCCTTCACTGGTTCAGATGGAGTGGGTGTACATGGAAAACATAACCAGGCGGCAAAACATAGTGTAGATGGTAGTAGACTTTATGGGTTGCCACTTTCAGTCTATTCATAATATATACATATTGCAAAGCATAAATATAATACCATCCAAGTAACAATAAAGATTCATAATTGTGTACATATTGGGAGGGGGGGGGGAAGGGAAGGAAAGGTACATGTAGTTTATGCCCTTAGATGCCCGTGCAACCTTGTGTACATAGGGAGAACCAAACGTCCCCTCCACACTAGAATAGAGAATAAACCAATTGTGTAATACAAAATTGCACTATCGCGTATTTCTCTGTCTTTTATTTTTCCGGTTACATATGAGAAACTCCCTATATTGTATGGGTAAGCCTTTTGCCTAGCGCTGCACTATTCCACTGTGTGTATATTAAGGGGATTATTGTCTAAACTTAGTTTTCACACAAAGTGGTGTCTGTATATATATATATATGTTTTTTCTTGGTTAATAGGAGGACCCTAAGAGTTCTATAGCTGCTGAAAGGTAACTAGACATTATTTTGCAACTATTAAGTGCCTTAGTTCACACGTGCTAGAAAAACCTTGTTTATTTCTTTCTATGTTTTGTTCTTCTCTGAACCCTCTCTAAGGTATCAATATCCTTCTGAAGATACGGTCTCCAGTACTGTGTACAATACTCCAAGTGAGGTCTCACTGGTGTTGTTTACAATGGCAGGAGCACCTCCCTCTTTCTACTGCTAATACCTCTCCCTATACAACCAAGCATTCTGCTAGCATTTCCTGCTGCTCTATTACATTGTCTGCCTAGCATTGTCATCTTACCAACCTTGGATTAATGAAAGGCTGGCTTGAATTTACAGAGAATTAAACTTGTGACTATAAGAGGTATATACCAGAGGCCTATCCACTAAGCTAATCTATATATTCAATTTGTCATAATCAAAGTTAGGTATCAAATTATGAAACATGATTTAAAAGAAACCACCTCCGAACAAGTCCAAGTTTCACAATAGTGCCTTATATTTTACATTTTTACTCAATACCCTATTCACTTCCTCCCAGAGAATATTTATACTTCACAATGTGCTAGGAAAAGACGTTGAATGTATTAATCCTAAAACAAGTAGTTACATTGTGTTTGTTATAATGTCCGTTGCTACTAGTAGCTGACAAGCTATATTTGTCGACATTTGAGAAATAGCTTTGTTTTAACTGCATCCATTTATGGACACTTAATTAAGCTAAATATAGCATGGAACTTTCGCATACCTCTAAAAGGAAATTATTATAAATTAGTAGGTTTAAGAGCGGGGAATATGCAAAATATATATTTTCGCACAAATCATCTTAATCTACAGAAGTGATTTTGTAGTTGTGGGAAATTAGGTATTGCATATAGCGGCAAGTGAAAAATGAAAAAACGATATATTTTTATTTAATTTGCATCGACTGACATGCTGGAGCATTTACAAAAAAAAAAAAAAAATAGTTCCTAGATGATGAATGACTGTCCCAAATTGTAATTATTGCAAGCTTGCATGCTGCAATTTGGGAATAAACAAAGATAATGACAGCTCTGAGCTGAGTTATCAATATTAACCCCTTAAGGACACATGACATGTGTGACATGTCATGATTCCCTTTTATTCCAGAAGTTTGGTCCTTAAGGGGTTAACTACATACCAGGATTTCCCAACATGTAAACACTCTCAGGGTGTCGTAAAATACTGACAGAGAGCAGTCATGAATAAGGAGGTGTACAGTGTAGTAAACATCACTGTATTATGCCATTAAATTAATTAAATGATCCACTGCCCAGCTGCCCTAAAATGATATATAGGCCAAGGGTTACATTTCAAATCTAAAATGGACAGGTTCTAAATCTAGCTCTTTAATGTCAACAAATAGGATAAAAAATAAATATAAAAGACATTTATGTACTTGGGAAAATCTGACAGAGACAGAAAACGAAAACAAAAAGATGTCGACAGTTGAACAAATCAAGTTTATGAAATTCACAGCAAGGGTGCAATAGTGTGTTTAATATTGAAAAATATATTTTGTGTTGTTTACAAAATTTGGTTTGATGATTGATAATTATTACATTTAGATACAAAACATACCTGAATTTAAAAGCTGGTATCTGAAAGAGGAATATTCTACTGGTATATAAGCTGAGAAGTATGGGGAAAATCCTAGCAATATGAGGTATTCTCAAAATCAGGACAAATGGATGAAATTATCTTAACATACTCGTCTTTAGCTACACCTACAAATTATAATGGGCAGAATGGGAAATATATTAATCTGAAACATATATATATATATTTATATATGTATATTAAAAAAAATTTAATTAAATTTTTCCAGTGGTTATTAAGAAGTCAGATACTTATATATAGTAAAAAAAAAGCTATAAGTGTCCTTTAAAAGTATTGCATAATTCATATTTGTGCACTAAGTAACGGAAATGACGACATGGCAAAAATATAACAATTGCTATCGTCTTCGTGACACAAAACAACACATGTCATGTAGAGTTGTATTGTAGATTTTTGTACCTAAAAATAATATTAAATATTATGTGTTATGTCTGTGAATCCAGCTTGAATGTAGGTAAGGCTTCTAAATTTTAGCTATGTTACATACCCCCCAACATTGGCATCTCCTGAAGCAAGACGGTGGTGGGCAGGGTAAAATAGGTAGAGCGGTGATGCGAATCTTGTCACTGGTGTCACCCAAAGGGTGTTTGCCCAGAAAAGGTAGTGGACCCCCAAAGGTTTTGTAGGTCAGCGTGGCATCAATGCATGCCATGGAGGGGTAGGTGGAATATCAGTACTTGCAATTGTAGTATGTGGATGCTGAAACTTCCCAAAAACCAGAGCCTCTTCTTTTCTGGTGGTACGATGGATGTAGGTAGTCGGATCAGGGAGCAGCGCCTGTGAAGGAATTCCCACGCTCAGAGCGATATGGAGGAGGGAAGGAAAAAGACAAGGATATAGTGCAGTATATTGAGATCTTAAGTGATGGTAAATGAAGGGAAAGGAATTGCACTTACAATTTTTTGGAGCCTATACTCATACATACTGATATACATACATACAGACATACACACACACATACAGATAGATATATACATACACAGATACATACAGACATACATACTGACATACACACATACTGACATACATACAAACATACTGATAGATATATACATACCCACATACATACTGACATACACACACAGACACATATACATACTGACATACACACATACATATAGATACATACACACACAGACATACACACACAGAGACATATTGATTGATAGATAGATAGATAGATAGATAGATACATACACACACAGACATATATACATACAGACATACACACACACATATAGATAGATACATACACACACAAAGAAATACATGCGTACTGATAGATACATACATACTGACATACATACTGACAAACAGACATATGCAGACACATACATATACACACACACACCTCATTTATCAGTCACACTCCTCTCCCTTACCTTTTCTTTGCAGGAGGGTGGCTGGGGATGATGGCTGTCTCTCTCCCCCCGCGCGGAGTAAGCTGGGAGGAAGTGACCAGCCGTCACTTCCTCCTAGCAGCACTTGCGGTGCAGCCGTAATTTTTTTAAAGGGACTGGGTCATGCTATTACACTGCCGCAGCGCTGACCGGGCCCCTGAAGATATAGGGCCCATCGTGTGGCCCTAAATGCTTGGGCCACCTGATGGGCCCTGGGGCAGATGCACCTGCGGCAGTTTCGCCACTCCACATGGTTGTCACCCACTGATGGCGGCCCTGAGCACTGATACACATATATCCTAGTTCTGTCCTAACCTTTCATTAATCCCCAATCCGGACTAACCCCTACTCTACCCTAACACGTAAATTACCCATAACTCTTAAGCCCTACACTACCATAACCATAACTTCATCCTGGGGGTTCTGGATACATGTATAAACCATTTAAACTTTAGTATCATCATTTATTATAATAAATTCAGAACCTTATGATGATATTATTTTCATAAAATATACCATTCGCTGTTATGTATGCAGTCTCTCTCTCTCTAAATAAATTAAATGTAACTATTCATTTATTCCTTAAAATATACATTGCTTGTTTATGATTTAATGATTCCTAGAATAGATCAGTCTCTAGCTCTTTCCATGGGTCATCTGTCTAGGTTTTTAATAAACCATTATTCATTCCTAATCATGTATTTCACCGAGTGTGGGAGGAAAGGAGGTTAGCTGAGGGCAGATATTTTAGTAATTATAGAGCATGTTTCATAGTTTCTATAATATTCCCCAAAACAGAAAATGAACCTCAGAGGGCCGGCAAAGTATGTATTGTCTCATGACCGATGTGTTGTCCTTCAGTTTCAGGTGGAGCTAGATCAGGAATACCAAGACAAGTTCAAACGGCTCCCTATGGAAATTCAGGAGTTTGTCCAAGAGACAATGAAAGGAAAACTTGGGGAAGAAGGAGAGCTTGGTTCTGCCACGACCATCTTAACACCCGACAGTGCCAAGTCTCCGAATTCAGGGAATCACAAAAGACAGGACCATGATCAAGAAACAGAAGACGAAACTCCAGAGAAAGCGTTTGATACGTCACTCTAACGGGCGACGATTTATCACGTTGTTTGATTTTTGTGCTGTCAGGGCATGCTGTTTACACGTCGTCTGTTAACTATTGTCTACAAGGGGAAATGCTCTGGCTAGATTTTAATGCCAGAAGCTTGGCACTCTGTTTGAGTGTGTATTTCCAAGTGAAGCAATTTCATATTACTTACAGCTACGTAAAAACTCTCTTCTATTCAGTTTGATCATTTTTGGTGCAGTTATTGTGCAAGAATTAACATGCACACTGCATAATGCTTGTTTTGTGTTATTCGATAACAGGGGACAAAAAGGGGTACTTCCAGGCCTTTGCTTACCTTTATGAGTCAGACCATTGCTTTACATAATAAGTGTCCCAAGCACCATCAGCATTTAAGCTAATTTAACAGCAAAACTGTCACAGGCACAATATTTTTTTTTTCTAACTGCACCTAAACTGCTTTGTCATAATTGTATGTTTGCACTGAATTGTTTAAAATTTTGCTTTGCAAGCACTGGATGCTTGCTGTTTTGATAGTTTATGTATTTGTAATAATTGCTGCTGCAAAGGTCTTTAAAAAAAAGTTGGGTTAATGAGAACTTTGGATTAATAAAATGCTCGATCATCATCGTAGAAAATATTAGTCAGACATGTAGCCACAGAAGAGCGTATTACATGTGTTTGATTGTGGCAAACGTATGTTTTACGGATGGACCGGCCAATAGCAAAAGGGGTGGGGGGGGGGAGATATGGCTTCCATTGTGTAAGAGACAAACAGTGGATTTTAACTCATCGATCTGCAGATCAGTTTAAAATCTTTTTTTAGAAGAAATTAAAAAATTAAAGTTGTTTGCCCCCCTGTGGCATTAGTGTTGTATTGTATGTTGAAATAGTTTTTGGTTATGAATTAAAAAATTGTATAAATATAATATACGTATACATTTTGAAGGATTAAAATATGTTAATCTTAGGTATTATAATGAACTAAAAAGTTGTTATAAATAAAATTGATGAAAGTAATTATTTGAAACATAAGGAAACATACCGAGCAACTTCTATTAGATGAGAACATAATTCTCATTTTTATTCAGTGAGTATTATTGACTATTACCAGTTATAACATATATCTGTATGTTTCTAAACTCATTGCAAGTTAATGCAAATTTACTACAGAAAAGAAATGTATAGTTGGACGATTTCACCCCATTTGGGTGACTGAACCTTTAAATCATAAGAGGTGGTTTTAATGACATACTTGGAGTATATTTCTGGTTTTAAACTTCATATTTCATATTAATATATAGACTATTCTTGAAACCATGCTGTTTTGTCTCTTTGTTTTTGTTTTGTCAATATTGCGGGTTCTTTATTTACATTATTTATATGTTTTAAACTAAATTTGTTTAATGTAATGAGAATTTCCCAGGGGATACAGAGGTAATATAAGCTATACTGTACATTGAAGGAATTATTAGGTCACATTATAGCAAGTTAATGCATTTGTGGATATTACAAAACAAAATTGGCTAATGCGATTTAGGAGCCATGTATCAAACTGTAAAATATTTAAAAAGATGGAAAATAGATGTACAAGCAAAAAGAGCCCCAGAAATGTTACAAATTAGGTAAAATGTTTAGTAATAAAGACTGATTTCAAGTCTTTTTGTTGTTTCCATTACATTTGAAACAGTTAAAGCTGAACTCAACAGTTGGTGCAGCAATTCTGTTGAAGCACAAAGCATTTAGTTAAATAACAGTCTGGCTAGGTGTCCATCATGTAAACGAAGCATTGCATTATTAAAATACAATATTTTGGACCAAGGTGATACAACCTGGCTGTAGGCATTTGAGTCAATCACTTTTGTAAATGTCTTTTATTCTACATCTTTTTTTATGTTAGATTGGGTTCCATTAGCCGATGTTGAAGCATTGATAATATTGTAACAATAATTTATTTGACTCTATTTTTCACTGGGCCTCTTTCTAATACATGTTTGTGATTCTGTCAACTTTTATATATGGGTGTGTTTAAAATTTCTGGGGATTTTCATCTATGGAAAATTGGGGTGTTGGATTTCTCAGTTTCCTGCCCAAGTGATAGACCTGGGAGACTTTTCTTTATAAAAATTCAGGTCAAAACCAATGACTCATCATAGTGAAAATGTAGTGTAGTAAAGCAACTAAACAGTGTATTTATGTACCGTGCTTGTATCACGCAGAGTCAAAGTAGTCTATTCACTAAACTTAGACTAATGTAGAAAAACAATAAAGTTATTGAAAATGTAAAGTCGACTTGGAAATATTCTCCAAATTAATTTTTCCCAGTATGTCTTAAAGGGACACTGGAGGCACCCAGACCACTTCAGCTCATGGAAGTGGTCTGGTTGCCAACTCTCATCACCCTTAACCCTGCAAGTGTAATTATTGCAGTTTGTATAAACTGCAATAATTACCTTGCAGGGTTAAGTCCTCCTCTAGTGGCTTCTTAGGTGACTTTTGGTTGTCTAAACAATGCTGGACGTCCTCGCGCTATGTATGAGGATCTCCAGTGTCACCATAATCTCCATAGAAAAGCATTGAATAATGCTTTACTATGGGGAAGTCTAATGTGCGTGAGTGGCCATTGCCGCGCATGCCCATTAGGTATCTCAGGCCGGCGGACGTCGGTGAAGGAAAAGCGTGAGCGGAGCCTGGTCAAGCACAGAGGGACATTGGCGCTGGTTTCAGGTAAGTCACTGAAGGGGTTTTTACCCCTTCAGCAACATGGGATGGGGGTTGGGAGGGAGAGGGGCACTGCAGGGTCCTGACGGATATGTTACCTGGCACTGAAGAGTCCCTTTAAGTAAATTATGGCCAAACATACAAATTAGTTAATACAACATAGAGGAATTTTAAAAGGCATTCGCAATAGCACTTAATACGTAATTATTTACTTTTTGAGTGTTTTTATGCAGATCTATTTGAATCGTACTTTGTTTTTTGTTTTTTGGGGGGTGTTTTTTTTTTTTTTTTTTTATAAAAATGGGTGCATGAATGCTGTGTACATACCTGAATATGTAGATATCTATTATATCTCTGGTTATATCTGCAGTCTCTGAAGCACCAAGGCATTGAAATAAATTGAGTGCCAGGCATTTGGTTCATATAGACACATATAAACATGATTTACATAATTTTTTATATGATCCTCAAAACAATATTTTGTTGTAAACATCCAATGCAAGGTAGGGCTGGAAACGTTGAGCCTGTGGGCTTGCTGTTCATCAGCAGAGGACACATGCTGTGAGACCCTGGCGAGCCATTGTCAGGTTGCTCCACGTCAGCCCTCCATGAACAAATAATCTAGAACAGGGATAGGCAACCTTCTGCACTCCGGATGTTGTGGACTACATCCCTCATAATGCTCTTACACCCATAATGCTGGCAAAGCTTGTCTACAATATAATTTGAGTGTCATGTTGCTTTAACCCCTTAAGGACACATGACATGTGTGACATGTCATAATTCCCTTTTATTCCAGAAGTTTGGTCCTTAGGGGGTTAAATAGTGGGAAAAAACTACTTTTCCTGCTATTTGACAAAATAACTGATGTATTCTTGTACATAAGCTATTCAATCAATGACTATACAATAAGCTGTATTTTATGATATTAAGCTGGTTTCATTTATTGTCGCCTCAACTGCTTATAAATAAAAACATCTGTCGTACAATAGTGAAAAAGACAAAAAAAATAAACTGTGTTTATTCACACAACTGAGAATTGTGGAGGAATGTCAAAGGAATTGCAAAATTTGGGCTAAGAAAGACAAAATGTAAAATTTTGCCAGTTCAGGATTATTATTTTTTTTTTCAAATCAGCTCTTCTATACTAAAATTTGCAATTCCATTGTTGGTTTTTCATGATTCCTCCTTTAGTTAATTACACCCAAATTGCCACTAATAAAGTATTCAGTTTTACAGCATCTGGAAGTTTTGTTTCGTTCGCTAAATACGCACTGAATGTTATTTTATTTCTAATCAATTGGTTTGGGAGCATACTCACTGAACTAAGAACCTTTCATGATGAATATAAGCTACGGTAAACAAATTAGAACAAGCTATTTGATAAATTCTCAAGCCACCCACACTTACTGTATATGGAATGTCTATAATGTTTTCATTTAGAAAGAATAGTTACCCTCGCCTTAGAAAAAATAATATATTTCAAAGATTATATCTAAGTCTTGGATCATTCTAACAGTTGCAGAAGAAATAGATGACGTAGAAAGCAAAATAATTATCATAATTATACGTTTAAACTATTTATGGAGGTCATAACCAAATTCTGTGTTTCGCTTTTATTAATTTATTTTTTAGTGTGATTTTTGGAGATGTTTCTGGATAGTATGCAGGAAAGTTGGTAATGAATTGGATTATCATTTTTAGCGTATTGTTTGTCCAGTAACACGGAGCCTTTACTATACATGCTTGATGTTATACAGGTGCTGAAAAAAAAGTAAAACATTAGCAATGATTAAGTTGCAGAAGAGAAAAATAAAATCTTCCAAATATAATTTACCACATAAGCATCTCTATAAAGTACTGAAATCAGTTAGTGGCAGCAGGCACGTGGCACATTCTGCATAAGCAGTGATTGTCACATTCTAATGAATATGAAGCATCATTGGTCGAGCCATTTTTGTCACAGTTTCCATTGCGCAATAGACAGAAAAGTTGGTGGAATTCTGGAACCCTGGGGAAATATAAGTCATTATTTTAGTTTGTGCACATTTGTGTATTTTATTTTATAAAATATATAATTCTCTAAAAAAAAAAAAAAGTCAGGTGAGCCCAGAATTCTCATTTAATAATTTGCATGAACTGCTTTATTTATTTTACATAAAAATGCTAGTACTCTCCCGTACTAAAGAACAAAATATTTTTGCAGTATTCTCTACTGTCCGTAGTTATATTGAGAGAAGAATTTTCCTTATATTATTTTTATTTGTATTATATTAAGGCACTTATATTTGTGGCATTAGTATATTTCAATATCACAACGAAAAGTCAACATTTATGCGAAAATGTATTTGTTCACTTTCTACATGGTGCACAAGGCCTGAAATACTACATTTTACAACTATATTTAAATAAACAATGTCTTTATATGAAGTTATATCTGTTAATGTTTCCATTTCTGAAGAACTGTGTGTTATTTAATGGCTGTTTCAAATATTAACTTACAATTTATTTCTAAAAACGAAGTATGAAGTTAGAAGAGAACTGTATATTGACGACACTCATTTAAAAAAAGAAAAGTTGTTTTATTCCTTTATTGTATATACATTTTTATACTTTATCTATGAAATTGTCACTTTTTTGCAGTTGTAATGTAGAGTGTTATACAACATCTGACATTGTTTTAACTATAAACCATGATACAGATATGAGTGCAAATCTTAATATTACTTGAACTAGATTTTAAACAATTACAAGAAAAAAAGGGTCTTTCTCATGTTTTAGTCTTGTGCCTTTTCTGTGTTTGCCTTGTTACGTGTTGAATGTGTGAAACTTTGTATGGTGAATATTTCTATTGTATACATCGACGCATATACAATGAGTATTCTAGATTGTATACATTGGATATATGTAACTACTGAGAGTAGTTTGGTTTTCACAGGCTAGAATTTAAAATAACTATCTCAACAAATGCCGGCCATTTTGAATTTAAAGTATTCCATGTTTAGTTTATTAAACCTTACATACTAAAGGGACATTGTGAAAAACTCTGAAAAAACTGAATGTTATAGTTGAACATGGTATTAATATTGTCAGTGATTATTGGACTGTGATTTGTATGTCAATGGCATAGGAAAAAAAAAGCTATATATATAAAATTAGGTTGTTTATTTCAAATTTGTTTATGGTTCACAATTTCTTATTTGGGGTAACAATTCTATGCAATTTCGTGGCATGACGTTTCTTCCAGCTGTAACATTTTGTGCTTTCATCACGGATCCAAAGGACAAATAAAAAAAAATATTAACACGTGTGTGCATTTTATTTTATTTTTTGTTTTAAAGGAGAGAGTCAGGATTATGAACTCTTTCCTACTTAGTAGAAAGATCAGTCTGAAATAAATTGTAAGGAACTATAATTTAAAACATTAATTTCAGATTAGGGGACTGTATTTTATATAAAATATATAGATGCCAATGGAGCTTCGAAAAAGAGCTATTCAATGGAGTAAACTATAATATGAATAGAAGATTATGTGAGGAAGGCTGAAATTGATGGACACAATTCTCTTTTCAGCTTTGTAACTATGTGATCAACAATGGAAAAAGAGAGAACCTCCCTAGAAATCTTGTTTAATTACATTTATTCAAAACAATATCAAAAGTAATATGTTGGTATATGGAATAGGGGACTAGCTGATAAGGTTAAAGGAACACTCTGGAATGAAGTTATGGTGCGATGAGGTCGTTAGACGCCTTCTTACCGGAATGGTTTAAACCGTTAATGAATGGTGGTTTAACCCTGAAGTTTTGGATCAGGTGCCCGTTAGCTCTTCTTATGCAAAGCCGCTGCAATCTGTTTGAAACATGAATAATCAAACTGCGAGCATCAGTTGACGCTCTCAACTGGTCAGTCGCTCAACATTCACAAAAGAGAGTGGGAAATTAATGCATTTTTCTAACTCCGTTTTGTGAATGGGGAGCTACAGAGCCCACCAGTAGCTCCCAGTCTGCTGTAGATATGCATAAGAAGAACTAACGGGTACTGGATTAATAAATTTGGGGTTAATCAATTTTTTAACCCTTTGAGGTAAGTCAGTGTCAGGGAACTTTCTCGCACCATAAAAACGTCATTCTGATGAAGTTGATATGGTTCCCGGAGGTTCTTTTTAAGAAAAAGATAGGAAGAGTAAATATTCCTTTTATTTCTCCTTTCTATAGCATATAGCAAGAAAAGACCAATTGGTGTGGGAATGGAAATAATTGTTAGAAAAGCCTTATGGCAAACGTAATTGGATGACACGGGATAAAGTTGGAAAGAAACTAAAGGAAGTTAATGTAAACAAAGCCCCGTGCTAAATGATATTCATCCGTAGGTACTTAAGGAGCTTAGTGTAGAAATAGCCAAACCACTGCTTTTATTCATCCAGGATTCATTTCAAGAATTGAACCAAGAGATTGCAGAAAGCAGATGTGGTGCCCATATTTAAAAAGGGATTACAATCTCAATCCAGAAAATATAGACCTGTGAACTTGGGTGGGAAATTGTGTGAAAGGTTATTAAGGGATAAGATTCCATAAATCCGTTTGAACAGCAGTGGTATTAGTATGAAGCAACATGATTTCATGAAAGACATCAAGTCAGGTGAAACTAATTTCATTTTATGAAGGAGGGTGTAGAAGGTACAGTTCTGCAGTGGATACCGCTAAGGCATATAGTACAGGTTCACACAAAAGGCTACTTGACAGATAGAATGTAATTGGTTTTGTTGAACAAGATTGTTATTGGATTGAACATTTACTCACAATAGAGAATTGGTAAACTGAATATTTAAAGACAGACCTGGTGGTTTATAATACTGGATGAATAAGTCAGAGGGAAATCAATTATTATCCAAACGGTTGGCATCTTGGCGATCCGATGGAGTTGGATCCTACATGTATATTTTATCCTTATAGCAACATGCAGGTACCCGCAACACGTGAAAATAATTCCAGAATCGTTAACATCTTCATTTTGGCTTTGTATATGAACCAATCAATTGCTTTCCATAATTCCTTCAAACTGTTAATGTTGTTAGGGCCACAGGGAGAATGTGCCCTGTCAAATAAATACACCCCTCAAGTGCCGGGGCAGGCTTGAGATACACTCTTTCTTTGGTTAACCATTTCACTACCAGAATGGTGTTACATACAATCATCATCCTAGTTCCCAAAGCAAATAGGTTTGTGATGCATACGACAAGAAATTTAAACAAATGTCCCTTAAACATGAGTTAAGAGAGTAAAATGCTCGCTACGGTACTTGTTTAAACATTATTATTATTATTATTATTTTATTATTTATATAGCGCCAACAAATTCCGTAGCGCTGTACAATGGGTGGACTAACAGACACATAACTGAGATCAGACCACTGACGTACAGGAACAGAGGGGGTTGAGGGCCCTGCTCGATGAGCTTACATGCTAGAGGGAGTGGGGTATAGTGACACAAAGGGTTAAAGTAGGGGAATTAAATAGTTTGTTACAGAAGGGTTTATTGAGTGCTTGGTAGGTCATTTTTGACAGGTGAAGGAACGGAGTCATGGGGTGGGGGATGAGAAACCTGCTGACAGTTTAATTGATACGCTTTAATGAAGAAGTGAGTTTTCAAAGATTTTTTGAAGGAATGGAGGCTGGGTGAAAGTCTGATTGAGGAGGGAAGGGAGTTCCACAGAATAGGTGCAGCCCTGGAGAAGTCTTGAAGGCGAGCATCAGAGGTGGGGATCCGGGCAGAGGATAGGAGTAGGTCTTGGGCTGAGCGCAGGGGTCTCGACGGGACATACTTGTGTATGAGGGAGGATAGGTATGTTGGAGCAGCATTATGTAGGGATTTGTAAGCAAGCGCCAGAATTTTGAATTGGGCCCTATATCTAACTGGAAGCCAATGCAGGGACTGACAGAGCGTGGAGGCGTGGGAGGTGCGACCGGACAGGAAAATAAGCCTCACAGCCGTATTCATTATAGATTGCAGCGGTGCAAGCTGGGAACATGTAAGACCGGTGAGAAGGGGATTGCAATAGTCAAGGCGAGAGAGAACAACAGTATGAACCAGTACCTTAGCCGCGTCCAGCGTTAGATATGGGCGGATGCGCGCTATGTTCTTGAGTTGGAAGCGACAGGATTTGGCTATCGATTGAACATGGGGAGTAAAAGAGAGATCAGAATCAAAAAGAACCCCTAGGCAGCGAGCCTGGGAGGTAGAGGTGATAGTAGCGCCATTGACTTGGATGGCGACAGACACAGGAGTAGCAGCACTTGAGGGAGGAAAAACTAGAAGTTCTGTTTTGGACAGGTTGAGTTTAAGGAAGTGAGCAGCAATCCAGTTGGAAATAGCAGAGAGGCAGTCAGAAACACGAGTCAAGGTGGGCGGAGAGAGATCAGGGGAGGACAGGTAGATTTGCGTGTCATCTGCATATAAATGGTATTGGACTCCAAAAGAGCTGTTGAGTTTACCAAGGGAGGCAGTATAGATAGAGAACAGTAGGGGGCCTAGGACAGAACCTTGGGGGACGCCGACAGGGAGGGGTTGAGGAGAAGAGGCAGAGCCAGAGAAAGAAACACTGAAGGAGCGCTGGGAGAGGTAGGAGGAGCACCAGGAGAGAGCAGAATCCCATAGACCAAAGTTACGGAGAATGTGAAGAAGCTGTTGATGATCAACAGTGTCAAAGGCGGCAGAAAGATCAAGGAGGATTAGGATAGAGTATTGGCCGTGAGATTTAGCAGCAATTAAATCGTTGGATACTTTGGTCACAGCAGTTTCGACAGAGTGACCAACGCGGAATCCAGACTGAAGGGGGTCAAGCAGAGAGTTGGATTCAAGAAAGTCTGTCAATGTGGCGTAGACAACTCTCTCGAGGATCTTGGAGGCAAATGGCAGTAGCGAGATAGGGCGGTAGTTGGATGGGGAGTTGGTATCAAGGTTGGGCTTTTTCAGAATTGGGGTTATGGTTGCATGTTTGAAGGCAGAGGGAAATGTGCCAGAGGAAAGGGAGAGATTGAAAATGTTAGCGAGAGGAAGAGCAAGAGAGGGAGACAAAGTGCGGATGAGATGCGAGGGAATAGGATTGTGGGAGCAGGTGGTGGGGCGGGAGGACAGGAGCAGAGCAGAAACCTCTTGTGCTGTAGCAGGTGCAATTGAGCTTAGGATGGCAGGGGGAGTGGGGTTGGGTGATGTATTGATACTGGTTGGAGAAAGATTAGAGATCTCTTTCCTGATTGTAGAGATCTTCTCAGTGAAATGAGATGCAAAGTTTACAGGCATATGGCTACCTGACCACCTGGACGGGCCTGTATCATCTACGGAATCTCCCTGTAATACCCCCTCCCATCCCCGTCCCTCTCTTTTCTTTTCTTCTCATGGTACTTTCCGGTTTAACTAACTTCTTTTCTATTTTACTAAATTTCTTACTTTTTAAATCTGACTGACTTCTAATCATCGACCATTCCGCTAACTAAAGCCTTTTTAACTGGGGCGAGTTGAGGGGCACTTATAGGTTGCTCACGATTAAAATGGCAATACAACAGTGGCAATCTTGTGCACTAGGTTGGAGTCCGCTGACTTAGTTAATCTTTTAACGCATTCTACGGGTCACTGATGATAGGTAACGTGAACTATTAACATGTGTTTTATAGTCAGTCAGGAGTCTTTGTATATCTTAATTCAAAAATGGGTGGGACACCACGGTATACGTCAACAAGCAACAGTTAGCTATTCAAAGATGGTTATATGGATATGCGCAAATATACGCCTCTAACTAATGTTAACTTGTGTCAGTGTTAATGTACGCATCTGTATCATGTTGCATTTCTTATTGTGGTGTCTGATCTTGTTATAAATAAAGAATTTAAAAAATAAAAAAAGAGAGTAAAATGCTGTATTTACTTATTTTGCCCAGTAGACACTTTTGATCCGATAGCTAAACATGCAAATTATATCTTTCTATCTTTCTGAACAGCTGAGCATGCCGACCTCCTCATACTAAGTAACAAGCACATTATTGCTAATAGAATAAATATTGTTATACATTTAATGCATGCCTTGGCTTTCAAAATATTTGCCAGCACTTTTGTTTCTCCCAATGTCCATTATTGTAGACTACCAACATAAAAGTCAAAATGGGCCAAAAGGACTTAGAATCCCTTACACACCGTGTCACCTTGTCCGTATTTAAAGCCAGTATCCTTCAAATGACGTTTGCTACTCTTGAGTTGGGACTGTTGATCTAACCTAAATAAACAAACCACAAGAGCCCTTCCTTAAAACAACATATTTATAGAGGGACAATTCTCAAGCAAATCTTGGAGTTGTCACGTGAGATGTTCTTTTGTCTTCCAATGTATTTATGTTCATGCTACACAGTAGAATGTTGACCCATTTGTTCTCAAGAGAAGTAGCTTAAAGGTGATATTACAATCATGGTTTTCTGCGTCATGCATTCAATTAGCCTTACACATTATAAGTATTCTAAATGCCATTATAACTGGCATTTAGAAAGCACCAATACATTTCACAGCACTTGACAATTGGGAAAAAGAAACTACAGTAAACACACAGACCGATACACAAGGTAAAGAGGGCTGTGCCCGTGATATCTGAGATCTACCATTAGATTATATATCTACATAGGTGCTACAATAGGAAAAGTGTGAGTAACCCATAGTTGAGAAAAGAGGTCAAAAATAAAGATTTATATATCATGTTAAAATAATTAGTTACTGATTGCTTAACAAAGTGTAGTAATTCACCAGATATCATGTGAGCTTGTTGAGCAGGGCCCTCAACCCCTCTCTTTTCGTGCGTCCATCTGTTTGGTTACAATTATGTGTCTGTTAGTCCACCCATTGTACAGCACTACGGAATTTGCTGGCGCTATATAAATAATAAAATAATAATAATAATAATGTGTGCGGAAACAAGTTGAAAGTTATATCTAAGGAAATCACTCATTTTTAATAACACCAGGAGCACCTGCTTATATAAGTTCTAAGGATACTAAATCACAAATTAATAGTTTGGTAGAGGAGATAATCACCATTAGGGGAAGTTAGAACACACCTTCTCTATTCCTGTACAGAATAAATGTGAAGAGCTTAATATTACAAACTTCAATATAGAAAATGAGAGCCCTGGAGTAATAAGTAAGAATACCACATGGAATAGTGGTGTAATGTTAATAACCTTTGTATCGCTAAAGGATCCCTGGAAATAATATAATCTCCTAAACTCCAATGGGATAGGCATTGCACTACAAGTCCCTGTATTTCAGTATCCAGAAAAAATATACTTCTAGACTTGGTTATACTTGGTTATACATAACTCTCAATCTTGATCGTAGTCTAATTTTGACAACTAAAGCCTCAATTTAAATATTTTGGACAAGATTATAGAAACATAGAAACATAGAAACATAGACACATAGAATGTGAAGGCAGATAAGAACCATTCGGCCCATCTAGTCTTCCCAATTTTCTAAATACTTTCATTAGTACCTGGCCTTATCTTATAGTTAGGATAGCCTTATGCCTATCCCACGCATGCTTAAACTCCTTTACTGTGTTAACCTCTACCACTTGAGCTGGAAGGCTATTCCATGCATCCACTACCCTCTCAGTAAAGTAATACTTCCTGATATTATTTTTAAACCTTTGCCCCTCTAATTTAAGACTATGTCCTCTTGTTGTGGTAGTTTTTCTTCTTTTAAATATAGTCTCCTCCTTTACTGTGTTGATTCCCTTTATATATTTAAATGTTTCTATCATATCCCCCCTGTCTCGTCTTTCCTCCAAGCTATACATGTTAAGATCCTTTAACCTTTCCTGGTAAGTTTTATCCCGCAATCCATGAACCAGTTTAGTAGCCCTTCTCTGAACTCTCTCTAAGGTATCAATATGATACTAAGATATGTAACATGGTTGATGTTCCAGGAGGGATAAACCAAATGGCAAATGATTTAGGTAAACTAGAAAAATGGTCAGAGTTCTGGCAGCTGACACACACAGTGTGTGTGTGTTAGAGTGTGTGTGTTAGTGTTAGAGTGTGTGTGTTAGTGTGTGTGTTAGTGTTAGAGTGTGTGTGTTAGTGTGTGTGTGTTTTAGTGTGTGTTAGAGTGTGTGTGTGTGTTAGAGTGTGTGTGTGTGTATTAGTGTGTGTGTGTGTGTATTAGTGTTAGTGTGTGTGTTAGTGTTAGAGTGTGAGTGTGTTAGTGTGTGTGTTAGTGTTAGAGTGTGTGTGTTAGTGTGTGTGTGTGTGTTAATGTTAGTGTGTGTGTTAGTGTTAGAGTGTGTTACTGTGTGTGTCTGTTACTGAGTGTGTTAGTTTGTGTGCATCTGTTAATGAGTGTGTGTTTTGTGAGTGAGTGATTGAGTGTGTGTGTTAGTGTGTGTGTGTGTTAGTGTTAGTGTGTGTGCTAGTGTGTGTGTGTTAGAGTGTGTGTGTGTTAGTGTTAGAGTGCGTCAGTGAGTGTGTTACTGTGTATGTCTGTTACTAAGTGTGTTAGTTTGTGTGCGTCTCTTAGTGAGTGTGTGTTTTGTGAGTGAGTGAGTGAGTGAGTGTGTGTCTGTCTGTCAGTGAGTGTGTATGTATGTCTGTCACTGAGTGTGTGTCTGTCAGTAAATGTGTGTGTCTGTTAACTAGTGTCTATGCGTCTGTTCATGAGAGTGTGTGTGTGTCTTCAGCACTTACCTTTCTCCAGCGCCGAACTCCCTTGGCGCTGGAGATCCCTCCGCCTCTCAGCTCCGAATGCGCATGCGCAGCAAGAGCCGCGCGTGCATTCAAACCGCCCATAGGAAAGTATTACTCAATGCTTTCCTATGGACGTTCAGCGTCTTCTCACTGTGATTTTCACAGTGAGAATCGCAGAAGCTCCTCTAGCGGCTGTCAATGAGACAGCCACTAGAGGCTGGATTAACCCTCAGTGAAACATAGCAGTTTCTCTGAAACTGCTATGTTTCCAGCTGCAGGGTTAAAACTAGAGGGACCTGGCACCCAGACAACTTCATTGAGCTGATGTGATCTGGGTGTTTGTAGTGGTCCTTTAAGTGTATGTGTATCTGCATGCACTGGCGTACATACCGCGGTCGCGACCAGGTGCCCGCCGCCATGTGTTGCGGCCCCAGCCCGCGCAGAGTAAGAGCGCGGGGGGGGGCATGGATCAGTTTTCGCACCGGGGCCCCATGGGTTGTGTGTACGCCACTGAATAGAGCAGCAGGAAATGCTAGCAGAATGCATGGTTGTATGGGGAGAGGTATTAGCAGTAGAAAGAGGGAGGTGCTCATGACATTATATAGAACACTGGTGAGACCTTACTTGGAGTATTGTACACAGTACTGGAGACCGTATCTCCAGAAGGATATTGATACTTTAGAGAGAGTTCAGAGAAGGGCTACTAAACTGGTTCATGGATTGCAGGATAAAAACTTACAAGGAAAGGTTAAAGAAACTTAACATGTATAGCTTGGAGGAAAGACGAGACAGGGGGTATATGATAGAAACATTTAAATATATAAAGGGAATCAACACAGTAAAGGAGGAGACTATATTTAAAAGAAGAAAAACTACCACAACAAGAGGACATAGTCTTAAATTAGAGGGACAAAGGTTTAAAAATAATATCAGGAAGTATTACTTTACTGAGAGGGTAGTGGATGCATGGAATAGCCTTCCAGCTGAAGTGGTAGAGGTTAACACAGAAAAGGACTTTAAGCATGCGTGGGATAGGCATAAGGCTATCCTAACTATAAGATAAGGCCAGGGAATAATGAAAGTATTTAGAAAATTGGGCAGACTAGATGGGCCGAATGGTTCTTATCTGCCGTCACATTGTATGTTTCTATGAGTCATCTAATGTTTAAACTTCCTTTATTGTTAATTCTGTTTAACTTAGAACTTATTATCTTTTGCTCTGGTAATAGCATGACAGACCCTGCACAAGCCCCCTCTATATAATTAAAGTTCAACTTACAAAGCATGAGATAAAAACTTGTAAAGTAA